GGATCTCCGAAGGATCAGACGGAACAAGTAACTCAGTTGTTGCAAACCTGGAAGACTTTGCACTGGAGCCAACGAAAGACTTATGGATTGAAGGCAATGCTCCAGTCCCTTGACCACAGTTTCGGTTCACTCTTATCGCAGGGAGCATAAACAACCCCTCTTACTCCGGAGCCGCAATATGTGCGCGTGCAGAACATACAAATTGCCCCGAAACACACCATCCGCCGAGACGGGCTGATAAAAACCAAGCCTCTCACACGGCTCATGCGCTTTGCTCTGCACCTTGGGAGCTGTAGTAGGCCAGTCTTTTCTCCGCCCTTTGCTGTCGCAGGGGCCGGAGCAGGAAGCCAAGATGAACTACAGCTCCCAGAATACATCGCGGAGCAACTCTTCCCCCCCCACCCTCCCCATATGAATGACTAATACAACATGTTGTCTGGCTAATGGGCTGCTGCGAGTACCTGGGAGGACTCGCCTCCTTTCGGATCCGCTTGCTTCTTTAAGTTCGGTCCCGGAATCGTTTGGAGTTTCAGCCGGGGGTTCCCAGGCGAGAGGCATCTCCCTTGGACGGGGGCGGCACTGCTCACAAAGTAAGTAAGGGGCGAGGTACTTAGCATTTCCTGATTAATTGCGTTTGGAGCGCAGAGTTGGCCCGGTGGGGGTGGGGGGAGGAAGAGGTTGCATTTGCGTGGCGTGGCATGCCGAGGAGCGGCCACTGCCTGTTGTTGGCCAGTCGTACGCTGTGCAGCGACGACAAATCCTGGTTTATGTTCAGGTAGCCCCCTCCCTCCTTTCTCCAAAATGGCCAAGAAGGAGAGTGCAGGGTGAAAAAAGAAGGGGATGATTTTCATATTTCTGGAAGTCTTGCTCGGAGTTTCTTCCCAGCCATGCTTTGTTATTGGCACGGAGATGAAAGGGAGGGGGGTAGCTGTGACGGAAGGACGAAGTTTTTCAACGCTGCCGTTGAATCTGTTCTGGAGCACCTCTACAAGCTCCCCGCCCTCACCCCGTTTCCCAGCTTATATTAGTACACGTCGCTCCTGGAGAGTTTCTCATACGCGGGGAGACTGCTTGAAAAGCTGTGCGTTACTTTTCCGTATGCATATGGCACTGAGGAGGCAAGTATCTGCAAAACTTTTGTGGGCCTGCGTTTGTAGGCGAAGACAGTAGCTGACAGTGCCACTTTTTAAAGTGTCAAACAGTACATAGCAAAAGTGATGGGATCTCAGCTCGTTGAGATATTTTATTCTCCCCTACTTTTCTGAGCCAACTTTTATTTTGCTAGGAACAGCTCTGTAGGGCAATTAAATTCAGAACGTGTTGCCTTTGAGGCTATCACTAAGTGAAAGAATGTGCGAAGCTGAGTATAAATTACTATTTGCCTTGTCCTAACTCTTTTAGTGAACAAAAATACTACTTGGTCAAGGCTGTTAACCAGACCCGAAGTTTTGCTGTGCCACTTCATTCCCCAAAGCTGGCCTACACAGTATAGCCATCACATAAAGGCTGTTGCCATATGGCTGTCGGTAGCATGTACGTGTAGTTGCACATGAGGTGGACCTCGTGGAATGCAGTAGTGGCACAGCCTTCCTGTAGTCAAGCAAGTTCTCTGGACTGTAAACAAAGTTGCCTAGTGTGATCCGCAGACCATTAAAGGCGTGCCGTGTAATGATAGCCACGTTTAAAGTGGCCATGAGGCTCTTCTGTGAGGCACAGTGAAATGTGCCTAAAACACTGGTTATTCCTTGATTTGTATTTTTCCTTTTTAAAAACTGCCCCCTCATCCTTAATTTGGTGCCACCAGAAGGATGCCATTTTGCATGCACTCTCACATGGATGCCAAAATGCCTTGGGCTGGCCATGGCGGCTCTAATGCATTGATCCTGTCAGCTTTGTTTTAATCGCATTTATGCAGAAGAACGTTGCCCTCGGTTCAGTTGAATCTGTTCCCTAATAGGTTTGCTTAGGATCGTACCTTCAAAGTAGCCTTCTCTATCGTGGTGCCTGCCATATGTGATGGAGTAAACCTCCACGCCTGCCCCAGCCAGATTGGGGAAGTTTACTTCAAATGGTTTCTGCCGCATGGTACTTTCATATCTCATGCTCCAGTGAAACTGATCCAGGCCCTCCAGCTTAACCTGCTGAACATTCAGAGGCCCTCATTTATGTCTCCGTTGTTTCTAATGCTTTAAGCGATCCCAAGGCCAGAGCGCAGGCCAGCCAAGACTTGAATTGAACCTGGGTCAGCGGCAGTCATTCCTATCAGCTGAGCTGACACATACTCAGTTGGCAGTAGAGAGTATGCAAGCTGTGTTGGTTTTACCTGACAGATGTTTTGCTGTATGGGAACATCTCCCCTTGTGCTAGGCCACAGAATGATAGTAGGGAAAGATCTCACATTTCTTGAGCCAATATTAAGTTCTTCAGTAAGAGTCACTTAAAAGGATTATTGCCCCTTAGCAAGTCCCCTGCATATATTCTTTTAAAGACAATGACAGCTATAAATTCTTTTGCCATATTATGTTTATATCCGGCCTTTTTTTCTCTTGCAAGAAATTCAAGGTGGCTTCCCCATCTCTGTTTTATCTTCCCAACAACAACCACTTTGTAAGATAGGTTAGGCTGAGAGTCATGGCTGACCCAAAGTCACCAAGTAAGCTCATGGGCAATGGGGACTAGAACCCAGATCCCCTGTGTCCCAGGCCAGAATTCTAACCATTACACTATGCTGGTACCATGTTTGTTTCATGAATCTGCTACCTAGACACGTAATGGGGAACCATTGTTGACCCTAGCATTTCACCATGTATTTTCAAGATAGAATAAGTGCTTATGTTCCTTTTGTGCATTATGAGGTATAGCAAATGTATGTGGTGTGGAAAATGCATAAATTAATGTCTCAGATGAACTAGTTTGATTGGAAATTAATTTGCTAAGATGGTAATTCCAGAATTTTATGACTTCCTGGCTTACATTAGTGCATGTGAAGCAATTGATAGTTCACTGGCACAGAACCAGTATGACTGGTGCAACCATCAGATGTTTCAAATTTAAAAACTAAACATTTCTGTTCACTGAAGTTGGTAATGGACTATCTTTTAGGTTATGTTATAAAATAAGAGGAGCAAACATTAGCACAGTCAGTCCCTGAGTTATGAATGTCCGAGTTACTAACATCCTATACTTATGAACAAACTGCCATAATGCATTTTAATTTAAAAAAAATTGCAGATAATCATCATCACCATAGAGAAAGAGGAAGTGAAAGGGGAGAAAGGCAAAGCATGTCTTCCTGCTCTGCCCATCTGGAAAGACAAATTCTCCAGCATTTCCTTGCTGCAAAGAGGAAGACACTGGTGTGTTAGGAGGGTGGTTAGAGATATTGCCGTTCTTTCACTTTCCTGGGGGTCCTGTGCCCCAACCCCTGCGAATGTGGAGGGCTAACTATATGCAATAGAACTTTCATGCAAATTCAACTTAAAGATAAATATTCGTTTCTCAGGAATGGAACTTATTTGTAGCCCAGGAACTAACTGCGCATTTTTAAGGTTATGATGGAAATGTGTAATAAACTATCATACTTGGTAGCTTTTAGATTTGAATGAGTGTTTTTGTATAGAAACAAAAATCAGTTTTGAGACAGATGAAAAGTCAGGTTGCAGACTTTGCTAATATGAGAGATTCCAATATGTTTTGGAGGTTAAACAAGTTTACCTTGCTAGTATTTGTTTTGAAAAACTTTTAAGTCTAAATGTAGCACAAATTTTCATCTAATCCAATGGTGTTGGAAGAAAATAGGAAGAATCTAAAATGCATAATAATGGATACAAAAATATTGATTTCAAATTTAGTAAAAATATGTGACCTTTATAGAAATTAAGTGAGCTATTGAGCTGAGGGATGGAAGTATGGGGAGCTGGAAAAAATCTAAGATTGTTAAAACAGAGAAATAAACATCTTTCCATGTAAGGATATTTTAGATCAAAATAATGTGGTTTCTTTTGCAGAGATAAAGAGAAGTTTAATGATCTAACTTTCCTATGGTTTGAATACTTTCTAACATAATATTTTAGTAAATGAATTGTTAAGGAATGCAACAGATTTTTAAAAACTAATTAGGAATGAAAGGTAATTTATCTTAATTTATTAATTGGTATTACAACACAGAACCAGTTAAGGAATGTGTTATTAAATGGACTCAAGATGCTGGCAAAAAACTTCTTTTGGAGAGATGAGAAAGGCTGATTTGAATATGTCATTCAGAGAAAATATGTCTAAAACATGCTTGGGCAACTTGTGGCCCTCTAGATGTTTTGAGTATAGCTCCCATGATCACTCACCATGGGCTGTGCTAGCACAGGCTGATGGGAGTTCATAGGTGAAAATATCTCGACAGCCACAAGTTGTCCACCTTGGTATAAAGTAACAACAAAGTGGTCTCTAACTCCTGTTCTTATAAACCATATTAAGAAATACTTGTCTAATTCTTGGAAATCTCAAGCAGAAAACCTTTATTATATATGCCAGGAATCATCATTGGCAAGAAATACTGGATGATAAGAAGGTAACTAGAAAAAAATATTAGGCTATGAAGTTCCATTGGATCCTTTGTTTTCCTTACACAATTATATAGTTGGATTTGTTAGTCACATAAGGAATTAATCATATATGATGAAAAACAAAACTATGTGGGAAAAAACTAGATACTGCAGGTTTCTATATAAATAGCTGAAATGTGGGATTTTGCTATTATAGCAAAATTAAGACATTATATTAGAATGACCAAAAAAAAGACAACAGTGGGACAGATTTGTGGAAAATTGGTAAAAATTTTATTGAATTCTGCAGGGTTAATATATCCAGATGCATATTTCAGCTTTTTGGTAATTTGATTTAATAATTCATAAAGATTATTTATTCTAGTTATTTTTGTTGCAAAAATGTAATGTTGAAAATGGATGTTAATTATTACTATATATTGTAATGTGCATTCTACTTTTTGAACAAAAATCAGTTTTTTTCTTTCTCCTGGGATAAAAAAGTGGGGAAAGTGAAGTTAAGCGGATTGCAAACAGTGAGTGCTTCCTGCTGAATTTGGGTCATGAAACCACATGGGAAGCTCGCTCGTTCTGAGGAACCTATTTGGTACTCCATTTTATTTATTTGAGTCTACCCTTCCATAGGCAGCCTCAGGGCATGATATGCTGTCTCTTCTACCTCAGCTCTTTGCCTTACAAAAACCCAGTAGGCTTGAGTGAGAGACAGTGACTAGCCCAGAGACACATGATAAGCCTCATGGCTACACAGGTATAGCATAATTTCATCAATTCATCAGTTTGGAATAACTGCACCCACTCCTTAACTGATCCAGCTTATTCAACCAAAGCAGCTGGTTGGTTAGATTCCAGCTTTCTTAAAAGGATGTAGGCACAGCATCTTTTCATGGATTGAACTATCTGGTTCTCTACTTTCAAGCACAGTGCATGTGTATGAGCTAGGAGCTCATCTTGTTACATGTGAACCAAACCATAGTGAATTTAGCATGTTGTTCCATTACACCTGAAGAGAATCAGTATATATCAGGTCACTTTCCAGTGATTTCCTTTGCCTCAACACCTTTGAGAGTATTATGTAGAAATTTGTGATGCTTTGTTTACCTATGAAGATTGTATGTTCAAAACCATACATAGTCCATATGGAACCTTCTAATTTATTTAAACTGCACACTTTATTTTACAGACCGAGGGACTGGAATGATCCCATTGCAAGCAAGACCAACTAAACAAACAACAAACCTTCTATCTGTAATTTGTTTAACCTTGCTGTGCAAACCAGAAACTTTGACTTATCTCTTCCCTGACGAGCAGAGCCCTAAGTCATAATTTATTCTCAGAATTCTCAGTTCACATATCACGGTAAGCAAACCACAGATGGAAGGTGTGTGGTTTGTTTAGCGCCTTCTTTTGCATCTGAAGCAATCTGGCAGTGTGCACCAGCTTAAAAGCAAAGTGCCAGGTGACATTCCAAACCAGAACATAGACAATGATGAGGCCAGCTCAAAACTAGCCAGGTGGTAACTTTAGGCACAAGTGGGATTGATACAGGCATGGTGGTATGTCACCTTTTCTTCCTTCCTGCCAAAGTTCCTCTGACACGTCCTCATCAAGTTCACAGACTAAGTAAAGGACTCTCTGTGGTTCTTATACTGGGCTTGTAAGTTTTCGCAGGGAAAAGTGAACCTCCATGGAACTCACTTCAGCTGGAATATGGTTGAGCTGCTATCCAAATTTTGTCTTCCTTGGTAGTGCTGTTACACTGGGACCTGATCCTTCTAGGTAAATGGAAAATTTGCATTCGTGCCATGTTTATGTGAGCTAAACTGGTGTGCTAATGTGTACTTTTCCCTGTAGTCTCCTGAGTCAAGTAGTTGGAAGTTGTACAGTTCAGAAAAGGCAGGTAGAAATACTGGCCTTACTGGAATAGCCAGGTTTACAGGTCCTCTTGCAGACATTTGCAGGAATGTCAGCCACATCATTGGAGAAAAACCTGGCTTAAAATGATTTGCTCTATGCTTATGTCTTTACAGTTCTGACTACTTCTAGAGGGATCACATATTCCCTAGTGCAGCAAAAACAGCAAATCCTTTTGTGGCATCTTAAAAAATAGCACATGATTGTAGACTAGTGAACACTTCATCAGCTTGCTTTCGGCTTATGCTAGGCAGGTCTGGACATGGTTTTGCACCATCCTGTATCATTTGAGAGAAGGCCACTTAATTTGAATTCCATTCCTGGCTCAAGGACAACTAGTTCTATCAGGGAGCAGGAGAGGGAGTAATTGAAAACCTGTTTAAGTAAGTTTGACCAAGCTGAATGTAAGTTCTGTCCATAGGTAATTGGAGGTTACAACTGTGAACTTACCTTTGCTCACCTGTTAGCCAAACAAATAAGCACTAGGCTTTAATACAACAACACAAGCTGATGGCACATCCTATCACATTCCTTGATGAGCTTCAGTAGTATGATTCCTACCATGTTGATTGCAGCAGCCATTGGAGGCTTGGGAGGAAGCTTTATTGTGAAACACTGTGTGGTAATTTTACGCTGAGAAAATGTTTACAGAAATGCTTTAGACATGGTTAATTTAACTCTTGAACTTACTTACGCTGTACTCTTTTGCAGGTCTTCTCTGGCTGGTGAAGTGGAAAGAACATTCAGGTGATGGAGGGGGAGCAACAGCAAGAGGTAAGTTTGGGAACTACAACATTTTGTGTAGTTGGCAGGAAGCAGCTCACTGGAGTGTTTGACGTTTCTGTAATGTTTCTGGAGCACTGCAGAGTTTGCTTTTCTGTGTCTATGCTTTTTAAGGGCACACAAACATCCTCAAGAGGCAGATGTCTGATTTAATGTGGAATGCATTTCTCATAGCAACAGTTAAACTAATCAGAAGTATAATTGCACTCTGCTTGTGCTAGGGCCCACATGGTCTACTCAAAGTAGGATTGACATTGAATTCAAACAAAGCCATTTACTTAAAGGCACCTGGTTTGGGATTATCTAGTAAATCTCGGGTTGGATCATTCTGCATCTTTCCTCTTTATCTTGCATGTATATATGCCAGGAGAGGCCAAACAAGGCGATGCACTGGAAGTGCTGTACTTAAAAGACAAGCAGGTTGGGGAGTAGTTCACATCTCCAGGGTACAATTGGAAGTGATTTCAGGTTGAAAATGAGACAGTCCTTTTGCTAAGACCACACAATTCAGCCTTCAAAATCCACTCTGTGTTGTGCAGCAGCAGGGATTGGTGAGCTACAGATAGCTGTAAATAACTCCAGATGACTCTTGAGAAAGCCAGGCTACCCACTATTATAGGTGGCAATAAAGCCCCCAGTGTCAATAAAGCAGGGGTCTTGTGGCCCTCCAGATCTTTCAGCCTTAAATCCCACCATACCTCATCCTTGGCTATACTGACATGAGTTGTGGACAAAATCATCTTGTGGGTGACAAGTCGCCCCTCCCTGCAGTGCGTCCTTCCACTTCAAGAGTTAAAGCTTTATGTGGTAGAGCTCTGCATGTGCCAAAAATCTTACTGACTTTTGATTTTTTTAAAAGTACCACATATGGTTGTATAGCTACTGATATAACCCAAAGGACGCAACTGTGCTTTCACCCATTGTCTTCTATGGAAAAAGCAATGAATGCTTGACTTACCCAATAAGACTCCAGAAATCAGATGAAAATAATATGCTAGTTTGGGGAACCTCCAGACCTTACCATGATCCCACAGAATGTGATCATTTTCTTGAGATCATAGTTATGTCATTCTAATACAATCTTCCCAAAAGGTGAAACAATTGTATAAGTGCATCTTTGTCTATATGTTAACTAGTTCGAAAAGCATGTGAATATATTTTACTGAAATCCCTTTGATCTGCCCTCTCCTGTTCTTTGTTTTTATTCAACACAGGCTGCTTCAGAACCTGCACCTTTGCCTGATGCCCGAAGAGATGGGCCAAAAGATGCTTCCGTCATCGCACCAAATATTTGTACGTTAAGGTCATAAATCATAAAGTTACTTTGCCTCATATATGTCTCTTGGTCCAAAGCTTTTTGTTAACTTTCCTTCCAAAATTTAAGTCTGGTCTATATATGCAGCAGAATGAAAGTGCTAGAATGGACTACACCATTTCAGGTGCAGGTCTTTATAATGTGGTGGCAGTCAGGTTCTGAATGCTCTCATATATAATTTTTAAAACTTTCCTACATTTTGCAAATGGCTCCAGCAGACTGGGACTTTTCTTCCAACTGTATTTATTTTTAACCTACAGTAGTTGAGCCTTCTGAAATGGGTCTGCTGGAACTCACTGGGTGGCTTTGGGGCAGTCATAATTTCTGAGCCTATTTCAACACACAGAGAAGCTGTAAAGGACAGATTAGCTTCCTACATGAACAGTGGGCTAATAAATGTAATAAAATAAACACCAGCAGTCAGTTCCTATATAAAATGTTCCTGTATTGAAATATTGTAGGACAGCTAATTCTAGTATTCTGTTTCTTGACACAAAGGTAAGTATAACCCTTAATTGATTTAATTAATTCTTCCTGTTCTGGCACTGCCATCTTGTAGAAACACATTATTTTCCATGAAGTAGCCATGTGTTTATATAAACTGGTGGTGCCAGAACAGGAAGACTTTTGTAGAAAATTGCTGCTCCAGAAGTGTAACACCTTCTCTCTTTCAGATTGTTGGATAGAGGAGCAGGGCAAGAAACATTGTAAAAAGCTTTCTTATTCAAAGTTGGGCAAAAAGCATTTGTCCTTGCTCTGATTTGGCTTTATGAGGTTGTCATGTATCCAAATCTGATTGGCTGTGTGGCAGTAGGAAGTCTGTACTCTGCCTATATAATCCCCTGATTGGCTGTAGTCTCCTGGCCAAAGTTTTTCCTTTCTGTTTTTTGAATGGCATCAAAGTTTCAGATTAGGGGGAAAGCTTCTGTGGAAAGATGGTGAACAGACCACAAAGGCAAGATGAAGTTTTCCTAGACTTTTTTCACCTTGTATTTTGTCCCGAAAGTATAAATGAGCAAAAATATGATTGGTTAATCCTAGCTTTAAAATTCTGGTCCATTCATATCCAGTTCAGAGATATTTGAAGTGAATATGTTTTTATTCAAATTTATGTAGCTGATGCTGATGCTTTAAAAATTCTTCTGGAAATGAAGATGAAGAAACGACAGAAGAAGCCAAGCCTGCCAAGCACTGTGACAGAACTGGCCACTGAAGAGGGCTCCAAAGTTTATGTTGTTGGAACTGCCCACTTCAGCGATAGCAGTAAAAGAGATGTAGTGAAGGTACATTTTAATATTGGGAGCATTTTTCTATTAAATTGCCTAGGAATCTTTCTGTGAAACCTTGAATATTTTAATGCTCAAAAAGAAAAGTACTTCATTACAGTGAGTTTGAAATTACAGCAGTGGTGTTTAACTTTATATAGAATCGGTTAGTGGACCACTTGTAGTATATACAGTGATTCATATTCCATTCATCCTGATTATATACTTGTCAAGGCATCCTCTTATTGTTGATGTTTTGAATACAGTTCTGAATAAAAGGAGGTGGGATAAAAGAAAAGGAAGGGATACTGAAAAATAGGGAGGAGAGGAGATGCTCCTTCACAGTTTGATACAAGAAAAACAAAATTTGAGGGGAAGGAGAACTTTTGTCATCATGGACTTGTGAGCTTATATGGAAAAACTAGGAAAACCTTTCTTTGATTAGCAAACTTGCATCTTTTTATTTTCTTGTTTGTTTGTTTGTTTTACTTAAATATTTGAAAACTCTAAGCCACTCTGGGAATTCTTGGAACCACACTATAAATATATGACACTTCAGATTCTCCTTCAAGTCCATTTTTTAAAATTTTATAAAATTGTGGCATGGGAATTGGTTATGGTATCCTTAATTTTCTCACTTTTAACATCAGTGAAGCCTTCAGTGCTTTTTAATCTTGTCTGCAAGCATGCAACTGAATCCATCTTTTTCAGACAATACAAGAAGTACAGCCTGACGTAGTTGTGGTTGAGCTATGCCAGTATAGAGTTTCCATGTTAAAAATGGATGAAAGGACATTACTAAAGGAAGCCAAAGAAATCAATCTGGAGAAACTTCAGCAAGCTATAAAGCAGGTATAAGTTCCTCAGTGACACTACCATCTATTTGTGTGTATGAGGTAATACATCACAAACTTACTACAATAATGCTTTCCCAAATTTTATAGTCTACTGCAGTTGAAACTTGTGCAATTATGCAATATGGTTTTTCACAAAACATTACGTTGCCTTAATGTTCACATTCAGGCATGATTCAGTAGGGAGTCTTCAAAAATAGAGGTAGGTGGAAAGCAGATTTATACCATAGCAAAGCTAGGAATGCCTGTGAGAATTAAATGAATGGATTAAAATCAGTGGTGCCCCATTACCACTTTTTGCATCTGGGTTAATTTCATAAACGTTCAGCTTTGTATGTTTCCTGGCAGGAAAAGGGATGAATTCTTTTATGCACTTGTTGTCTGCACCTACTGCTATGGTAGAGATACAGCAAAAATTCAGGGAATGTGAGGGAAGGACCAACTGGGTGTTTCTTAAGATCTTCTCCCTCAATCTGATGTCGTCATTAGAACCATTCTGGGTATTTGCATTTTCCAAACCTTGATTCTAGAAGCAGTAAAAGAAGAACACCTTGTTTTTCTCTTATCTGAATAGGCCTCAGGCTGAATTGCGGTGTTCTGCAAAGAACCAGCATGATGTGGAAAGCCATGGTCTCAATTCTTGCTCACCTGTGAAGATCACTGGGCAGATTTCGGGACATTCTGTTCTGAATTTCAAAGAAATGAGCCTCATATATAGGGTTGGAAAGAAATTTTAAAATGAAGAGCAGGGGTAACAGGAAAGAATTATATCTTGGAGGCATGTGCTTCCTCGCTATCCTTTTCAGCCATTTCTAAACTTGTAGGCACAAAAACATAATCCCCATTTGTTCAGTGGTAGACATGTTTCTATATGAGGGTTCATATCCTGGAATCTCAAATTACTCAAGTAATAAATACATTTTTAAATATTTATGAAGCCACACCCTCACAAAGCAACAAATAAAAGGGAGAGAGAGAAGATATAGAAAGATCAGACAAATTTTTGTTTTATTTTGAAAAAGCTGCATTATCTTATCAGCATGTGGTGATCTCCATTACAAGCAGCACTGAAAAGGAAAGTATTCATGGTATTCATGATATTGGAGGGACAAGGCACAGATAAATTGGAAGAGTTCAAAAGTTTTGGAGCCACCATCAAGGAGGACCTGTCTCTTGTGCATACTAGTCTAACCAATCTTAAGAGCAGGTGCACAATAAAAAGATGTTAGAGTACGGACAGGATTATATGGATGAACACAGTCCTAGCCTTCTAACCTACCATCCTTTAGGTAGGTCTTTGCTGGAAACATTAGAGAACTGCGAAGGAAACTAGACAGTTCTGAGATAAATGAACCAGTGATATGACTTGGAAGCAGCTTCATATGATTAGCTCTCACAGATGCTGATCCAGTTGCTACTAAGGAGGTAACCTTGAGGCTGGGCTGGACCACATCAGACTTGATTGAATACCCTTTTATACAAAAAAAAAAACCCCTTTCCTGTATATCACTAACATGGTCAAAAACGTTCAAACACTTTTCTCTTGACAGCTTCCTGTGTACAATATACAACTTGTGTCGATCATATAATATGATAGTATGTTAAATGGGTGTGTGGAGGTGTTAGTTAATTTTTGGTACAGTTCTCAGGCACAGGCTTGCCTTTTCTTCAGCGAGAACTAGGTCTGTGAACCTCATAAAACTCTACCAGTAATTTTTATGTTATTTCCGGACAATGATACAATCATGTAATAACATATGTAGTATTGCATATGCAATAGCATTTTACACCCATAGAACTCTGAACTGCATCCCTTCTCAAGGGAAAAAATGCAGTCTTTGTACCTGTGACTCCCATCATTTCCCCCTCAAGGCACTCATGCTAAACTTTATTTAACTTGGATATTCTGCTCTGTTTAGCCACAGCCTCTTTGGAGGGAAGGGGGGATGGAAACATCATACATAGCTTGGGGGACATTTAGATGGGCAAAGCAAATCAAACAGAGAGATGTGGTTTAATGAAGTGTTGTGCTGGCAGGCCAAGGTAAGAGATTGCACAGTATATCTGGATAATCAGGAGGGGCTAATCAGCAAAGACTCTGAAATGATGGCAGGGTTTATTTTGTGCCTCTTCAGCAATATTCCGAATAGTAGTGCATCGTTGGCATGACAGATCTTTTTTGAGTAGGCTTAGCTGGCCCATCTCATACACATTTCTGTTCATAGTGACCACTGCCATTGAAGTAAGTAGGCCCATTAGTCATTTGGCATCTGCAGAGCTGTCTGTTTAGTAGCCTAATGTGCAGGCAATGAAAACAGCAAAGCAGAAGCGAGTGTCTGAAAGTGCACGGACTCTAGCAAAGATCTGTCTAGACACAATTTGTGCCTTCCCCAAAGTTCTGTTAGAAACAAGACTCATCAAAACCTTTTCACCATCCCAGGATGTCTAAATGTTTGAGAAAAGGACCATGTGACGCTGCCTCTCATTGAATGAGGCCATTGTTTATCAAGCCGAGCATGCTCTGATGATCAACAGCTCTCAGCCAGAGGCCTTTTCAGGCTTTGATAGTTTGGTCTTTTAACTTGAAATTCCAGGACTGAACTAAGAATACTCTCCATGCAAACCTTTGCCACTAAATGTTGGGTTATCCCTACTCTTCCATAATTAATTCAATTTTTGTTGCTATGCCAAGAAAGGAAAAGGTTCAGTATAAGCATATATATAGTTTGCATAGTTTATTCATCATCTTCTGCATGTTTTTCTAAGTTGTGTATTCTGTGCTGGTTGTGTTCATGGAAGGAGCACAATCTAAACAGAGCTCTGATGCTACTCTCCTCACCACTGAAAATTGTATTCAACCACTTCTCTGGCTTCTAACATTTCACAAATGTTTGGTGCAACTTCACACTGTTAAGGACTAGAAACTTGCTAGGTCTCAGTCTCTCTCTCTCTCTCTCGGCAAGTCTATCCCTAATACAACTTTCTAATGTTGTCTGTACCACAAAAGCAGCATTGAAGTACTCTTGAAGGCCTCTGTGACCTGGTTCAAAACTCTCTCTTTTCCTCAGTCAGCATTTATAAAGGATTTAAACAGGATGTTTTTCAGGTTATGTTTGAAGGAAGGAACACAAGCACACACGTCTATGCAGCTACATAAAAGTCTGGAACAAACTTTTTGTAAAAAAATATTAGATGCATAATACTGGAACAGTGCATAAAGAGCACCATGGAAATTTCAATCAGTTGGCACTAGAGAAATGGTGATTAAGTCTGGCATATGTAGTACCTGAGGTATAATTTTGGAACAGAAACATCACTGGAAAATCTATAACCTACTTTAGTCAGTCTTTCAAACTGAGAAGGTATCAAAAAGCTAGGCCTTTTTAGTTGGTGTTAAAAGAAACTGAGAAGTACTTGTAGAATATTTACAAAAGGTTCTCATTTTAGTCTTTTACATCAAACACAAGACTTTGCAAGGATGTGATCAGCATAATTGTCTGTGAAGGCTCATTATTGATCATGTGATAATTGTCAAAGCTAAGATGGACTGTTTCGAGGTGCTTTTGTTGCATTAAGCATTTATTTTGATTATAACTGTTGTGACTAGTTTTAAAATGGAATGGTTCTTTGTTGTGTACTAAAGCTTACTGGTAGGAAGAAACAGATACATGCTTGCGGAGGAGGAAGTCTGTCTGAAGGCCTGGTAGTTATCGTGGAGTTGGGAAGGTACAGAAAAGGGTAACCAAAATGTTCAAGGTGCCAGAGCAGCTCCCTTACAAGGAAATGTTTGGGACTACAAAAAGGCAAGGAAAGGGATACCTACTAGAGATGCAGAAAATTATGTTTACAGAGAAAGTAGATTGGGGGATTTTCCTTCTGCTCTTATGATATTAGAACCAGGGCCTCCCCATGAGGCTGAATGGTAGAAAATTGAGAACAGATAAAGGAGGTAGTTCTTGTAGTACATAGTTTAACTGTGGAATTTGCTGCACTAACATGAAGAGGGGCAGCTTTAAAAGGGAATTAAACCAGTTCATAGAGAATAAGGCTATCAGTGGTGCAAGTCATGGCTCTCCTTTTGTTCTTGGTGAAAGCAACCAGTCACAATCACCATCCCAACTAAAACTTTTGTCTCCAATAGCAACACGTGTTATCAGTACCATGAACATGGCCCCAAACTGCTCTTCTTACTCTGTTCAGAGACAATGCATCAGCTGGAAGCCATGTAAACCAGCAAGGGAAAAGCACTGATCCATTGTACAGGCACAATGTTCTGTGAAGATGCAGTGAACGATTAAAGTGTCCCTCACTGGATCAGACCGGGTACAGCTGTAACTGGCAGTATGCCCCCTTTCCTTTCTCAGTTCCTCTTTGCCCAGAGAGTGGTCTGGAAGCGTGGATTGACCCTGGACTCTTAAGGAGGGTCAGTTGGCTATCCTGTAATAAAGTAATGAAGGCCTGCTTTATTACATGTTAATTTGCATACAAGAGTGTTCCAGAATGGTATAGAATCTTATATACTATATTATATGCTGAGCCGAAGCCAAACCCTCTAGTCATTGCAAGTCACTCTGTCCCACATGAAAATAACCACAGGTGTAAAGGGCCCACTGCTGCCTATCTATCATTAGAAGCATGTGTTAGGTGCTTCCAAATGGCTTGGTCACATAAACCTTTGTTCATTCTCTGTGCATAGAGGATACCAAAATACATACAAACAATGTGTTTCTAAATTGTGCAAGCACTTCATGTCCTGCTTCCTTCCTCACCCCTTAGTTACTTTATGCAGCATGTAACTAATTCTGTGATGTGTTTGATCCATTTTAATTACTGTGTTAGGAATTACTCTTGCTATTCTGTGGAAGAGAGCCATAAACAATAAACATTACCATGACAAAGCCAGAGAGATTAATTTAGTACTACTTTCTCTCCTCTTCCTTCTCAAGGAAACAAATTAGCAGATGACTAAAATGCTTTTTAGCAACCATCCTGTATATATGTATTGAAGTAATGGGAATTGTGTTCCACAATAAATCAGCTCCAAAAAAGGAGCGCTGCTGTTTTCTTCTCTTTTGCCAGAATGTCTGGTGCTTCTTCATGACTATTAGCAGCACCATGTCTATCCTTTATTTAAAGCAATCTATAAAATTATCTCATTTTTTCTAATGCATTCCCCCTCCTTTGCTAGAATGGAGTCATGTCTGGACTGATGCAAATGCTACTGCTGAAGGTCTCTGCTCATATCACAGAACAGCTGGGAATGGCTCCTGGAGGGGAGTTTAGGGAGGCTTTCAAGGAGGTAAGCTTTCCTTTTCTTTTTTCAAAGAATACAATGTGCATGTTTTTCTTCCCCTCTGAGGCAAAAATGCTGAGTGAACTACTGGAGACAGGCAACTAAAAAAGAAAAAAAAATGGTGTGGGATTTCACTTACTCCGAGTCTGTGTGCACGTCCTGCTACATTGCTACATAAAGGCCTTATGTTCAGACTTGCTGGGAATACTGGACTCCTGGAAGACTTGTAACAGCCCTGCTTTCCCCCCTTTCCAAATATGTTTGACCATTTAACAAAATAGTCAGCTATAGTCTCACCATAAGGATACCGTGCCTTCCCCACTAGATACTTAACTTAGTTTGTGACTGCAGAACCACCAATGTACAAACTGATATCCTGTTCTTTATTTATTAATTAATACATTTCTATGCCGCCTCATTCGCCGAAGCCTCGGGGCGGCTCACAACATTAAGTTAAAATACAAACATTAAGTTAAAACATTAACTTAACATAACATTAAGTTAAAATGTTTGTAAAATACAAACATCAAGTTAAAATACAAAAAATAACAATATAAAATAATTTGGTTTGATTCTTACACTATACATCCAAGGAGAAATAGTTTGGGAAAATTTTGCTGATATTTACAGTTCAAGATTTCTCCTGGTACTATATTAATTTAGAACTTTCAAGGATAGTCTTTTCTGCTTTCAGATTTTTTTCTGGGGGGAATCAAACAGTTAATGAGATAGATAATGATTTAAATTAAGAATTTCTTTAATTTTATTTTCTTCAGTTTGCTAATCCAAACTCACTTTATTCATAGACATCTATTAAACAGATGTATGGTTTTGAAATAAATGAAAACAATTTTGGAGAATGTTGATTTAAACTGTCAAGATCAAATGTTAGCCCACTTCTATATGCAGTCCATGATGCTTATGTTGTACAAGATTTTTTATTTCTCCAGTTAACCATACTCCCAGTTTTTTTAAAAGCAAGGTTCAATATCTAAAGTGAAGATTGGACAACTTGTTGCCTTCCAGAAGTTTTGGCCTACAACTTCCATGACCATCATCTTTGTTGTGCTTTCTAGGGCCAGTAAAACTTGTAGGCCAAACCATGGGGAGGGTCACAGGTTGTCCATCTAAAATATAGCTGTTAAATGAATAAGCTCCTCTTCATTTATGCCTTGGAAATTAAAGTCTATCTACATCTTACTAATCTTCTATTCAGATACGCTTTCACATGTCAGTATTAAATCCTGTATGGAGATGATGCAGTTATCAATTACAACTGAGTAGAAAACCCCATCTGCGGAACCTGTGTGTATCAGGCACCCTTCAGGTTATGTAGAAGGCTATGAATTTGCTTGTGTGTATTACAAAAGCAGTAGTGCAACTTCTTTTAAATATGCGAACCCTGAAATAGTCTTTGTACAGGAAGCATGCTTTTCCTGGTACTGCAACTGAAAATGAAAATGTTACTTGTGTACCTTAATTTGTAGTGCCTTGACTGAATGCCGTATAAAGCATTAGGTTTATGGCTAATGGCTAATTCTTTTGCAGGCTAGTAAAGTGCCATTCTGCAAATTTCATCTTGGAGACAGACCAATCCCAGTCACATTTAAGAGAGCCATTGCTGCACTTTCTTTCTGGCAAAAGGTGAAGCTTGCTTGGGACCTCTGCTTCCTTTCTGACCCTATCAGGTAGGAATGAATGTAGCAAATCATGGACTGTACTGCCCCGGTCTTAGAAGAGAATGTCTGATTCCTGCAATATATTTGCTGAGGGTATTTTTGTGTGCGTGTGTTTGTGCGCATGTGTGGGCCAGTAATGGAATTTATGTCTCAAGTACAATGGAACACCAAACCAACAGCACCAATTGCAATGACAGACAGTGAAATGCTCTCAGCATGTGAATATGAGTCCACTGCTGCACATAATGTGATATGTAATAAACAATAGTGACAAAATGGTAAATATTAATCACACTGAAATGTAAACATGAAAAGAACTGCTTATGATAATGGACAGGATCCTTTAAGCTGCTCTTTCTTTGAGTATTCAATGCCAATTCATGGAAAACCTCTGTGGAGCAGTGAAGGTAATGCACTTGAGATAGACAATCTGAATTTGGAGCCTGCCATGCAGACATCCAGTTCGACACAGACTTGGTTGTACTTGTAATGGGACTTACCATATTTTTCAGTCTATAAGACGTGCCTGACCATAAGACGCACCTAGTTTTTAGAGGAGGAAAACAAGAAAGAAAATATTCTGAATCAAATGGGCACATAATCACAGGCACATTCCCCATCACTTCCCCATGGGCTGCACATCTGACAGACTTACTGCACACACACATTCGCTCTATAAGATGCACAGACATTTCCCGTTACTTTTGAGGGGGGAAAAGTGTGTCTTATAGAGCAAAAAATACGGTAGGTTAGTTTACTCTGTCAGTCTGGATGCAATCCAGTGGGTCCACTCACAAGCAGGCTAACCCACCTTGACGATAAGCAACAGTGAGTTGTTTGTTGGGCAAATAACCCTCAGTAGCTGTATATGGGTGCATTTTCCTATATACGACAGAAGAAGCAATGTGCAACAAGGGCCAGGTTAGAATTACAGCATGTACTAAAGTGATGCAGCCATGTTGGATATTTAAAGGGTATGTGTTGGCTTTACTCATGTGTCTCAGGAGCACTGTATGGGGCCTGTTGCTTATCAGAAGCCAGTTTCATATGTTCCATGGAAGCCAGGATATAGCTGGTGGCTGGAATGTGTTGTTTCTACAATCCAGCTGTTAAACTGCTGCCCTCAGAGTTGAAGATGAGCAGTGTAACATGCAAAACACAAACCTAATGAGTGCTTATATAAGCAGTTAGATGCAACTATCATTATTGCTCAATTAAACATTTTAGGTGGGGAAAAAAGTAATGATAGTTAAAGAATATGTTGTCGCATTAGAAAGTTCATTGTCTCTTCAGTAGCCTGTTGAAGGGTTTTATAAAAATTCCTTCTTTGAGCACCATCTCTTACAATGCTGCTATATGATATTTGTCAGTTTAACAATGTGTTTCATTTGGTGTCTTTTGGTTCCCTTTAGGATTACATTGAATAAGGAGAACCATCTATTTTGTCAAGCATAGCAAATATATATCCTGAATCACTGCTTCAGTCAAAGGGCCACCATTAAACCAATCAGAAGCAACTGAAATCCATATATGTTGGGATGGGTCCAGACTTTTCTCCCACCAGTGGAAGTCAGAGAGGAGACTTTTGTCAGCTCCTCATCTCCTTGCAGCCCTTTGTGCTCTCATAAACTCACCTCCAGTGAATTGGGAGGACTGTCAGGAAAAATGTGAGAGGTGCAAGCAGAGGGAGAAGTAGCAAAAATCACCTTCCCGTCTCTTGTGCCAATAGGATCCATCTGGTGATTAGAGGAATCTTTTCCATTCATGGCTGGTGAAATCAGGATCCAACCCAATGTCTAGAAATTGTGACTTTAAAACAAGAATTGCTGTATATAATTCAAAAATCTGTATGCAGGAATATATATACCTATGAAAGAAAAGTTGCATTTAGAGAGAATAAATATAGCCAAAAAGGGACATTTTAAGGAAATACAATTTACCATGAGGCTAACAAAACTAAAAGGAAAATGAGAATCTGCATTTGTGCTTGAACTGTATTTTAAGAATTGTAAGAACATCTGCAAAGGTCACATTGACCAGAGGTCAAATTACCTCCATATAGTATGTTTTAAAAATCTGCCTTGTATACACATTCTTGTGAGGAAAATACCACTTTAGTGAATATACTATATGTAATTTCAGCAGCAGTCTCAGATTAAGAGAAGAGCCACACTGAACAGATTGTATTCAAGGTGTGAAACTGCAGGCATCATTCTCATTTTTGGCTGCAGCTTTTATTCTTGACAAAATTTACAATAGCAATGTCTTATTCCTTGATAATGATCTTAGGTAAGCAACCCAAGCACATTCTGATACTCCTTCATAATGAGCTGGACCAGAACATTACATGCTGATACGGGAAAAATTTAACAGTGACGCATCACTGACTTGCTGAGGACGTGTTTGTCTTGTGCTGCTGCTTTGTGTTTTGCCAGCCTGGAGACCTGCATTGTAGCAAACACAACATAGCCATAATAGCAAAGTGAGGCTAAACTTCTCCAAGAACTAACATGTTATAATTAGAATGAGTTTTAGATGTGTTTTTTACTTCTCCACACTTCCCACTCACTACTTGCATATACAAGGGTAGAAAATGTTTTATTTTTATTTTCCTTGCACTAGACAGCAGAAAGGTCTGCCACATTGGTTTATACTTATTTCTATGCAAGCACAGACAAACAAATTTGATTGGCTTCAAAAATCCTAAAAGTAGGATTCTATAGCACTAAATTCAAGGGATGCACACAACACGTCTTACACTGTTAAACTGTAATATGAGTCTTCAGTAACTGAACAGTGTATAAAAGGTTTTACAAATAAAAATAAAATAAATTGTTCTTGCAATTCCAATTTTCATACAAGGAAAATTTCGTAAGAATGGTAAAGACAACTGAAAACCTTCATTTGGAACTGGAAAAAAAAGCAAGGATTGGATTTGAAGTACTACAGGATGAAAAGAAAGAGAAGGTCTAGCATTACATAATATTAAATTATATTATTATGCAGCTGGATTGGCTTGGATTACAGAATGGATTAAAAATCCTGATGAAAGGCTAATGAAGTTGGAAATAGTAGATCTTGAAGAATTAATACATAAGTATTTGTGGGACAAGGAATCTATTAAAAAAGATCCAACGCAAAATAAAAGTCATATAATTAGAGATGGCCTAGAAAGAGCATGGAATGCTTTAAGGAGAAGGATTAGCTCTTCAATATCTCCTTTAGTGTCTCCAATAGAAGCATATTATGACAAAATATTCAAGGAAAAATAATGTTTTTTTAACATACGGATAGAGGGGATCCCACCAATACCACCATCCCCTGCATAAAACTGACCATGTTTAAGATGCTGAATTTCCCCGATGCTCATTGTGCGGGGGAAAGTATGACAAAAATCCTTCTCCGAGACTGGAAGGCTACCACCTCCCCTCACCTTGTGTTGTTGTTCCAAAGACTATCAGTCCCCTTCCCCATGCCTGGTATTTAATTTAAAAATAACATTTTTATTATTGCATGTAGCAGGACTTTCATTTCTGAGACCATAATATAGACATTGAGACTCTTTGTTTCAGTAAAGATGATGTGGAGAAATATAAACAAAAAGATTTGTTGGAGCAAATGATGGCAGAAATGATTGGAGAGTTTCCTGACCTTCACCGAACAATCATCTCTGAGCGAGATATTTACTTGACGTACATGCTGAAGCAAGCTGCAAAGCATACAGAACTACCTTCTACTTCTGAATGTAAGTTAACATGTATGATCAGAAAATATGCCTGGTGGTGTGGCCCCTTACCCATGATACTTCTCAGGAAATCTGATCTAGAGAAACAATGACTCAAATCAGAGAAGCTTGAATGATCCAGGATAATCCCTTGGCTAGTCATTTTGGAAGCTGTCTAGATATCAGATGGAAATTAGAAAATTTGTGGATACAGTGCTGAATCTGGATTCAGCAGTAGAATTTACAATGACCTTCTTTGCATGATTATGGAGGATCCTATGGAGTGCATTGTTTGTGTAACAAAATCATACATGTTCAGATCTTTTTTTCTGTTGAAAGAACTGGCCTCATGTGGTAGTTTTATACACCCATGGCAAGGTGATACGCCTAGTAGCAGATATTAAGCTATTTTTATGATTATTATATCACATTTCTATACTACCCATAGCCAAAGCTCTCTTGGAAGTTCACAATATTTAAGTCACCCATCCAGATTTCAGCCTTGCTTAGCTTCCAAGATTAGGCAGGATCAAGCACTTCAGTCTATGTAGAAGACTAAGACTATGAACAAGCAAACACTAACCCGCTATCCAGTTTCATATTCAGCTATACAGAGAAGGTCTCTTCATACATTACTCACAAGAAAGGACAAAGTTTGTACAAAGGTGTTGCAAGGCCATTTTTTAAAGATATCAAATGTAACCATTAAAATAATGCCAACTTAAAAAAAACTGCTTAAACGGTGGCATATAAAAATGCATACAAAATAGTCTTCACCACTACTTGCTAGCACAGATGGCCTGCTGAGTTTCTCTTGAAAGGAGCCTTCCTTAATTATAGTACCACTTTTGGAAAGGCCTCTTCTGTGGTTTGTATACTGAAGAGCACGTTAAAGTAATTTGTTTCCTTGAACCTCTTCAGCACTGGTTTTGCCCATCAGTTATTGGTACTCGGCATCTTGGCTAGATACTGATTTGATTTAAAAAGCAAAACAAAACAGGAAGCTGCCTTATACTGAGTCCACCCATCAAATCCAGAATTGACAACACTGATAAGCAGCTGCTGCTCAGGGTTTCAGGCAGTAATTCTTCCTGCCCTACTCAGAGATGCTGGGGATTGAAGCAAGGGCCTTCTGTACGCAAAGCATGTGCTCCTCCACTGACACACAGTCCTTCCTGTTAAAGGACAAGTGAAAATCAACAGGCTCAGGTAACTTAATAAGAAATGGCCACAAATAGCTTGGCTCTGTTCCTGCCATGATGTCAAGAAGTTTAGTGGCTTCAAAATATGGCTGTAAAGTAAGAATACACTGACCCTGAAAAGGAGCATCTTAGCAACATCACATTGAAATACTTGAAAAAGGGCCCTTTTCACTTATGGTATCTCCATTTTTAGAACTCCTTGCCCAGAGATGCCCGTCCAGCGTTCTTGGTGCCAAGTGTTTATACTCCAACCCCTTGTGGATTTCCTCAGCTGTAAGAATCATTGTATCTAGTGGAGTTTACTCTCTAGCAGAAATATTCTTAAGCTTGCAGCCCTAGTTGTTTGGCTATTTACCTTTGTAAAATGCTCATGGCATGAAAGGCATGACAAAAGAAAGCTAAAGATTTAAATGAATGAATACTATCCATTCAATACAGGGTCTTTGCTTGTGTTTTTTTTTTTTTTTCTGCATTTTAGCTGAACCCAGAAGATGTGTCCCTTCTGTTGTAGTTGGGGTAGTTGGAATGGGTCATGTGCCTGGAATTGAAAAGAACTGGAACACCGACTTGAACATCCAGGAAATAATGAGGTAATTCTCCCATTGGTAGGTCTGAGCATTTTCCTAATAAGTTACTGTGCCTGCAGTTAACCTGGGGACAGGAGGGGAAATGCCAATGAATAAGTATTGGGCAAATAGACAGTTGTACTATGGATGAAATAGGATGATTTTGAAATTCAGGTAATGCAAAAAAAAAAAAAAAACCCAAAACAAAACAAAAACCCTTGATTAGGCAGAAGTTATTTTCTTGAAAATAAATATTTGCAACAGGGCTTGTTAAATTACTTCCACATGAAAATATCTTGTCACATAACAAATTTCTATTCATTTATTCTGAGCAGTGTTGTGGCCTGAGATGCAAAAATAATTTCCTCTTAGCTGTGGCAAATAAAAAGTTGAGATAATGTGAATACAAAGACAAAAATACAACGCTCAAACACCTAATAAGAAACAAAAGTATCCCTATATAGCTATTTTAATAAAAATAATTTTATATGCATCAGTTAATTATTTATTACAAAACTGTATGTGAACAGTAGATACAGTGTTCTTCTACTGTTACAGATACAGTTACAGATATGTAACTATATGTTGATGAATGTACATAAATGGTAAAATGAAAAATTATGTTTTGGGAACCCTAGAAAGTTAATTTGAACTGAACAGGTGGCCTTCCTATTTCCATACTCCTTCTCTAAATTGGAAGATACAGTGTAAAAATAAAAAGGATTTCAAAAATCGCATCATAGGATTATAATGTACATAGTGTTTATATTATCTGGTTACCTCAACATACCTTATATGCTGTTATTCACCAGGTAAGTGCCAGAATGCTGTACGTTCAGTGGTTGTGGCATTAGTCACTTCTAAACAACTGAATGCTGCATTAATTAATGTCTGAAACCTGCTATAGCATATATAGTGGATTTAACACACTCATCTGGGTTATGAAAGTAATGGCAAAAATGGTAACGTTCAAGTGAAACAATGATCAGTCATATTTCTTCTAGCATGACTAGATGGTAATTTGTTTTCCTTCCCTCTCCTGGTTTCAGTGTGCCTCCTCCATCAATGTCCAGTAAAATCCTCAGACATGTTTTCAAGGCCACAGTACTTGGACTAGTGGGCTACGGCTGCTACAAGATGGGACAAAGGACAGTGCGATTTATTCTCTCTCTGCCTGTTGCACAGAACTATCTTCAGAAACTAGCAGATATAAAATCGCAGCATTGAATTGGAAGCTTCCACAATTAGTTGGAGCAATAATGTAACATACCTGAAACTGGATTAGGAAAATGACGGAGAATTTCTGTTCCACAGTCTCATCTGATACTGAGTTACGGCCTAACCAATGGAGTGATAGTAAATGCTATACCAGCTGTGACCCAAAAGAATAAACATTCTTCTACCAACCTGATTCAATGTGTGGCATAGAAGTATATGCCAGTGTAAGGTACATAAAATATGTACACATATCTATCATACTATTATGTGTATATGACATATTTATAAAGATGATATCATAGACAAGAGTCATATTCATGGACACAATCCACTGGAAACTTCCAGCATGTAAGCGTTGTTGAGATGAATGAGGCCTGTTCAAGAATGCAGTTCATCATTTAAACTGGAAAATATGCTGGTGAATTGTGTCTTTGAGCTCTTTCCAGAGAAACAGAGCAACCAGACATGATCTCTGTTCCGAAGCAGAAAGCACAGTGGCCCATTAGGTATGTGAGTTTTCGGTATAAGTAATACCAAGTTATCCTTCCTGGTGCCAAGCACCTATAAAACTACTTAGAAGGACCTCTTCTTACTGGAAGACTTTTATACATAGTGGCTTTAAAAACAAACTGCAGCAGCTTTTGAAATATCGGAAACATGCTGGCTATTGTTGATGAACCTCTTATCTTTTACAAGCCTTACTGAATAAAGAAATAAAGAAGTTGCCTTCTTTACACTGTACACAATGGGGATGATCCAACCAAAGTTAAGTACTTTAAAATCTCATTTACTTCGATGGAAGAGCGCTTAACTTTGGCTGAATCGTTCTTTTTTCTTTCTTTTCCTCTTTTTAAGGCCATCCAGCTGTCCCCCAGTGCTGGCATTAACAACATTGTGCGAGGGTAAATCAGTGTTAGTGCCACATCACTAGCATTTGCTAAGGCAATGGGGAAAATGGCAATGTGTTAGTAGATTTCAGTGGTGCATGGCTTTCTTGCATTGGCTAAACAAGCACTACATTGTGCAAGTTTTGCTTTATGCTAGCACATCACCCTTAGCACTAGTTTGGGGCAGAGTTGGATACGATCCAGTTATTTGTTTTATTTTTTCTTTGAATAAAAGTTCAGCAGCAGTATGTCTGTCTTTTTTCAGTTACAGTTAGGCAACTAATGTTTACATAGGATCCAGTTCCTCTGGCTTAGATTAATTTTATTCATATTAGTGAACCAAATCATGATGGCACGAATTTGAGAACTGCAAAACAATTGAGGAAATATTCCTTATAGAGTTTACGTTCTTCCACTCTGGGAGAAAAATACATCTGAAACCTGATAAATGCATAGTATTTACCATTCATTTCTTGGATGCCATATAGGCAAGCTATCACAAGTGCACTCGAATGTAATAAAATCCTGATTTTAAAGAGAACCAATGGAATGTTACTTTATCATTGACCAATCATTTTTTAAAAATTGCCTGGACTTCTGTTTGTGTAGCACCACTCTGAATTTTTAATATATACATTTTTAAAAGTTTTCATGTACATTTTGTAGACATTTATATGTCCTTAAGATTACTTTTGAATTTATATTGCTATCATCCCAATAGAATATTGATGATAGAAATTATGATAATTAATTTGTCCTGTGAAAGCGTCTTCTACTGTGACTTCTATGTGACTGTCCATTGGATGAAGAAAAGACAATTTAGTCCTCTCTCCCTTCCTCTTTGTTTGGGCAAGTGTAGTTTGGGCTCTGATCAATTGAACAAAGATATCAGTTGATTACCAAAGAAAACCTTTTATCTAGCCACTTATGTATTAGACCAAAATTTGTGCTGGTCGTATTTCTAAATCCTTCATATGACAAATTAATACCTTTGCAGCCTCTCCTTCCTAATCACTAGACACAATCCAGCACAGGTAAGTGCAGGTTGGTTCTGTTAAAAACTAGGAGGACTTAAACCCAATTCTCCATGTAATGTGTGCACCTGTTTTTGGTTCTTACCTTAAGGAGACTATAGATTGGATTTCTTATTGGTGATTTTGTAACAGCCATGCTAAGGGGACCTTATAACTTCCTCAGCTTGGTGTCTTCAGATGTTTTGGACTTCAGCTCTCAGCCTGCATGTCCAACCATGAAGAATACTGAGAATCAGTCTCCAAAACATCTGGAGGGCACTACCATTGAAATTAATACCAGTGGTTATACCAGCAACATCCCAGTGGATTGTGCTATCCAACATCAGTGGAAAAATATCACTGAGATTTGATCTGCTTTTTTGTTGTAACGTGTTGCAACTACATGTACAGCATCTGAGTTAGCTGGCTCTAGAAGTGTACCACTCAGCTGTCCTGAACAGTCAACAACTTGTATGCACAATGTTTTGACTCCAAAAGTGATATGAATACATACACCAGCAATCCTGATGCAGATAAGTCTTTCCTCATTGTAGGGATGGAAGGAGATTCTCATATAGATCACCTTTTCCAATGAGGAAAGGGCAATACTTATAAGGGACTTTGGGGGAATTAGTAAGAAAGAGTGGTCAGGACACCTTTGTAAGCTGCAATGAAAGCTTTGCGGGGTCACATATAGCCCTCAGACTATAGGTTGTGCATCCCTGTCTAAAGGAAATGAGTTGAGCTCTAGGGATACGGTAGCTATAGGACATGTGGAGAAAATATCCTTAGGCATGTCCTCCATGGCAAACCTGTTGATTAGCTTCGTCACTTGAAAAAGAACTGGCCCTTTGAATTAGTGAAGTAAGGGCAGGGGGGATTCAGGTTGATCTACACAGACTGATTTTTGGTCCATATTTTAAGGAAATGGTGCATAGTGTCATTGGTTTTCAGAACTCCATATTGGTTTGCTGATGCCTTGGCAGAAAAAAAAGGAGGCTGTGTGTTTTGACGGTGCCATGTGTAAGTAATTTCTTATCAATTAGAATAATAATAAATTGATTCTAATGGATTCTCCTTTAACTATCACAGAATTTAATAAAATGTCTTCAATGAAACTATTATACCCTTTGGAAATGGAAACGTGTCACAAAACCTGTTGGAATATTAAAATGTGTCTCTTTCCCCTTCCCCACTTCCAACTTGTAGGTTAAGTATATGCTGTTTACTTTAAGTATTCAAATGTGGGTAAATTTTACAAACCATGAAAAGCAAGGTAAATGGCAACATGTGAGCCTTAAGCTTGGAAGGACTCATGCTAAATGAGGAACTTGCAGCATGCTGCACTGTACGTCTTTCCACATGCCAAAATAATAATAAAATGTCTACCTGTATGCAGACATTTCATCTTTACCCATGGATGACGTGTGCTTTATTCAAAAGTGTATGTGCTCTAAAGCTTTATTTTCAATGCAGGGAATTCACATGAAGATGTGCTCATGATTAAATTAAATGGAGCAGCCTGCAGTGTGATGCTACATTGAATATTACTTGGCTGTAAACCTCGCTGAAAATAGGTATCATGATGTCCGATATATATTTACTTCATTACAGTTCTATTATCCATTAACCAATGTTCTCTGAGCTGGTCACAAAACAGCCATAACAGCAAAACATACTATTAAAATCTTAACTTCAGAAACAGAATAAACGAATAAATAGAAAACAAGCAGCCATGCAAAGATACAAAAAACAAAAAGAGTATTTTTTAAAAAAATGGAAGGACTATAAAGTTTTGGAAAACAAAAAGACCACAACACAAGTGCAGACAAGTAAAGGGAAGGCACCACTGAAAATGCCCCATCCATAGTGGTTACCCCATTTGGCAGAAGCTCCTGGAAGAGGAACAGCTATTCTGTAAGACTATCAACTGAACTATGAGCAGATGCTACAAATGTAGAAAGGCAAATCCTACTTTCAGGTTCAGCCTCAGGCTTCAGTATCCAGGGCAAATATTAAAGCAACTGTTTTTCCTCTTATGTTTGTGGGTCTCGCATCCTTGCAGCTGAGTAAACTGAGAAGAGGGTTTCGTTCACAACCCTTTATTAGCATAACAATCCAAGTTGGCTTCTTTCTGCACTGATATTTCCACTTATTCCTTTTCTATCCGCTTGAGATGGGCTGCCAGTGATTCATTTTCCCAATCATAACAAGCCCATAAGTGGGCCAATCTAAACTAGTGCTTAGCACGATGCTGTTACCATCTGGCTCATTTGCCTAGCAAACAACACCCCCCCAACCCTGGACCACCCTTCCTATTGTTTTCTCTTAGTGATTACTGTTTCCATGTGCTACCGAGTGATCCAGCATAGCAATGTTTTAACTCCAAGCAGTGGAGGTGGCTTCACTGTTGAGCCTGTTTGCAGTATATTCCCCTACTGTGGGTGTGTGTGGGGTTGGGGGGTGGGGTGGATTTGCTTGCAAGGAATCTAGATTATTCCCCATTTCTTCTTCAAAGAAAGAAAGGTTGTGCTTATTTAGCCACAATTTTGCTGGCTGGCTATTTTTTCAATATGTGCTGATTATTATTTTAAAACCTGTATAACTGCAGGTATGTTTATTTACTAAACATGCTTTTTCTACTGTAAGCTACCTAAGAAGGGCTTGGTAGTTATAGGCAACCTATAAATACACGTATGAATGAACCTGAAATGACAGACTTCTGCAACTGCAGTGTAACACTGTGGCTTGGCCTTGCACTGCAACCACAAATGAGAAAAACACATGAACTTTCAACTTCTCCCATAATTACAACAGTATGCATTGATACATGGCGCTCATTCATAAACACAAAAGATCCTGTGCCGTATGCATCAATACATGCCCACTGCATGCCACCTGCATTGGTGATGGACGTGGTGGAAATGCCCCAGCACACCTGCACCTCAGATGTGACTGTAGAGTCTATACTATTTGGACATGAGTCATGCACGAATTTTAGTGCAAGTGCAACACTATAAACAAATCAAGGAAGGTGCTTGTTAGTGATAAAATCAGCCTGAGATGAGTTTTCCCTGCTGCCTTCCTTGCTTCCTTACCTTCAAGTCTGCAGCCAATTAACATTGACAGGAGTGAAGAAAGTACCCAGAGAGTCCACTGGGGGTGCACAATCAAAAGAACATTACAGTTTATTCAGACTTACAGGAAATCTATGCAGGGTACAGGAAGACCTCAAAGGGACTACAAAGATGGGGTCTGTACAAGATTCTTTTATAACTTTATAATAACAACAACAACAACAACAACAACAACAACAACTTACCAGTTACATACACAGTTTGGAGGAGGGGTGGTGGATCAAGTGGAGAATCTTATACACAGTATACTAGAGGCGCATTAGACTAAAGCAATAGAGATGAACACAATACAAAAGAGAAGAACCTTCAGGGCAGACAGAGATTAGCATGTGTAAGGAGGGCCTTTCAGGACAGAGGCACTTCTAAGGTGTTAACAAGAAGCAAAACTTGTAACATGAATTCTATTCAGAACAGGAAATCGGGAATGCCATCCTAAGTCTAAGGCTGTTCTTACACTGCCAGGCTTTTATGCAAACTCCTTCATGGATCACTGCCTTTTCGTGGCGAAGGGGCTTGTGTAGCTCAATGAAACTATGAGCTATGCCGTGCAAGGTCAGCTAAGACGGACAGGTCATAGCAGAGAGCTCTGATCCACTGGAGATCCACTGGAGAAGGAAATGGCAACCCACTCCAGTATCTTTGCCATGAAAACCCCATGGACAGTACCAAAAGGCAAAAAGATATGACGCCGGAAGAAGAGCCCCTCAGGTCGGAAGGTGTCCAGTATGCTACTGGGGAAGAGCAGAGGGCTAGTACTAGTAGCACCAGAAAGAATGAAGCGACTGGGTCAAAGCAGAAAGGACACTCAGTTGCAGATGTATCTGGTGGTGAAAGGAGAGTCCAATGCTGCAAAGATCTATACTCCATAGGAACCTGGAATGTCAGATCCATGAACCAAGGCAGGCTGGATGTGATCAAACAAGAGATGACAAGACTGAACATCGACATCTTAGGAATCAGTGAACTAAAAAAATCCCTCCAAAGAAATGGAGTAGTCTTCATAGTCAATAAAAGAGTAGGAAAGGCAGTACTGGGATACAATCTCCAAAATGACAGAATGATCTCAGTTCAAATCCAAGGAAAACCATTCAACATCACAGTAGTCCAAGTCTATGCCCCATCCACTGGTGCTGAAGAGGCTGAAGTTGACCGGTTCTATGAAAGCCTACAAAACCTAGAATTAACACCGAAAAATGATGTCCTTATCATCATGGGGGATTGCAATGCTAAAGTAGGAAGCCAAAAGATAACTGGAATAACAGGCAAGTTTGGCCTTGGAGTACAAAATGAAGCAGGGCACAGGCTGGTAGAATTTCGTCAAGAGAATACGATGGTCATAGCAAACACTCTTTTCCAACAACCAAAGAAACGACTACACATGGACATCACCAGACGGTCAACACAGAAATCAGATTGACTATGTGCTCTGCAGCCAAAGATGGAGAAGCTCTATACAGTCAGTAAAAACTAGACCAGGAGCTGACTGTTGCTCAGATCATGAGCTTCTTGTTGCAAAATTTAGGCTTAAATTTAAGAAAGTAGGGAAAAGCACTAGGCCACTCAGGTATGACCTAAATCATATCCCTGATGAATATACAGTAGAGGTGACAAATAGATTTAAGGAATTAGATCTGATAGAGTGCCTGAAGAACTATGGACAGAGGTTCACAACATTGTACAAGAGGTAGCAACTAAAACCATCCCAAAGAAAAAGAAATGCAAGAAAGCAAAATGGCTATCTGAGGAAGCTTTACAAATAGCTGAGGAAAGAAGGGAAGCGAAAAGCAAGGGAGAAAGAGATACACCTAATTGAATGCAAAATTCCAGAGAATAGCTAGAAAAGATAAGAATGCCTTCTTAAATGAACAGTACAAAGAAACAGAAGAAAACAATAGAATAGGGAGGACCAGAGACTCTTCAAGAAAATTGGAGATATGAAGGGAACATTTCATGCAAAGATGGGCATGATAAAGGACCAAAATGGCAGGGACCTAACAGAGGCAGAAGAGATTAAGAAGAGGTGGCAAGATTACACAGAGGAACTATACAAGAAAGAGCTTAGTGTCCTTGATAACCACAATGGGGTGGTCACTGATCTCGAGCGAGACATCCTGGAATGTGAAGTCAAATGGGCCTTAGGAAGTCTGAGCAACAACAAAGTTAGTGGAGGTGACAATATTCCAGCTCAGCTATTCAAAATCTTAAAAGACGATGCAGTAAAAGTGCTACACTCAATATGCCAGCAAACTTGGAAAACTCAACAGTGGCCACAGGATTGGAAAAGGTCAGTTTACATTCCAATCCCAAAGAAGGGCAATGCCAAAGAATGTTCAAACTACCCCACCATTGCACTCATTTTGCATGCTAGCAAAGTTATGCTCAAAATCCTACAAGCTAGGCTCCAGCAGTATGTGGACCGAGAACTACCAGAAGTACAGGCAGGATTTCAAAGAGGGAGAGGAACTAGAGATCAAATTGCCAACATACGCTGGATCATGGAGAAAGCTAGGGAGTTCCAGAAAAACAACTACTTCTGCCTCATTGACTATGTTAAAGCCTTTGATTGTGTGGATCACAACAAATTGTGGCAAGTTCTTAAAGAGATGGGAGTACCAGACCATCTTATTTGTCTCGAGAAACCTATATGCGGGTCAAGAAGCAACAGTGAGAACTGGACACGGAACCACTGATTGGTTCAAAATTGAGAAAGGAGTTCGGCAAGGCTGTATACTGTCGCCCTGCCTATTTAACTTATACGCAGAGCACATCATGAGAAAGGCGGGGCTAGATGAATCACCATTTGGAATTAAGATTGCTGGGAGAAATATCAACAACCTCAGATATGCAGATGATACCACCCTAATGGCAGAAAGTGAAGAGGAACTAAAGAGCCTCTTGATGCGGGTGAAGGAGGAGAGTGCAGAAGTTGGCTTGAAACCCAACATTAAGAAAACTAAGATCATGGCAAATGGTCCTCTCACTTCCTGGCAAATAGATGGGGAACAAATGGAGATAGTGACAGATTTTATTTTCCTGGTCTCCAAGATCACCGCAGACGGGGACTGCAGCCAAGAAATTAAAAGATGCTTGCTCCTTGGGAGGAAAGCGATGGCAAATCTAGACAGCATACTAAAAAGCAGAGACATCACCCTGCCAACAAAAGTGCGTATAGTCAAGGCTATGGTTTTCCCAGTTGCAATGTATGGCTGTGAAAGCTGGACCATAAGGACGGCTGAGCGCCAAAGAATTGAGGCCTTTGAATTGTGGTGCTGGAGGAGACTCCTGCGAGTTCCTTGGACCACAAGGCGATCAAACCTGTCAGTCCTAGAGGAGATCAACCCTGACTGCTCTTTAGAAGGCCAGATCCTGAAGATGAAACTCAAATACTTTGGCCACCTAATGAGAAGGAAGGAATCCCTGGAGAAGAGTCTAATGCTGGGAAAAATTGACGGCAAAAGAAGAAGGGGACGGCAGAGAATGAGGTGGCTGGATGGAGTCACTGAAGCAGTCGGTGTGAGCTTGAGTGGACTTCTGGGGATGGTGGAGGACAGGAAGGCCTGGAGGAGTGTTGTCCATGGAGTCGCAATGGGTCAGACACGACCATGACTAACAGCAACAATTATGGCAAAGCTTTTGCTGATTTTGTCCTGACAACATCCTGATCTGCAGTGGGGAGGGCATAAAGACAGAATAAGCTAAGGGGGAAAGGTTCTTGTGCACTTAACTCTCAGTTACAATAAATGAAGGCTCCCTAGCCATCTGGGCTCAACCGACAGATCTGGAATGCTGGCTGATTACCCACTAACATGATTGCAGAAGTAGCTGGTCAAAAACTCCCGTTTCTCAGCAGCAAAAAATGGGCGAGACTAACAGAAAAGTAACTTGTCCATAAACCTAAATAAAAGGCAAAGATGGGCTATAAGCTCCAAACCACTAAACCACATTGCCGCCTCCAGCCCACAGTCATTTCCCAGAAGGCAAAGTGCTGAAGCTCCGAGATGTAGCGGCTGGAAATTTCCTAGGACGTAAAGGTAATGCTTGAGGGTGATACTTGCTTTGCAACATGACTGCTTCCTGTTCTTTTTTTATTATTATTAAAAACTTTTTTCCCCCTAAAAAATCAGAAAGGTTGCAAAGCCCAAAGAACATTGAGAGGTGTTTACAGGCACCTGAATGCTCCCGGGTCCACTTTGGAAACTACTGGTACACACATTTTATATTTTATTTGCACCATTTATATATCGCTAAATATTTTTAAACAGTACGCAATTTCCATATATTCCACTGAGAATTAGTTGCAGGAGACTTTTCTTCTTCCTCCTGAGAGGAAGTGAGAACTACTGATAAAATTCAGTGGAAAAACCCTCGATTTTACCCCCCCTGCTATTATAGAGAAGGTGATTTGTCTCCCTCACCCTTTTTACTTTTTCTGACTGGCCATTTTGTGTCAAATTTTAGCAGTGAAATTATATGCGTGTCTACTTAGAATACGCCGCATTGAGGTCAACAGAGCTTCCTTCCAAGTAAATATGTGTAGGTTTGTAGCCTTGATTTATATTTTATATTTTTATTTTTTTATTTTATTGGCGAGGGTGTGTTTTCAGTTCAAAGCATTTAAAAGCAACTCAGAAGCATATACTGTACCACAAGATACAACAACGCTTTCACGTATAACTGGCCTTGGAGTGGGTCTGAAGGTACAATGCCGCTATTTGGTTTTGCTGCGATCTGGAAGGCGCCTGTATGGTTGCAAATCAGCCTTGCCTCACCTAATTTTCCATATTTACGGGGGACTACATTGCAGTATAAGAGTAATGAACTGTACGTGCATTACATTTTTTTTAAAATGAGTATTTGAAAAGGATTAAATATTCCACACCAAAGCAGTAATCCTATTCCAGTTCAAACGCAAGGTAAATCCTACAATACCCAGCATTCCCCAGCATGATCAGCTGGGCGTTTTCCCTCCTCGTCTATATCTAAGAGAGAAAGAACAGAAGTTCGTTTTTCAGTTGCAACCTGCGGGAGGCTGCGCTAAATGCTTTTCCCAATGTCTTTTGCGGGCGGCGGAGGGGGGGCCACTGTCGGCACATTTGAAAATGGCTTCTATTGTGAATCCGCAAATTCTCTCGGAAGGCAAGAAGAATATTTTAATATTCGTATTCATATTAATATTAATATTTTAATAATAAAAGCAGATTAACATATCCTGTCTGCGATTGGTTATTCTCCTGGAGCACTGTGATGGGCTGAAAGGCGGAGACGGTGCACACGTGAGAGCTCGGATAGGCCCAATGGGGACGGGGGCGGGGCGAAGCGCGCGACGTCAGGCGCCCGCTCCCCGCAGCGCCCCCTTGGCGGACGGAGGCCCAGAGGCCGCTGGATGGCCTCGGTCTTTTCCCGCAAGTGGCGCTGCGTCCGTTGCTTGCTGCCGCGGACGGAGCCGCGCGTCCCGGCAGTCGCGTCGCGAGCGTCGGCTAGCATGGAGCCCGCGCCATCTTCCTCTCCGCCGCTCGCTCCTCCTGGCGAGGCCCCGAAGTGGCTCGGGGCACTCCGCTTCGACAACCGGGCGCTGCGGGCGCTGCCGCTGGACCCCAGCGAGGAGAACGCGCCTCGGCCTGTGGCGGGCGCTTGCTTCTCGCGGGTGCGGCCCACCCCAGTACGGAACCCGCGGCTCGTGGCGGTGTCCCTGCCGGCGCTGGCGCTCCTGGGCCTGCGGGAGCCGCGGACGCCGGAGGAGGAGGCCGAGGCAGCGCTGTACTTCAGCGGCAACCGGCTGCTGCCAGGAGTGGAGCCCGCCGCCCACTGCTACTGCGGACACCAGTTCGGCAGCTTCGCCGGGCAGCTCGGCGACGGTGCGGCCATCTATCTGGGCGAGGTGTTGAACCCGCGTGGCGAGCGCTGGGAGATCCAGCTCAAGGGCGCCGGCCTCACTCCCTTTTCCCGGTAACAACTGCACCAGCCTTTCCACCCAGTGAAGTCGGAGGCCAGGCCCCGTATTGGTCCACGAAGGAACTGGCTTGGCTTGGCTTGGCTCAGGATGTAGCCTGCAAGGCTTAGCTCTGGGGCGTAGTAAATCCCGTTCAATTTAGTAAGCCTTACTCTGAATGAATACGCCTAAGATCGGGTGATATCCGTTATCACTGCTGATATCCGTGGAGCTCACTCCAGTGAAAAGCATTGCACCGCAGTCTTAGTTTCTTCTCCCCTCCTTTACTCTTGAATCATGGCTCATTTCTCTGACCAGCTTCTCTTGTAAAGATGAGGCTGGAAAATACAGTGACTTCATAGCATGTCTCTAAACAGGTGCAAAATTTCTTTTTCAAACTGCTAAAACGAGTAGGGAATGTATGGCTTTCAAGCACCCATCAGTGTTGCCAGCATGGCCAATGCTGAAGGATGGTGCAGATTGCAGTCTGACAACATTTGGAAGGTAGCACATTCCCCTTGTAGCCCCTTGAAGGTGCTTATAGTTCACAGGTAGCTAAATGTGTGAGTAGATAAGAGGGCTGTGTGCAGAGGCCTCAGACATCATGTCCCAGTATGTACTGACCCTTCTGGAGAGTTCAGATCTTGCCACCTTTAGTGCCTTGGCTCAGAATGTAGCCTGCAAAGGTTACTTTATATCCTGCTTTTTCTCCCTCTTGTAAGACACCCAGGGAGGCTTGTGAGGGCCTTTTCTCCATTTTATCCTCTCATTGCCCTGTGTGGCAGCTTGGGCTGAACACTAGTAGGCCTTTCCAGTGTGATCAGGGATCCTGCTTTATTCACTGCAAAACGTCTTAACTTTGCTGCCAAGGCAAAGGTTGCTACAACCTTTTGCTGTGCTATTGGGTATTTCCAGTTACCATGTGTATGGTGAGTTCTGGGTGCAGAGATTTCACATGCTTGACTTATGTAAAATGGTTGCTACTAGTACAAACTAAAGTTGAGCAGTTTCTACATGTGTTGTGCAGTTCAAAGGAGGGATGATACTGCTTTATCAATCTAAAGTCTGGAGATGGGAAACTTGTGACACTCCAGATACTTTGGCTGCAACTCCCATCAGCCAGATCCAGCATAGGTAGTAGCAAGGGATGATGAGTTTTGGGCCAAAATATCTGGAGAGCCATAAGTTGTTCAACCCTAGTAGAGGCTTCTAAACTAAGGTTATTCAAAAGAATTAGCAGTGTAAATTAGTTAAATAACTTGTATAGCCAAATGAGTCAACCACAAAGGATTCTTATATATGAATGAGTGTTGCGCCTTTCTGCTATATGCAGTGTTCATAATAGAATCTGGTTCATTCAATTGCTTCATAGACTGGACAGTCCAAGAGCACTTTTACTGATGGAATAAATGGCTCTTTAAGAGTTTAGTTCAGGTACATGATTTTTGGATATTGAGTACACTTTTTGGTTAATTCCATCCTATAAACCTTATTTAAAAAAACAAAATATTTAGCTTAAAATATGTAACATTTATTCCATTAATTGCAGGCAAGCAGATGGTCGTAAAGTTCTACGGTCAAGCATAAGAGAATTCCTTTGCAGCGAAGCAATGTTTCATCTAGGAATACCCACAACCAGAGCAGGAACATGTGTAACATCTGATTCAGAAGTTATTCGGGACATATTTTATGATGGAAATCCCAAAAAAGAAAAGTGTACAGTTGTCCTGAGAATAGCACCAACATTTATTAGGTGAGAATGCTGTTTGAGTTCAATATGGAATAGGTATTCTAGTATAGAGCATAAATATATTCTGCCCATAGGATGTACATTTCAGGTACCTGGGGCTTTTGCTTGCTATAATTGTAAATATTTAGCTTCAAAGCTTTCTGACTGTGTTGCTGTCAATGTGTTTGTAATGCCTTCTGTCGTAGCTATTCCTTTTATAGAAAGATTCCAGGGTCAAATTTCAGCATTAAGAATATAATTTCTTTCCTGTGCTGTAAAAGTAAAGCCTGGAATATATACTCTGAGTAGCATGATAGCTAGTAGCTTTTTCCTTAAAACATACTTCATTCTCTCTAATAACTAAGGAAAGTATAAATTATTATATTTTTATAAAATACATGGTCTCATAGATTGAGTTTTAAATTAGAGTCTCCAGCTAGAATCTGTATTGCAGTAGTAAAACTGTACCATGGGCGATCATCATTGCAGCCTCATCCCTAGATGTTCCCCAAAGACCATTTATTTTCGTTATTATTTAAACATATTTTAAATATACTAAAATATTCTATTAATAAATTACAGTAATTAATACAACTTTTATTTTAAACAGATTTGGATCATTTGAAATTTTTAAACCTGCTGATGAATATACTGGACGTAAAGGCCCTAGTGTTAATCGAAACGATATCCGAATACAAATGCTTGATTATGTAATCAGTACTTTCTATCCAGAAATTCTACAAGCATACTCAGATGACAATGTTCAGAGGAATTCTGCTTTCTTTCGAGAAGTAAGACAGCTGTTTGTTGTTACTATGTACCATCAAATTGTCTCTGACTTAAGGGAGACCTCATGAATGAAAGCCCTCCAAAATATCCTATCCATGACAACCCTACTTAGCTGTTCAAGACAGCTGTTACCTGATCATTTAAAACACTTAGGGTGTAATCATAAGTTCCTGAACTTGGAGGCTTATACTTACCAAATGTAAAGTAGGAGGAGTGCTGCAGATTATTGCAAGATGGGCTGCTGCTTCTTTTTTTAACAACTATCTAGCAAAGCATTTGAGGAGGGATGGGGAACGTGCTGGAGAAACCCTAGGCTAGCTCAAATCCTGACCTCTCCAGTCTCTTCCCCTCCCTGCCCACCAAAAGTCTCGCCCTGGCCCTGGTTGAGTTCCTGAACTTGGCAAGCCAGCCAACACAGTTCTTTCTACATTGATGGGGAGGAGGATGGATCATGGATTCCGCTCTCTCTGGTTGCAGTGCTGTTCCCAACCTTCGATATGGAAATGCAAAGAACTCAGTGGATCCTCAGATACTGTCTAGGGATCATCAGATTGTTACCCTATTATTTTTGCATTCCCTTCTTCCTCCAAGGCAGATCAGGTGACATTTTAGCATTACGTCTTTTCAGTACAAAATGTGGATTAAGTGATAGGGAGTCTTCCAATGCCGCCCAGTGGCCTTTATAGCTCAGCATTTTGAATACAAGCTTCCCACACCCAAACCTGCTCATCTAGCTACTGTGCCGTGATAGCTTTAAGGGCATCTCTACCCAAGTAATTTATTGTATGCTCATGCTCCTTCACTTTTAGAAGTTTCCACATGTTATCCTTCAGGGCCTCTCCCAAATTCTCCAACCATTTTAACACTTCTTAAAAGAACAAGGAAAGGCTGGTATGTTCCTTTATGATGCCATTATTCAGCACAGACATTCACCACAGCTCCACCAAAAGGAATATAAAGAAAGGCAGAGAGGAAAATCCCCAGGAAATAACCTTGTGTGAAGGATGTTCCAATTCTCCTGCAAAGAAAATGAAAGACACTTCAGTAAAGCACCAGGTTATATGCCTCATGCAGAGAAGCCCTAAGACTATAAACATAGCTTCTCAGTATTTTGATCTGCATTGGTGTGCAACAACATGAATTACTCCTTTGCAAAGATTTTCAAATTTATTTTGATTCATATTCATGAATCTGTGTCTGACAGAGGACTTGTGTGCATGTAGTTGTATTCCATTTATTTAAAATTTCTTATATACCATCTGATTATTATAAAATCTCAAGACTTTATATAAAAAGTCAAAAATATAAATATAAAACCATATTGCAGCCATGAAATATTTAAAATCTCCTTAGTGTCCACACTTGCTACAACTAATTAAAATACATTATTAATTTAAAAACAGGAGAATGAACAAGGTTTTGGCCTGGCACCAAAATGAATAAAGCATCAATGTCACATGCACCTCTTTGGGGAGCGAGTTCCATAATTGGGGTGCTATCAGAGATAAGGCCCTTCTTGTAACCATCCTTCTCACCTCTCTCAAGGAGGGCTCTTGGATGAGGACCTCCGTGACAGATCCCAGGGACAGGCAGGCTCATGGAAGAAATTTCCTTGGATAACCAGGATTGTTTTGGGGTGTGTAAATACTTTGGAAGGTTATACACCTGAAATAAGAACAAAATGTGTATTGTTTTGTTGCTGTGGATATGTTGCATATAGTGAGATCTGAAGTAGGATCTGCTACTCCGTTTTCTACTTTGTCCCATGTGTGCCAGAGTAATTTCACAACAAAGGAACTTTTATTGTTTGTTGGTGGTCTTAAGGATCTATAATTAATGGCATATTTGAAAATGTAGAAGGAAAATGCTCAGAATTTTGCTCAGAAAATCTTAGGGTTCCTTGTATACTCGAATTATTTTGTGTTTATTTCATATTACTATAGAGTATGTATAAATAGCATTTTTATATATCAAAAGAGCTTGAAATCTGATCCAGTGCTATTTTCAGGTTACACGGAGGACAGCAAGGATGGTTGCTGAATGGCAGTGTGTTGGATTTTGTCATGGTGTGCTCAACACTGACAACATGAGTATAGTTGGACTTACAATAGACTATGGGCCTTTTGGATTTATGGACAGGTTTGTGTAGTTACAGCGTATCTCTTTAGTTAAAACACAGAAATATTATTTTGATTGTGTAAAATGTTACTAGCCTCTTTGTTTTTTTAATTGTCTAGTGGACTCTGGAAGAAATTGCAGCTTCTGTGATATATTTTAAGATGAAGTTATGAAATTTTTGTAACTGAAATTTTCATACTGAAATTAATAGAAGATACCCAGAATGATTCTGCTGTCTGTTGCAACATTAGTCTTGTTCAGCTGGTTAGATCTCTGTCACAGGCTTTTATGTACAAGTTTACATGGCAATTTGTCTCTGTCCCAGATTTTATTAACTAAGGTGAAATAATACACAATAATGTTTTTGCACATGATATAGAATATTCCTAAAACAATTTAAATGTATTTGTTAAGGTATCTAGTGACAATTCAGTCATGAAAAATAAACTATGTGGCAAATGTTTCTCTTTTCTAGATATGATCCTGAGCATATTTGCAATGGATCTGATAACACAGGACGCTATGCTTATAATAAGCAAGTCGAAATTTGTAAATGGAATCTAAGCAAACTTGCTGAAACCTTAGTCCCAGAACTCCCACTGGAAATCAGTGTACCCATTCTGGAAGAAGAATATGATGCAGAATTTGAGAGACATTATTTACAAAAAATGAGAAAGAAGCTAGGATTAATCCAGCTCCAATTAGATGATGATAACAAATTGGTGTCTGACTTCTTAGAAACTATGCATATCACAGGTTAGTGTAAACCATAACATTTGAACAGTATCCTTTTTTAACTTTGGTCAATCACGTTTAATAACCTGAATCATTTTAATACATTGGAAGCAATGGCATGGTGAAGCAGTTTTAATTGGGTGGAAGAAAGTGAAATAAAAAAGCTGAGAAACAGGGCCTGTTCACATGAACAAGAACCCAGTGATTTAAAAATTCAAGAACAAACTGGTTTAACTGTTGGGTCATTTAGTCCAGCTGATTCAGATTTTCATGCCATGCTCCACAATCCATAAAGGAGCCCTTTGTGGGATAAAAGGCAGAGATGGGCAAGCCCACTTGTGCCCAGCAACCCTTCAGTTCTTAAAGGAAAGAAGTGTGTTTATGTACAGAACCAGATCGTGCTTTTGCATGACCAGTGTAAAGTTTCCATTAAATCTGTTTCTCAGGTGCAGATTTTACAAATACTTTCCATTTGCTGAGCTCTTTCTCAGTAGACTCTGATCCTTCAAAGTTAGAAGACTATTTAGATGAGATTTCAAAGCAGTGTGCATCTTTAGAAGAACTGAAAGTTGCTTACAAGCCTCAGATGGATCCCAGGTATGATGCAGTATATTCACTGTTTGTTCCAGGTTTTACATTTATTTCTATGAAGGAAAATGTGAGCAAAATGGCAACAGTGAATCCATTTTTAAGTTTTAGAAGCTGACATACAACAAAGTTGGAATCTGCCCAGACAAAACTTAGGGAAAGATGTTTGTCATCTTACATTAAAATGCTTCTGGAAGTAAAACATTTTGACTGCCGTTATAAGTGACTTCATAGACTTTATGTTGAATAATAATATCTAATTTATAGCTAACACATAACTGATGCTAACTCATTTCTGTCAGTATTTGATTGTTTCTTATCTTTTTTTCTAGACAGCTTTCAATGATGCTGATGTTAGCACAGTCTAATCCACAACTCTTTGCTTTAATTGGAACAAAATCAAATATAAATAAAGAGTTGGAACGCATAGAACAATTCTCTAAACTACAGCAGTTAACAGAATCTGACTTACTTAGCAGAAATAAAGGGCACTGGAAAGACTGGTTGCAAAACTACAGGTAGGACTAGTGGGTATATTCTATTTATTTTATTCATGTTGGTGGAGATTTTTAAAATTAATTATAATGAATAATTAGCAAGCACAAACTGTTCATACGGCCAGCCTCTCATACACAACTCAGGGGCTGAAGGTTTCAAAGATTAAGTCTTAGCATCAGGGTATGGTTATAGGATATATTCTTGTCTTCCTTGATTTGGATGTTTTGGTGTTTCAGGAATGTGAATTAAAAAGAAGTATTGATTCTTTTGTTTTAAAAATCCTCTTTCCTTGGACTCAGCTTTGCCTTCTCATTTCTGTGTGCTTTCAGAATTCGCCTAGAAAAAGAAATGGAACATGTTAGCAATGCTAATACCTGGAATGCTGAGCGTGTAAAAATTATGAATTCAAACAATCCAAAATATATCTTGAGAAACTATATTGCTCAAAATGCTATAGAGGCAGCAGAAAATGGTGACTTCTCAGAGGTAAATCGCATCACCAGATAATGCAAAATAAACCTGGAGGGCATAGTAACTAACTGGGAAGTTTTCTGGTCTCAAAATTGGTATAGAAATAACAATGCTTCTTATTGATGCTAAACATATGTATTTTGTTGCAGTCATTGTGTTACTTCTCTTACAGATAAGGAGAGTCTTGAAACTCTTAGAAAAGCCATATGAAGACGCAGAAAGTCATGAGGTAACAGAGGGGACCGAAGAGGAAGCAGCGGTGGCCGCCGCAACTGCCTGCAGTTCAGCAAGCCAGCAAAGGATTCCATATAGTAGCAAACCTCCTCTCTGGGCCTCCGAGCTCTGTGTTACATGATCTTCGTAACTGCCTTGTTAGCCTTCTCCGCAAAGAGAGCTTGCACTTCTCAGTTGTGGATGGTGTTGCAAGGCACAATAGAAGTGCTGTTAAATCTCAAACAGATTGTTTGGATGTTGACACAGTTTTACCTGAGCCATGTTCATTTTTGGAAATGTGACAATCAGCTGTCCGTGGACACTGTAAAGGTGTTGGGAGGCAAGCCAAAGTTTTTCCTTCTGTTCATCCTCCACAAAATGCTGTTGCATATTTATGCACACTGAACTGAAAACATCCAAATAAAATCTGTGCTTGTGAAGACAAAAATAGCAAATCAAATACTGGATATATTTTTGTCTGAAAATGAGTTAATAGTACTTCCTAACAATATTTACGGCACTTTTCTTATGCAGGGATAGTTTAATTCTCTCTTTGTGGGGAGTGAGTTTAAGCTAATCATTGCTTATTTGAAGCCATGTTTCTTTTAATTGTGTGTTCATGCTTGTATCATTTTTAGAAAATTATCATTGGACACTAGGGAAAAGAGCAATAAACTGAAGCAAAAAGAAAAAGAAAGAAGAATTTTCAACTTAACTACATAATGACTTGTTTCACACACACTGCTAACCAAGGGTTGTTGGATTCTAGGTTGTCAGGAAACAGAGCTGTGCTGACCCGCTATAGTGTGTTAACTATGGAAAACCCAGAAAGAGAACCCTTGGTTTCAAACACTGAGCTATTTAAACTATTGTTATATGTGATCCCGGGGCTATGGGTTTTCCATGGGTTGTTTGCCAGGAAACAGAGGTGGCAGTCAAGAGTGGTAAAAAAAACAAACGAACCTCCATTCCTCACGCCTGTACTGCAGTGCCACAGGGCCATTTAAGATACAGGAAGGGAGAGGTGAAGGGAGGAGGAAGGCAAACCAGAGATCGAGAGAATAAACTACATCTTGTTTTATAAGCTTCCAGGTAAAACCTTGGTAGAGGAAAAAAACATGAGTTAGCATTATGTGCAGCCTATGTTTATATGTGGGGGCAGTTCACATGTCACTGGCATATCATGGGTCAGTTCATGATTTGTGGATATGTGCATCATATGCAAGATGCTTCTGTTGTTGGTAGACAACCTGCAGAGGACATGATCAAATGTTGTTAGTGGGACATGAAAACCCAGACCAATGGATTGTTTAGCTGCCCATATGTTGCTGCTCTGGTAAGCAAATGGCCCTAGTGATTTGCTTTACCTAAGATTATGTGCATACAGAAACTTAGGCCCTTACATGCATCTCCAGTTGGATTGGGGCGTGTGTATGCAAATGGTTGCTGTGCTTATAGATCAGCAGTATATTCTGGTTTTTGCTTAGTACTTGGTATTACTTTCATCGGATCAGGCATCAGTGCAGTCCCCAGAAAGGAGATGTTCAGTGCCACATAGTTGCTTGGTGCAACAGTTGGGAGAGCTGAATTATGCCTCCCTCCTGCCATATGATTAGCCCTGGCAGGAATGGATTCTGGACACTGAGAACAACTTTAAGACAGATTTTGCCAGCAAAATGATTCTGTCAAAATTTATTATGGATAAATTGCTTAGTATTCAAACAATGCTTTCCATTTCCAAATGTTGCGTACTTTCAAGCTTGCATTTAGTATAATGTATTTCTTTTCTATATTTCAACTTTGCTACCTCAGGAAAGTCTTCCATTCTTGCACCTTTTGCTCTTTGGGATAATTAATTATATTTTAATTATAATACCATTTGATTTTTAAAAGCCCAACACATTTAGCATGTATCTTGTCAGACTGCATTGGGGGTTTTGTTTATTTTACGGAAATTAAAATCAGTAGGATGTAGCTTTTATTGATTTGGAAAAACAAGTTATGATGTGCCACTAAGGAGAAATTGTGTCCATTCTGCCTTTATAATAGAAATACAGGCTAGTAAGATCACTTGGTGATGAATATTGGATAGTGACCAATGAGAGATGGTATAGACATTTCTGCAAATAAATACAGGCTCTCTCACTTTTCAGTAATAAGCAAAACTTAATTGTGGCTTCTGCATATCCTATGTATAGATTTGATTTAAAAAATATACAATGCCCAGGGCAAGTGTTATGAATGGTTTGCTTAATGTTTGTAATCTATTTGAATGAATTTCTGTTGAATTTTTGCAAAATAAGGAAACCATGAATGTTTTGTTAAGCTTTAAGTATTGCACTTTATATTTTCAACAGGTATCACAGACTTTTTTGTTCTGCATATAGTTAAACTGGACATTAACATCCTGGAACAGTTTTAATTGAAAATAAATGAGTTTGACCATATTAATATTAAATGTTGCCTTTTTTTTCTTGACTATGATATCCAGAAAACATACCTCTTGTGCTACAGTGCTATAGCTGGTCAATGCAATTTTGAAGATTCCCATATGAGCATTGTTAAGCTACTCAAGTCCTGCTTGGAAAACCTTGTGATATGGCATGAATTGGAACAGATAAAAAGTTAATTGAGGTTTGGAATCCCTGCAAACTTAGACATTCGACTTAACCTTTCCAAATGACAGTAACTGCATAGCAAAGTACTGTTAAATACTGGCTCTTTCAAAATCAGTTTGTGATAGAATGCAGGCATTTGCCACTTAAAATGTGGAGTGGTGGGGAGGAGAAGACAGTAAAATCTCACTAGGCGTGCAAAAGCTCTGGGCAGTCCTTGTAGCAGCTGTTTGGTTTTAACCATTGCACCATGTGAGGGTGCAAAAAGATCAAGCCAGTGAAGGGAAAGGCATAACAATAACTGAAACGAGAGACAGCAGACTCCAATTTAAGAAAATGGCTAAAAAGCTGAAAGTTTAGAAGGCTGGGTTTAGGGGTGGTGAAGCATAGAACCTGGAAACAGCCATAGAAAGGCCTATCAGGCTAAAGGTCAAGAGATACAACTTGGAAACTGTAAAACAAGGCAGCCTTTTAAAATCCAGAAACGTAGAAGAATGTAGCTAGACCAGTTAGTCGTGCCAGCTCCAGCTTTTCAGAAATACCTCACGTCTTTTATGTAGATACTATCTTCAGGGATCACGTAACTCCAGCTTAGACACGTCAGGACACATCCAGGTTATGGCAAGGATCATATATTACTTACAATGGTCACTCAGGGTGGCAGTATGCATACCATTAATGATGTGGCAGAGTATGATTGGTTATTTGGGGAACCGGCTTAGGGGAGGTTCGCCACCAATTGGGATTGCATTGGATTGGTCTGGGGACTTCATATGAACCATGTGGCTGAAATCCAAAATGAAAGAGCATATAGGCAAGTATAAAAGCCAAGGTGAGTGAAGCCATGCATCATTTGATGCATAGGTAGAACTGTACTGTGAAACCGAAGTAGACATGACTTGGGGTTTCTTGCTTCACTGCTTTCACTGAGGGGATCCAGTCCTTCTGTCATCATCACTGGGATGAAAGGTTTGCCCATCTGTTTCATTCTGAAGCATCCTATGATCCACTTGGACAAGGTATAAACCATGCTTAATTGTTCTTATTGCCAGTGTGCTGTGCTAGTATGCTAGAATAACTGGATTATGGTCTGAGAGTAGGGTGGTTTGCTCTATTTACCTTTCTTTGGAATTGGAAGAGCCTGTATATTGCAGTTAACCCAGGAAAGTGCTACAGAATGGAACAGACTAAGCAAGTCAGGAAAAGGGTTTAAGAGGAAAGAAGGCCAAGCAGAAGTCCATGGCTCCATTGTTTCCTTCTGGAAACATTTCCCTATGGATATATTGTATATCTAATGAGCTACACTGAATTTATTATTATTATTATTATTATTATTATTATTATTATTATTTTATTATTATTATAACATTTCTATGCCGCCCCTTGCCGAAACCTCGGGGCGGCTTACAACATGATAAAATACATTGAAATACAATTGCTAATGATAACATGATGTAGGAGACTTTGAAGAAAATTTCTTTCATTACAAAAATAATTTTGATAATCCCATTTTTTACTTTTCAGTTACAAAAAAATGTGTTTCCCTTTCAAGAGCATTGCTGTGTTTTTATTAATCCTGGACTTTCAGCAAGTCAAGATTAAGGTAGTAAACAATGATATTGGTACTTCAGTGGAAAGAAAGTAGAACTCCGGGTGATACACAGTAGATTTGAATCTTACCTCGAAAGTGGTGATGGGACAGCATCCTGCATTGTGCTTGAAGGCAGTATAGTTCAGGGAGCACAGGGCAGGCCTAGCGGTACACAGCTTTCTCCTCCAACGTTGTCAGTGCTTTGCACTCCTGTCTCCTCAGCATTTTCTACTTGATACACAAGGCTGATCCGATGGTTAGGCAGCATGAGATGGCAGCACTGGGTGGCCATTATATTTAAGAGACTTCCCCCAACCAAATACTCGGATGGCATTTATTAAGCTTCGAAGCAATGGCTGCATGCAAACATGGGCATGCACATGATGGTTTTTTACTTGGCTGGATCTAGGTATGCTTGTACCAACAGTAGATCAGCTGAAATCAATAGGATTACCTTAGCCATGACTAAGTTAAATCTGTTTGATTTCTGTGGATCTCTATATAAAAATGACTGAGTTTGAATGGCTGGCATTTGCCAAAGTATGCTAAAAATATAATTTGCCCTGGGAGCAAAAGGAAGTGCACTCTGGCCTCTGCCACTGGCTGGGAGAGGTTGCCAAGGGCTACTGATAGGTTGCACCACTGCTTCTCGGGAAGACCATGATAGCACAGGAAAGAACGGGCCTGGCCAAATCCATCAATTGGAGAAAGAGCAGCTGCGGGAAGTTTGCTTCCTCACACCTCTTGCTCCTCTGTTCCTGTTGCCCTGGGACTCAAGAGGAGAAAGAGATGCACACTCTGGGCCATCCATCAGCCCGAGAACTGGGGGCTTCTGGGTTGTGGGTAAGGGATCTATGGTTGTGGGAAGAGCAGTTGTGTTGGTTCCTGGTTGCTTGATTGAAAAGTGAGGCGCACACATTTTAAATAATAATTTTTAATCTTTCTCTACAGGCAGGAACACATCAAGGTATATATATTGTTATATGTTTTCATGATAATTTGATCTGCATATAATACAAAGCAGGGACAGATCCTTGTTCATCTACCCCAGATCAGGGCTTGATATGAGATACTGAATGTGAGAAGCCTCTTCATACTGCAGTGGAATGCCAGGAAGCATTTGTAAAAGTTGTCACTCTTTAGCAAGGGAAGAGGCTGCGAAATTGACAAAAGCAGCATTGGCCATTGCAAAATATGGGCAAATTGTGGCAGGGTGGGGGCAAGGTTGTTGGAACGCCGTTTAGAAGGTGTGATAGCATCTCTGGATGGCCCTTCACTGCTTTGGTGACTTATGCATCTGTGGCTGGAGATCCCCTCCCAGTTCTTGCTTTGACTAGAACAGCAACTGAAGGAAAGCAGCTGGAGACCGAATTTCTTATTCCTCTGCACAAGAAAAAGCACACACTTCTGGAGGTGAGTGATAGCAGCTGTGGCCTCTCTTCCCTGCCTGAATGCTTAAGGAAAACTGCTCCCATGTGCTTTACACCAAGGTATCTATGGGAGATCTCGACTTTCTCTGAACTTAAGAACCACTATTCAGACCTGCAAGACCTGAGCAGAAAACCCTCTGTGAACACTGAAATATCACTAGTTCACACAATTCCAGGCTGAGATTGTACCTCAGTCAAGCATTACCAGTTGGAACTGGGCTATTATGAATTTGGATGCAACCCCTGCTCATCTTGAGAACATCTGCCATTTGCAGTAGGTGTGCATATAGACTCCAGAGTCCGTCAGGCTCCATCTAGGTCCAGAGACTAGCCAAGCCAGGCTTTTCTCTTGACTTCCCAGGTGCTGGTCTACTTTGCTTCTCTCCCACCATGCTTCACCTTCTGAACTGTTAACTATCACCGCTTAACTCCACTCCTTGTATTCGGAACTCCAGGGGGAATAAGTCATCCCTTGAAGCTGTCTTGAATCCTTGGAGCAGCAATCTTCATCTGCTTCTCTCTCCTTCCCATTCAAGGATCTGATTGTACAGAAATATTTGCTGCAAATTCTTCCCTCAAAAGTGGTGCTTACAAGATCCAACCAAATGCATCTTCTGATCCTTTTGAGGTGAGGCATGATTCCACAATTACATATTCACTTCTTGACAGGGCCATCTTAATGCATGGGCCTGATGGGCACTTGCCCATGGGCCCCATACTAATCTGTGTATGTTAACCCTTGGAAAATTGGAAAACTTCCAAAATTAACAGTAGTTGTAGTTGTCATAGGGGCCCCAGTACACTGCTTTCCCCGAGGCCCATCATGCTGTTCAGACAGCCCTGCTTCTTGAACTAGCTTCAGTAATGCCAAATTCTAAAGTTTCCTATATTGAGTTCAAGAAATTAGCTTGGCCATCAAATGACAGCTTTAGTTTTGCTTAAATTGCCTCTGAGTGTTTGTCAAGTTATAAAGTTTAGGTCTTGGATTTCTGTTTTTCAGATTTGAAGATTTTTTGTTTTGCTCTTTTTCAGATTTGTGGTTAGGATTAGAGAAAATGGTGCTTGATTGTATAAGTAGCAATCAAAAAATGTGCTTGGTTGCTGCTTATTTTTCAAAGAATTCCTTTTTTTATTCTTTCAGGCCAAAATGCAGGTGGGATGGGGGAATGAAGTGCTTTGATTAGCAAAGTCCTGGTTCTGTGTTGCCTTATGAAGCATCCACAGCAAATTAAAGGTTTATTGAAAAGGGATTGTGTATGAACTTAATAATTAATATGGTGGACATTCTAGGTGTTCTGTGAAAAGCGAGAAAATGAAGGATGGACTGTTATCCAGCGACGCAATGGGAAAGGCGCAGATGGGAATCCTGTGAATTTTGGGAGGCCTTGGGATGACTACCAAAGAGGATTTGGACATGTCAAACGTAAGTAAATTCTTTTAAGATAATGCAAGCTCCCAGATCTGGTGGCTTGTATGTTTAAAAGCCAGTCTGTCTATACAAGGGGTATAAATATTTCTCCTCAAGATTGTTAAGGGCTGATCTACATATGCTGCGTTGTGTAAGTGGAAAGGGAAAGGATCATCATTTGAATAAGGTCTGACCACCAATTAAATCATTTCAGTTGACCAATCACCTCCCTTTAATCTATCCATTCAATGCAAATACATTCAATGATTCCCAAAAGTTCACTGGGAAGTTTTTCTTAGGTACTGAAGGAAGTGCAGCTGGCAAATGTAGCTGTGCGGTCCAGATCTGGGTGCATGTGCCTGGGCTGCCTGAAGGTGGACTCCCACATTTCTTTCTCCCACACGGTAGCCCCTCCAAAATGACACATGGAGCATTGAAGGGCCCTGCTAAGTGGGGCAGGCTGTGGGATAGGGGCAGGAGACCCCTCCTTTACCATGCATACAGAGAGATGCTAAGAGAGATTAGTAGGCCAAGAGAGATTAGTAGGCCAAGGAAGAAATGGAGTAGACATATTCCTCCCTTAAGAGGGTGAGGGTTGCACCTGTCAGGGGGTGTGCCTGGGGTGCCCTCACCCAGGTAGAGAGGGTGAAGTAAGTCCAGTCCTGTGGCTTTGCCTGAAGTCATCATGCCACCAAACACAACCTTTTGTCCACACTCTCCTCAGAACTATAAGTCAGACTATTTGTCCAACTAGTCCTATGTTACCTATTCCAGCAGTGGATCTGTTACGGTCTTTCCCACCTGATCTTTTCACACTGGAAATGCCAGGAATTTGACCTCAGATAGCCTTCCCTGACCCAGCACTCTCCAGTTATTTTGGATCACTTCTCCCAGAACTCTTGACCATTGACTGTGCTTTCTCGGGCAGATAGGAATTAAAGTCCAAATCACCTATTTGGAAAAGTCTGTCCTAAAACTGCATTCATTTCATCTGGCTTAATGTGGGAAATAAAAGCAGCCAAGTTAAAGTCCTCCAGCCTTTTGGGATCAGTGGGTACTTTTGGAATGTTGAGAGCTTGTTGTGGGCACTGGCACAAAATGGCTGCTGTGGTTGGAAGTCTTGCCTGTTTGTAAACACAACTGTATTTCTTCCAGATGAACACTGGCTGGGGCTGGAACACATGCATGATCTCACCAATCAGAGAGACAAAACATGCCAGCTCCTGGTGGATATGTTTAACTGCAAAGGGGAATGGGGCTATGCTTTCTATGACAGCTTCAGCATTGGCAGTGAACATGGAAATTACTCCATCTTTTTAGGAAACTACAAGGGAAATACAGGTAAGATTCTGCAGTGATATGAGCGAAACAGCTCTGGCAAGTAATAAACAGTATGTCATTTCTTACCATTTAGGGGCAAATATATTACAGTAACACTCACCAAAAATACTTTGAGTAGTGTTACAACTGTCATCAACTCTCAAGATTGTTACAGCTCATATACCAACCCTCCCATTGGTGTTGAGTAAATCCTAAACCTAATTCAGTCACTTTCTTGAAGAGGGATGAGGGAAGTGGGTGATTTTCCTATTCCCACCTAGCAAAGAGGGAAAATTCAGTCCTGCAACCCTTAAAATTGAGACTAGCATTCCTTGTTTTGAGCAGGATTGGTAATCCTTCTCCGTTAAAAGCAAGACAAAAACTCTTTCCTGGATATTAAAAAATTGTGGGAAACTGTACAGGTAAAAAAAGGGTTTGATGTACAGCATTATTTCATCAGACTTGATTTGGGAAATAAATTCAGCTAGCTTAAAGTCCTCCAACCTTTTTGGACTAGTCAGTACTTTTGAAATTTTGAGAGCCTGTCATAGACACTGCCACAAAATGGGTGCTGTGGCAGGAAGCTTTGCCTATTCATAAAATGGCTGCCATCATTTGTATGGCTGGACATAAAACACTGGTTGCTCAGAAGACAAACAGGGGAGACTACAAGAAAAGTAACATACTGATGATTCTAAAGGAGAGGTGGAATTCACACTATTCACCAAAATCTGCATTCAATCCACAGACAGCTGTTCAATTTTTTACTGAGCCACCCGCAAGGTGCCAAGTCCATGTTCAGGTCTGTCGAAGAAATTAGTATTCTGTGTCTTCAACTATAGAATCAGATCTTCCACATACCCAAACAATATAATCTTAGGTTTGTGGGAGACATATCTGATGTTTCACTAAAACACACTTTTAAAATATAGTAATCTTCAGAGGTGTTTTGTTTTTATTTTTTTGCTTTGGTTTAATGTGGCTCATGGCGGCAACTGTACCCTGATAGCTCCAGCATATATTATACTGAGGCCTGTATGTTTTCATTCCCAAGGAATTCAATAGCATTGCCATCCTGCAATTCATGAAAACTCTTAAGAGAAGTCTCTTTTCCTCCCATTCTTTTGATGTGTATGTTCAGTTTGGTGTATTAGCGTAGTGCTGGAATTTTGTTTGTATACTGCAAACTAATATCGACTCCAAGTCACTGGGCGAAAGATAAGTTATGTTTTTTTAGCATATATACTACAGAAAAATTCTTGTAAGCACTGCATTGGGGTGGAGAAACTTTTCCAGCTCCAGTGGTGAAATCAGTGCAGCAGTTCTTTGGGTCAACTTCCCGTGATGGACAGGCCAAGGGCAAAAGGGGAAGGGTCCAAATCCACCAAGGACCTGCATCTTTTAGCCTAAAGCTCTTCCAAGAACAATCTCTTAGGAGAGGCTTCTCGACTCTTCAGGATGTGGGGGAAAACAGGCAAGAGCCAGGAAACTGATCAGCAGCCAGCTATCGAACCAGAGGGCCAGGTTGGGACCCCAGGAGGGCTGGATTTGTCCCCCATGCCTAAGTCTCCCCAATTCTACAATAGATGATGCTATAAGCCAGGTGACCTGCTACAGAGGACTGTAGAGGACTGCCCCTTTTTCCCCCAGTGCAGGAGATAAAAAAGACTGATGTTCCTGTTCTTTTTTAGGAGATGCATTTAGAGGAGACCACCAGTCTGGGAGTCAAAATGCTCATCCCTTCAGCACGCCGGATAGTGACAATGACGACTGTGACATCTGTCTAAGGGGGGATGAGGCATTCAGCAGCTGTGCTGGGCAGCTCTATGGCTCTGGATGGTGGTTCAGCAACTGCGGCCAGGCAAATCTCAATGGAAACTGGCACCCCAGCAGTGATTGCGTGGGCTGGGTGTCTGGCATATACTGGGAAACATGGAGGAAGTCTTATTCGTTAATTTTTAGTGAGCTCAAGGTGAAATGTACCTTGCAGGAATAATGTGAGGCAGTTTGCATGCCCCTTTGCTGCTGTAAAACATCATTTATCTGAAGGAAAAGGTCACAACATTATTGCATAATGTAGAATATTTCTTCAGTACAAGGAACAGCAGCTGTCTAGAAAACCATTAAATATGTGGCATGTAACCCATCACCATGTAACTGACAATAAAAAAATGAATTTGGCTGATAAAAGCTCAAAAGGTCATCAGCTTTCATTACTTGTTCATTGAGCATTTTGGTGTATTTCAGTGCAAGTTGTTTCAACACCTGTTCCTTCCTCCCTCCCTCATTCCCAATTTTGTGTCAGCCAAAATTATTTTGGGGTCAAGAATATGTTTTACTATAGCCATAACTCTATATGCGAGTCTGTTGAGTGCACATTCCACCATCAATGGATGGAAGGGCTCCATTCGACTGCTAGTATATAATTTCTGGGGTGCCCTCCTTTCCGCCATCACAGCTCATCCATTCTGACTCTCCATGTAGCATTTTCAAAAGATTGAACAGACCTCTGTGGGGATGGGCCGAGGAAGTTCATTTCTGCCAGCCCAAGTTCATGAAAGTAAATCTGGATCCAGCCCATTATCTCCCCCATAACATGACTGGGGAGATGGTACATCCAAATCTACTGGCAGAGCTCTGGGTGATGAGCAGAATAGATGAGAAAGGATTTGCAATCCCAAGTGCTTAATAATAGGATCAACAAAATGTAGATAACTTGTACCGCTAAAATGCAGAAAGTAGCGATATGATGAGAAGTCCTCTGCTGTGGAACAGCTGAAACCAGAAACTCACTCATGTTGCTATATTGCCACAGCCCAGCTAGGAAATGGCTTGATTCCATACAGGAAGACATCACAACCTCGAGTTTGCCAGAACTGAGTAGGGTTGCCAGGAACAGGATACAAAAGAGTGCATTCTTTTGTAGGGTCTCTGTAAGACGAAGATGACAATATATAGCAACACAAAGAGAGAGAAAGAAGAAAAATGGGGCAAAATGAGTGAAACTTTGCTTAGGAAGTAATAGATATGTGTTGTGTATACTTTAGCAGGACAACAGATTCCTGTAGGCTAGTTTGAATTTTTGTCAAATCTGAAATTTCTCAAGGATACCACTTTTTTCCTAAACCCTTTCATATTGCCTTTGAAGTAGGAATACGGCATTAAAGGTTTAGGAAATACATTAGATATTCCATCCCTCTCTAATACGTTAAGAGGGAGTTAAAGATGTATCTCATCTGACAGACCTTCCCAGATTAGTTTTATTTAATATGCTTGTTTTTAGTTGAAATTAACAATTAAGAATTGTTTATTTTAAACTCTTGTAAACTGCCCAGAGCCTATGGGAATGAGGCAGTACATAAAAATCAAAATAAATTACATTCTTTCACTTTCTTTTAATGCATCTAGAATAGTACCATATTCTGCTTCCATATTCACTAATTAGAATTGCTACCCCAAACATAAGCATTTGGAAAGGTGAAGAAAATTCTGAAGTTTTGGTGATCTCTTGGTGTCAAAAGGATGGCTATAGCGTGTTAAAACATAACTTAAGCTAGGTGAAGAAGTTTGCTGCTCTTAATTTAGTGCTGAATAGAAAAATAAGTCTGGTTTTTGATCAAGGCAAAGGTATCTAACTACAGAAGTGACATTAACTTACACCAACTCTGAATCTACATCACAATTTCTGAACCTGGAAGAGTTGCTAAATAAGAATTCTATGGACCAGGGTCAGGACTGCAGTTTCCTGTATAGCTCTTTGTCCCTTCCTCCAATTAGTAGAGGCGGAACACCATGAAAGAAATGAAAATTCACAAAACTCTACTTTTCTTGCCACAGATTGTGCATGCACAAAATGCTGGGCTTTTTAAAAATACAGATTGCAAACAGCCTTGGAAATGTGGCTCAGTTTGCAGAAAGAGCAGGATAGGAATTCTTAACCTTTTAGGGCCCATGCATAGATGCTGAAATCTGAGTAACTGGAGGGCACCATCACAAAACAGCTGCCTGGGCGGGAGGTGGTCAAAAAGGGGAAGTATTTTGCCCATGAATGCACTGCTGAGGTCAGGGTCTGAGCAATAAAAGATCCATTTGATGGAAGCCAAACTGCTGAGTATCAGAGAAGTAACTTCACAGCCAACCCATCCACACGTGGACCAATACACTTGGGTGCCTCTCACCCTCTCTCTCCCAAGATCACCCCCAAATAAGCCCCCACTCACTCAGGATCACCCCCACCCAAACTATTTCCCTTTTTTCCACATATGGGGCCTAGAGATATTTTGGGAAAATTACAGTGGTAGACAGTGGTAGGTCAATACCTCACTTAGACATCACCAGGTGTTAAAAAAATAAATCGGGGCACTTGCACTGCAGGCACTAAGCGAAGGGTTGGTGGGTTCTGTGGTGCAAAGAATTTCAGTGCTTCATCTTGTAATTTGCTACAGCTAAAAAGATGGCTCTCAAGCTGATGAGTTCCTCTTATTCTTCCCCAAAGAGATAGACTTATATCAGTATACAGGTTTTTGTCTCAGATACCAGCATACTAATCACAACATAGTGTGTTTTGACTTTGCTTTTTATTGCACATTTACATAAGATTTCACAATGCTACAAGGAAGAATTTACACATTAACAAATTTACATCGATGGGCACATGAGTCTATTTGCAACATGCTTTCCTGCACTGAGAAGGAAATAAGAACTTCTGCCATGCTATAGAAATATGGGGCAATGATATTTTCTATCCATCTTAATGGAACAGCTGTTCCTCTTAGAAGCATCTTGGCATCAGCAGCTTTCAGTAGTCCACGGTTCATAAAAAATACGAACATAGCATATATAGCTTCAGCAGCCTTATAGCATCAGTTTGTATTATACCATAAAAGTTCAGTTATCTTTGTAGTAGTTATTGAAGTTGATGCGTAGTAGGAAATCTTCCAGGTGGGGCTGGTACCCTCTGTTTACAAGTTTAGTTACAACTGCAGGAAATGGAATGGGAACAAAACAGAGAAAGCTTAGTACATTCATTCAGCCAGACAAATTCAGTGTGTTTAAAGTAGCTTGGGGCAAGAGATGCATAATGCAGTCTCTTTAGAACTTCTTGGAGATGCAAAATGACCCTGTCACATATCCACTTATGCATATGCTTGATGTGGGGTGCTGCATTCTTTTATTTGACTCAACAGTTTCATCTCATTCCATTTAAGCCCACCCAAAATCCTATTTCCAAAAGTGTCCAAAGGTATCTTCTCTCTTCTGTTGATGATGATGATAACAGGCCATGCTTCAGCAAACACTCCAGCAAGCATAGTGGTGTTTTGCAGATTGGATCTACTACTGAAAGGGTTCTATGGAACATACTGGGATGATTGTAGGGCTGGGAAAAACATTATTACAAGGTTGAAGGGACTGCAGCAACTTCCCTATGAGGAAAAGTTACACAATCTGGAACTGTGAAGAAACTGTATAAGAGATCGTTTTCCTCCCATTCATATCTGAAGCTGAAGCTGAATGGTAGGAAATTCAGGACAGAGAAAAGAAATTACTTCTTCACACAGCACATTGGAATTTGTCACCAAAAGATGTAGTGATGGCCACCACTTTGGATGGTTTGAAAAGGGGATTGAACAAATTCCTTGAGGACAAGCTATCAATTGCTTTAGGTTACCCCAAATATCAAAGACACTATGCTTATGTGCACCAGTGGCTGGGAAATATGGGCATAAGGGATGCACTTATGCCATGTTTGTGGGTTTCTTACAGGCAGTGCTTCTGGCCACTGTGGACAGAAAATTGGACTAGATGGACTCTTATTTTGGTCCAGCATGGCTTTTCTTATGAATAAAAGAATGGAAACAGAACCTTACAGGGAAGGTCTGCATTTCAGAAACCTGGTTTGCAGACAGAAAGTTCTAAGTTTGATCCATGTCATTTGAGCAAATAAGCTGCAGATGCTGAAAATCTCCAAGTGAGACTGTGCTGTAACCAGAGACAAAAGGTTAAATCCAGATTTAGATGCAGAATGATCTATTTATGACTATATCTGGAATCAACCCATTTTGTGCAAAATGGACAAGAAATGAGACACCTTGTGTTCTCTTTCATTCTTTCAACAGATAAAATATATCTCACAGGATTGTCAAACTTACACAAGCTTGTAAATATAGCAAGAATAAGTGGAAGCACATCTCAAGCTCATGTGCCCTGGTCCTCTCAAGGCAATTTTAGAAAGCAGAAGACAGTTTTTACCACAGTAAGGAAAGTGGCCAAGGGACATGGTTTCATTCACCTCCCAGCCTGACTAATTATGACATTTTCTCAATAAAGGAAGTCTTACCATTGAATAAGAAATGGGAGTAGTATTTGAACGTGTTATAAGACTGCTGCATTAGGCCAAAGTTGGGATGAGTAGCCATTTGTTTACCAGAATCAAAACTCCATGACTGAGAGATTAACTGGCTACGGAACTTCAAAATGAGGCTAAATATGCTGTGAATTATATTCATCACAGGGGCTGCCTTTTCAGTCAACAATCCCCTGTCAAAAGAAAAATGAAATATTAAAGACCTATTATCTAACAAGTAGCAAAAAAACAACACAAAAACACCAAACTTGTTTTCATCTGTAGCCAATGTTTAAAATGTTTCTTCACATTTTTTCTGAAGTTGTAGAACTTGCTGTCTGTATCCATTTTCATCAGTGTTTCCCATCCAGACTGAGTATAATCCTGGACAGAATACCAAGCTAAAACACAGCAATAAGCAGCAAGTTGAAGGTACTCTTCAACTCTGTGCTCTTCCATTTACAAGGCAGACACTGCAATCACTCTGTACAGCAATCACAGGCCAATTTGTCTGCAGACCTGTTGTTCTGGGGAAGTGTCCTTCCAGGAAGAAACAGCCTTGTGGTTGCCATGCACAATATGCCACTTACTGATATGCGAAGGAGTTTAGGGTGTTGCTCCAAGTAAGCTTTGTTTAACACCTCACTTCAGGAGACTCGTCTTTCTCCACTTTCTTGCTCTGTTCATCTCACCTAAGTTTTTCCCTTAGTTCTCACTCACTCCAGATTGGTGCTCATTTCTACCTGTCCTATCTGCTCCTATTACTCTTTTGTGCTGTACCACCCCATTATCAGACAGGCTATAAAGTCTTTCCACATAGCCTGAAGTGCCTGATCCTGCCTAATCTTGGAAGCTAAGTGGGATCAGGCCTGGTTGATATTGGGATGGGTGACTTGAATCCTGCATTGAGCAGGGGGTTGGACCTGATGGCCTCCTAGGACCCTTCCAGTTGCATGATTCTACAACTGGAGATGTGCATGCCAAAGTTCTGTGCATCAGGACATACACACGTTTGGTTTTTACAACCATTAATTGAATCCTATTCGGACAATAGCAATGTCAAGTTTTACAGAAAAATGAAGAATTATAATATTCCGGTCAATCTCAATGCTGCAACACAGTCTAACCCCTTTGCCCTATCCATGCTGAACAGCTTATATACAGTAGGCATCAATCTATCTAAGGTAGGCCTCTCCCAGACGTCACATCAATGGCAGTAAGTCAGGAATGGAGGGGAGGGTGTTGCTCTTCAGCCCTCATCTTAGATTTTGTGTTTGCGATGCACAAGAGCTGGGGTTTATTAGCTCTTCCCACTGTCCTCATCAGAGTGGCACTGAAACCAGCACCAAAAGTCATTATAAAGAGCAGGAATATTTATCTAATTATCTAAAAAATGTCCATTTCTCTAGGCAGATAAATTAACCATTGTGTATGTAATAGCTTTCTTACCGGAAAATTGCTTTATTGAGATACTCTGCATGTGTTCTGTGTATTTCTTCCAGGTTCCCTACAGAAGACAGTTTATTTCCAAATTCACACCAGGTCACATGCAGGATCTGGTTAGCAATGTAACCTTGAATAACTTTAACAAAGTGCTGCATTTCATGCTTGTAAAGCTGGAGCTGTCGAAACTGAACTGAGTTCGATGTGTGTTTTATTAATGCTGAAAACCCACAAAAGAAAAATATTACAGAAACAGAAAATATACAGTTGTTCATTTAATAGTTATACTGCTATAATGGCAGTATGGAAACCAAATTCACTTTTGTAGAAACAAGTTTATGGAAGCTCAACCATAGTACATCCATGTATCTAGTAATCTTTTTGTGACTGGTGATCTGGATCAAGGAAAATCCTCTCACACTGAAATAAAGATCTGTGTAACTACATATGTTTTCTCATTTTGTTGTGGTGTTGTAAATCTGCTCCAGTGTGTAGTGCACATGGTGCACTAGGTGGAGGCAGAGTTGCTTTCAGTGGTACTGCGTAAGTTCCCAGAACAAATTGGGGATGGTGATGGGGGACCAGTTGACCTTTCCCTGATAAACTGTGGAAGAAAGGCCAAAACCCTTTCTGTTGTTAGAGCAGACTGCATTAACTTTCAGCTAGGGTTATGCGGATATTCTCTTAAATAGCCTAGACTTATAGAATATACATCTAGGAGACAATTGGTACATGTGTATATAGCCTGTATAACTAAACAAGGTAAATTAAAGTAGTCAGAATTATCTTACCTGTTCGCTTTAAGTGGAACCAAACATCTTTAAGAGTCCACACCATATGCTTCAGTTGCAGAAGGAAGGAGAAAATCTTGTTGTATTTGTTCATGCAGTTCTCAGTAATGACAATATTTAAGGGCCAGTCGACCTTAATAATAATGATGATGATTAATAATAATAAACCTATTACTCTGCAAGTCCCCCGTCATCAGAATATTTGGCTGCTTTTAATGGAAAGGTTCCAAGACTATTGCTATTAGCAACACAAAATGCATGTATAAGTAGCATTATAGAACAGCAAGAGTTAATTATCTAGAATGAATAAGATTCATCTAGAGGACAAACATAAAATATCTTCGCATTTCTCAACTTTTCTTTGAGACTGCTCACCTTATATCGTAACTCCAAGCAGTTTAGAGCATCTGGTGCGTTAGGCTTGAAAATATCTGGAAGGTACTTCAGTGCAAAAGAAAGATTGGATGCCAAGTGGGTGTCTCCATGAAGACTGTATTGCAGTGCCTTATTTAAGATGGAATTGAGGACTAGTGGGTTCAGAAGTTCACCAGGAGTTTGTCCTGATCCAAGCTTGAATTAAAAGACACCATGTTAGAGGCCAAAAATCCATTTCTCATAATGACTGTGGTGACAGTATTTAATACTCTTTGCTTATTTTTATGTAGACCAAGTTTAAACTCAAGAGTACAATGAAAGAAGAAGAAAAAAACAGCATTTCTTACAGTGAAAACATCTGAGAGAGAGATTGTTTAGCTCATGATCAACACAGCTCCGCTTGGGACTTTGTGGTTAAGACCAGTACTGCCAGGGTCAGATGATGCACGATTTTACTACATTTAGTAACACACAAGCACAGTGAAATATTGTTTCATATGATAGTAAATCTGTTTCTGTTCAAGAAACAGAAGTTTAAAGAAAAGCCTCTGCAAATACCTTTTCAAAAAGCAGATCACTGAGTGACTGTGCAAATTCTCCATCTTCCATCAACAAAAAGTGCCTTAATGCTTCAAAATGCTTCTCAACATTTAGTTCAACAAAGTAGTAATCGACAATGGCTTTATTCACAAGGGAGACACTAGGAACAAGTAAAAATATGGTCCAGTTATTTGACAAATTAAGTGTTTCACAGTTTTCATTGATGAATAAGCAAATCCTTACTGGAACCATGATAAGGCAATTTAAATTTAAGTCAAACTGTACTTTGAAGCTTTAAAATCAAACCTTACACATAGAATTAATTTAAAATGCCCAGTGTTTGTCTTTGTATAGAGAAACTTATAGGATTTACTCTGATGGGTTCGTATCCTTTAGTGGTCATCTGCAGAGATTGCTTTCATGGATCAGAAGCAGTTCTGAATAGAGATTTATCAGGAAATGGAATGACCTAATTCTAGAACCCGAAAGTCTAGAACTTTTTATAGTCTGAATAGATCCATTTTTACAACACAACACTTTTATAAAAAGGAAATTATTTGGACTTTCAAAAGAAGTGTAAATCTAATTCTTCTACTTATGCTCTTTGATTATTTACAAAAACAGACCAGCATCTAATAGGATGCAGCAGGGACAGGATGTGGCAGACCAATGCAATAAGTCCATTATCAGATAAGCCTAGATACCCACTATAACTGTTTTTAAAACTACTTCTAAAATTATCATATTTATTACTGAAGTACCTTTATACTCCACTTCTCTTCCTCCTTCAAGGAACCCAAAACAGATTACAAGCTTTCTCTCCAGTCAGTTATCCTCACAACAACCCTGTGAGGTGGGTAAGGCTGCGAGTCCATGGCCCAAAGTCACCCACTGACCTTCATGGCTGAGCGAGTACCAGAACCTGAGTACTAGTCCAAGTGACACACTAATCACTACATGACACTGGTTCTGCTGGTCCAAGCAGTATTCAAAATTAACAACAGTGTTTATGCCCTAAGAAGCATTCTCACTTCTCATTCTAGAGTGTATAGATGGAGTATGAATGAGTTATAGAGAGCAATTCCCCAGGCACATTCAGCCTGGGGAAGAGAAGACTAAAAAGGAAACAGGATTTGTAGTTTGCAGATCTAAAGGCTGCTGTCTAAAATGGTAAGGGAATTGCATGTTGCATCTTCAGTTTGCATTTGCTGTTGCAAGAATCAAAATAAAAGGAAAGGTAAGCAAATTATCACATCAATGTGCCCTTCTTTAGAGAAGGGATATGAACACCAATGCATACTATTACAACAGAGACCCAATGCTTCAAATACTACTTACTGACAAACCAACGGAGCAGTAATTGATCGTTTCATCAGCACTGGAAGTGATAAGAGCTCACTTAGTTGTACGGCTGTTTCATCTGTTGCTGACTGTACTGATGGGTCCACGGGGAATGTGTAGGATCTTGGGATCACGTGATGCAGGAGATGGGAAACTGGAAGCTCTGCTATATTGGGGTAAAGGTGAAAAGATGGGCCACAAGACAAATATTCTGTACTTTCACAGTGCTGCATATCTTGTGTACATCAGTGCCATTTCAGTTCCAGCATGTAATGCAACAAAATGTGGAAAAGTCAAATGGGGTGTATATGTTCTCAAGACAGTGATTACTGCAGTTACAATTGACAAATCCATTGAGTCACATCTCACGTCACAACAATGTTAAGAAGTTTAAGCCCCGCATTATTCCTGAGCATGCAGGACCGGGCTTTAGACTGCTTGGCACTTCTGCTTTGTTTCCACTTTGGTAAACATGATTTCCAAACCCAGAGCTCTGAGTTCTGACTGAGAACCAGCCCAGAGTTTTAATCCGACAACAAACCATGAGGTAACATTCTGTGTTGTTTTCCCAGGTTCACACATCACACAAAACAAACCAGGAACATGGGTAAAACAAAGGCAAAACAAAGCTGAAGAAGGAAGGGATTGGGGGGCATTGGCTCATTCCTATGCAGTTACTACCAACCTGTTGTTTAGCCACAAACCATTCTTGTGACATGAAAATCTCATCATTCACTAATGGATGAAAATCAGAAAGAACGGAAATATCTTTATCACACATTCCTAGCACTGCTGTTAGATGGAAGCCTCCGACCCTGGAGGCTTTAGAGTATCCAGAAGAAGCAATGGGGGCAATTTTTGCCTCTCTGTGTTGCATATCCCCTGGGCTCCCCTGAAGAGGCACTTGAGCCAATCTTGAGTATGGGTGGTGCTAAGGCTTGAGGGGCTATGGCCACAATTTCTCCTACCCCGGCCTCTCCTCTCCACTCTGCATCCACCAGAATGCCTCCTTTCCATCTTCCACGAGGTGGTCCAAGGCTGCTTTGTCATCTCAAGCTTCCACAGCAGTTGTGAAGGGAAGGGATTGGATTCCGAAGTCCCACTTCTGAAGTCCTAACAGTGCCTATGGCTTTGGGAGGCAGGCTCCAAAAATCCTATGGTCCCTGGGATGCTCTCCAGGGATCACAGGATTTTCTTTAATGCTCTTTACAAAACCAGAAGTGACAGGAGGCAAAACATTTCAGAGGGCATTCACAGTAATATGCAATATTACTGAAAAATGGTGCCAACAAAAGCTATTGAGTGTTTAAACCAGAAATGTGGGAAGTATAACCAAATCCCTGCACAAGTTTGCATAGGATTTGGCACAAAAAACCCGACACGGACTGGTATTTGAATGGTGAATCACACAGCGACTCTGTTGTTTGGACTATTGAAAATATATTCAGGGACAGGTGTGATCTCTGTAGGAAGTGTTGGTTTGTCAAATCAAGTGTTGAATCAGCATGGCACCACACAAAAACCTTTTCTCCAACTGGGACATGTGGGAGTAGCTTTTCCATCAGTTCCTTGGATAACGTGCCCCTAGCAAGTGTGGATTTTACCCTTGAGACTGTTATTCTAGAAAGGGATCCCAGGGAAATGCCTAGGTGGCTTTGCCTTGGGAATTACTTTTAGCTTAAGTTCAAAAATGAGTCTGGAAAATGATATCCTAGAAGGGTCTATAGGGGGAGTGAGGAATCTGTGACTTTCAGATATTACTAGACCCTGTCTCCCAACAGCCCCAGCCAGTATAGTGAATGGTCAGGAACAATGGGACATGCAGGTCAAAAACATCTGGACAGCCAGAGAGAACACACTCATATATTCCTCATTATCCTCTCAAAGGGGAGCAATTCATTATGCTGTTACATTTCTTAATGTAATTCACTTTGAGATGACTCACACATCAAATCATAGCTGTCCTGATATTTTTCAAGGCAATACTGAGCAGATAATGTTTTCAGGTAATCTTCCTCTTTCTTCCATGTGACAATAGAGGTATTTCCTCCTCCTCCTTGGCTTTCAGATGTAGTGACTTCCGAGAGGGAAGTTTGCTGAGTCACAAGAACCAGTTCAGTGGATTTTCCAGATTCCTCCATCTAACAAAAAAGCACACCTAGGTATTACTCTGTCTCCCTCATTTTATTTAAAATATCGATATTCCACTCAAACTATTGTTTTATAAAATAAACAATAAAAATATAAGCAACACAAGCAAACTAAACAAAAATTAAAATAAATAAAAAAGTAGGATGACACACAGTTTCATATATCTAGTATGCATGTGTGTGTGCGGGTTGGGGGTAGAACCGGAAACTTACAAATTTTTTGACAGCTTACCTGTAAATTCTGAGGAGGATTTGAAGAGAAATCTTCAGCATTATCTGCTGTGCCTGCTATATTATCCAAAACTATTATTGTGGGAGAAAGGAAAGGTGTAAACACAATGTATTAATCACATACACTATTTTGATACATTGCAAACAAAAACTTATTTCAAAATATACAGCCTTTAACACATCACTTTGAACCATTATAATATTATTAAAACTCAGCACGCCACTCCTTTATCCTTTGTTTAATATAGGAATTTCAGCTGCTAAAAACTCTACTGCCTTCCATTTAGTCTGGATATGTCTGTCCCTCCAGATATTTTGGCCAGAGCTTCTATAACCCCTCAACATTGGCTATGTTGTCTAAGGCTCATGAAAATTATTGGCCAGAACATCTGGAAGGCTAGAGTTGTCCCTCACTAATTTAAATTCTAGGGGAAGAAATACGTAGGTCACATGCACAAATAATTAATTCCAATTTTAAGTGTCTGCTCAGAACATAGTTATCATTCAATTAAATATAATCCACAAACCAATTAATGTTACTTGTTAGCATTTTCAGATGCAAACCAGCTGAGTTTCCCTGAAGGCAATGAGTCCAGTGAATCAATGGTTCATTTCTGACTTTTTTTATAGAAGAGAAAGATTGACTAAACAATTCTTTGAGTGATAGTTACTTACCCTCCTTTTCCTCGACCAGGCTTCCTTCTTGCTTTTCGTCCAAATTATCAGCCGACATATGATCAGATGGTCTTGAGTCTTGTTCCTTATCATTCTGTCTGACTGTAGAGAATTCCCCATTGTAAAGGAGTGCCTGAACTGTAGAACTTGATGCAGGACTAGAAGCCATCTTGAAATGAGGTATGGAGTCATGGTCAGTCAAGGGGATCCACTCCCCTATTTGAATGCTTGACTGTGATGCATGACCAAAGGGACTCCACCGAGGCTTTGAACCCTCAGAATCAGGAACCAACTCTCCACCTTTAAAGTGTGATTCTGAGGCATGGCCATGAATGTTCCACCGAGGCCGAGAACACACATCTTCAGAAATGTTCTCCCCGATTCGGATACTGGCATCCGACATGTGCCCATGGATATTCCACCGTGGTCTAGCTGGCTCTGTGTTTGACACATACTCGCCAATCTTTATGTTGGCATCAGAAGCGTGTCCATGGATATTCCATCTGGGCCTTGAGGGCTCTATGTCAGAAGCATATTCTCCAACCTGGATATGAGCTTCAGAGACATGCCCATGGATGTTCCAGCGAGGCCGGCTAGATTCTACCTCAGGGGAATACTCTCCAATCTTAATATGTGCATCTGAAGAATGTCCGTGAGGATTTGAATGTGGCTGGTGGAGTTCAATATGAGATACATATTCTCCGATATTAATATTTGCATCAGATATGTGGCCATGAACATTCCAACGAGGTCTCCTACTCTGAGTATCAAGACTGATTTCTCCAGCCCTGAAATGGCTGTCTAAGACTGAAGGCCTGAGAACAGTATGGAAGTCATATTCACTATCTAGGGGAACCTTTTCCCCTTCTGCTGTACCTTTTGATAGAGAATTACTTTCACCTATTTGACCATTCAAGGAAAGATCTGAACTGATATTTTGCAAAGCTTCATCTAACAAACTTGTTCCATGTTCAGCGGAGACAAGGGGTTCTTCTTGAGGTTTTGGTAAAAAATCTTCAAAGTTCAGACCAAGTTCAGATGTGCTTGTAGGTATAGCCACTGCTGGTTCTGTACTGAGTACTTGGAATGCAGTTTCTCTTTCCTCCAACTCAGAATCAGACTGTGTGTTTGCTGGCTGTGCCAAATCCAGTGATTTGCCACCTGAAGGAACATCCACCAGTTCAGATTCTATAGCCATGGTGGTGTCCACAACATTACACGAGTCAGGCTCTGTGGCAGGTAACTGAAGTGCAGAAAATGAAAACCATCACTAGAACATTCCATAATCAAGTATACAGCTAGGATATCTTTGCCATGCTTTTACTGACAGCTTCTGAAATTACTCAACTGTTGCATTTTTACGTTTTAGAATGCCATATTTCTAATGGTGTGATACTATCTTCACTGAGTTTTCCAAATGCCCCAGTTATTATGTCTATTTCTCTTTTCGTTATCATTTATTCAATTTACGAAGCCCACTGCCGCCAAAACTGTCAGGGTAGCACACACCATCAAAACAAACTCACTAAGTCAGTTTCACTCACTATGGAAAAAGTTGGTGCTTGCCTGCATATCAAAAATACAAATACTATTAAAGAGGCATGTATTTATGCATGCATTTATGGAAGGGACTATAGCTCAGTGGCAGAGCACAAATTATGCCCACAGAACATTTCAGGTTCAGTCCAGGCTTTAGGAAAGACCTCTACCTGGAACACTATGGAGCTGCTTCCAGTCTCCATAAGTGGCTGACCTAGTTCTGATGCATTCGAGGGAAGAGTGGACTAGATGGTGTACTGTTGCTATTATTCACATTAAGGTATGAAACAGTCCTATTTCAAAAACGGAACAACGGGCAGCCTCTGTACAATATATTGCTCAATGTAGACATAAGAACAACACAGCCTTTTAAATGGAAATCTTATTCTGTCTGCTCTTTGGAACGTGATGATAAAATAAAGTGGCTAGGGAGATGGATAAAACACAGACTATACAAAGAAGGGAAGGCAAGAAAGAAGAGAAGTTCTAGACAGTACTCAGACAGGGCTACATTTTGAACAAAAATAAATAATGTAACATTTCCAATTTTAAAAAGTGATGCCGTTTTGAGTTCCTAACAGGAATAGCTGTTAGGACAGAAGTTTATTAAGGAAAAAAAAATCAAAAGGGCAATTAAACTTCTTAAAGGATATATCTTTGCGAGCCAGCTTCATCCAGTCGCTTTTTTAACATGAAATGTCACCGTACTTATAAGTTTTACATTACTTGTCATTGGGCTTTATATAACAGAAACAACACCAACCTGAAGGCTAGGATCTCCTAGTGGGAGAATTGCAGTTGAAATCTGCTGGCTTCGATCCCCTGGAATTATATCTACTTTCCTCCTGTATTTTCCACCAGGAAGTTTCTGAAGCATGGCCTAAACATCAAATGGAAAATGTCAAAGTTTAAATATACCACTAAATGCATATGATCTGTATTGATGGTCAATATTTCCTTTGCTTCCTTTTAAAATAAAAGATGCATTTACAATACCTCTATAAGTTTTTCATCTTCTAACAAAAACTTGAGACGAGCTGTTTCCAATTTATGTCTCTGAATTTTCCATAAGGCTTTTTTTTCCCTACGAGTGGCATCTTCAGAAAGTTTACTGTAATGGTCAATTAACTCTTGCCTAAACAAAATAAAAGGAAGATCATATTATTTCATATGATACGGATAAATGATACACATTATACATAAAACCAAGCAAAGTAGAAAGAATTAAGAGTCCTCACTCTCTCTATCAAAACCAAATATGTAGCCAACAAGCTCAAGGTAGCAGGCTAGCTATACGAGGATAAAAGTCAGACTTATCAATGTACCATATAATACAATGAGAGTTCTCAGCAATCAGTGCTTCCAGAACTCACAACCAATAAGAAAATCTACACACATAGCCCCATCTGAACATGCAAAAATTAAGAGAATGTGTGTTTGCTGTGCCTTTGGATGACAAAGAACTGCCCAATAGTGTGCAAGGTTAAGATCATTCTGCCACAACTCTACTACCTAAGAAAAAAAGACATACTGCCTTTGAAAATAGAGGTAATATATACTAGCTATTGATAGCTTTCTATTTTACAAATTTGTCGAACCCCCTTTTAAAGCATCCATGTTGGCAGCCATTGCTGCAACTCATGGAAGTGAAATCCATAGTTTAGTTATACATTGTGAAAGAACTACATTATTTCATCTGTCCTGAATTCTCCACCTGTCCACTTCCCTGAATGACCTCACATTCTACTGATAAAGTTGCTCCCTACCCACTTTCTCTACCCCAAACATAATGTTATACACCTCGATCTATTATTCAGCTTTTTAATCAGTTAAAATGTTCCTAATGATGCAACCTTTCTTTACAGGGAAACTATTCTAGCCATGTGATCATTTTCATTGGTGATTTCTGCACCTTTTCCAGCTCTCTTTTTAAGGTGAAGTGGCCTGAACTGTACAAAGCATTCCTTTGCAGGGTTCCAGTTTAACTGACACTGGGTACTTCTTAGGGTACAATGCAACATGGTACACCCTCCCCTAACCTTCCTGCAGAGTTTATACCCAGAGATGACTGTATCCCACTGGTTCACTCCATTCTACTTGCTTTCTGGGGTGTCCATTACATCTACATTCTCCTTTAAAACCAAGCACTCCTAACTCTCTGGCTTAGAAGCTTCTAGTATTAAAATAGAAAAACATACAAATATTGTCCATCTCTAAGACTACAATTCTGGGACTAAACTACAATGAACACAAAGGGACTTATTTGTGAGTAGACATGTCAAGGACCACACTGTATATGTCTCTTACCAAATCACCAGACTTTATTTCTTGTTCTCCCTTACCTTGCCCTTTTCTCCAAGTGTTCTTCTAAAGCCTTCAGTCTCTTCTCCCTCTCTCTGAGCTCCCGTGCATAACTAAAATCACTGTCAGTTTCTTCTTGTTTCAGAGCACGTCGGCGCTACATATAAATTCCAAAAGTTTTGAAAATCATTTTCCACAATCACACATCAAGCTCACATATATATTCAAAATATGTTTGAATGTGTATTTTAGATTCAAACATGTTTACTATCAACATACATTTTTCTAACTTTATTTTTAAACCACCAGCAGAAAAGGTGAATTTCACTCAAATAAAAACAATACCTCTAGATCTTTCGCAAACTGTTCCTTTAATTTCTGGAACTGCTCTCGTTTCTTTGCATCCAGTGCCATTTTCTCTGACATTTGTCGATCTAAATATAAATGTTATAGACCATAGTGTTATAAAAGGAAAAAAAAAGGAAAGTCAATTTGAATATTAAAGATATTATAACTTACCAGTAATGGCCTTTAGAGCTTTGCCAGCTGTTTCACGGGCATGAACAATTAACTCCTGTTTTTCAATTTCCATACGTAATTCCTAGGACACAATTTTACATGATCCACTGTGATTTTCAACCATATACTGCAAAAACATGTCTTCAATTGTGCAATTTCATGAACAAAGATTAAGTAAATGAAATAAAGAAAATTATATTTACCATAAATGAGTATTTTAGTAAAGCAGTTACAATTTTGTAATTTGAAAGGGAAAATTAGATTAATGCTTCATTTTGCATTTTCTTATTCTAAGATTTGCAAGTAAGTAGTCAGAATGAAGCATACTGAACATTTTGGAAAGAGAACACATTGCCTCACTAACACAAAAGCTATTCATGAAGTAGTAATATGTATACATAAATAATTTGCACTATACCTAGGCATCTGGGGGGAAAACACTGAGAGGCCTGATATAAATCTAAGTCCCATAAAAATCAGGGCACAGATATTAAAAAGAGAATATAGGAGATAACAATTAGCATAATAGTAGCTTACAAGTACAATTAAAACCCTTCTCAAAAGTGAAAATTTTGCGTCTCCCTCTGCTTCCTTCTATTCATGCATTATATATGGAGTGTGTATCACTGTCCAGTGCAGTCTGCCCAGATTAAAAGGTGCCTCAATAAAACGTCAAATACAATTCTCAGACAAGAAATAAATGAATGTCTAGGACCCAGTAAGCTGTTACCGTTACTCAAGGAAGAACTCCGTTTCCCAATCAGTATCTTCAATGAAGTCCCACTGCATGCAATGTTATTTACTTCTGAGCAGCCATGTATAGGAATGCACTGGTCCAACACAATGGAATCCATGGCTAGCACAAGATAGTTTACTAGAAATACACTGTTTATTTTTTTGGTCACTTTACCTTTTCTTCCTTGCTGATGGTACTGTAACGTGCAATCCTTTCCATTCGGCCCACATAAACTGCACAGTCCCTCTCAATCTCTTTTAATTCATCAAGTGAGAAAATTACAGAAATCCGAGGAACAGGAATATCAGACCAGCATATATAGTGCTGTAAAAATGAATAAATCTTTGAAAAGTGACCCAAACTTTTACACATTTCTTTTCTAAGTTGATGGACAGATTCTTGTTCAGTTTTGAGCTTGCACACAACACTTAGGATGCTTTAGGGCTGCATTCTTATATATATTTACTTGGAGTTAATTCCCACTGTATTTGTTGGTACTTGTGTCTGAACACTTATGTATGTGATGATAGGTTTAGGCACCTACTTTTTCTTGACATTACTCCACTTAAAGTATGGTCAGTTATAAAATTGGAATTCAGAAGCTACATTTCTTGATGATGTGGTAAAGAAGCTATATATCCATATTAAGAGAGCATAAATACAGAATGTGCAGTAATATAAACCACACTTATGACTGCAAAGAAGTGCTTCACGTGGAAGACCATCTTAGTATGAGCAGTGGAGGAGAAGCAGGGAATTTAATAGTCATTTAAATCAGCAACAATGAAGTCCGTAATTATTTTTTAAATCCTTCTAAATAGTGACTTTATTTCAGCCACCAAAACCTGATCAAAATAGAAAGGTTTTCTAAAAGAAGCAAAAACTTAACAGCTGGCAAGCCTCCAGGAGAAAAGAATGTCAGTATTACAGAAGAAATCACCTGTCTCCATGGACTCACCCTAAGGACATGCATCATAGTTGTAACGGTTAAAACTAATTCTAGAGACTTTAAGGGGAGGCATGGCTTCTTCAGATAAATGGACTCTCCTAGAAGTTAGAACTTCGAAGTTACTTAGAAATGAGGCCAAATCAATGACTTTCAAGAGAAAAAGTACCTACCTTGGGGCAGCACAACTTTAGTAAGTTTATGGTTTTCCCACAGATGTACACATCATTAGCGATATGTTTCAAGAACACAGGGACACAATCTTCTACTTCTTTTGAAATCAAAATGTACCCATGGGTCCAGTAATGTTTGTCTAGAGATCCAAACGAGGGGAACGGTTAGACAATGTACCACATTTGAATCTTCTGCCACGTTCAGTTTTTAATGGTTCAAGAAAGATCACTTCCTTTCAGGCTAGCAAGTTATCCTGGCATAAACTTTATTTATTTGATTTATACCCACCTTTTTTCTTACAAATAATTCAAAGTGGCTTACATTATACTCCTCTTCCTGCTCTCAATCTCAACCCCACAAAAACAACCCTGTCAGTTGCCCTGAGAGTCTGTGACTGCCCCAAGTTACTCAGTTGGCTGCATGGCTAAGTAGGCACTAAAACCCAGATCAACTGAGTCCTAGTTTCGTGCTCTTAACCACTACACAACACTGGCTGTCATAATCATAGGCCACTCAAGCTTATATAAGAACAAATTTGGTAGTCCTTAAGGTGTCACAAGACTTTTTACTGTAACAGACTAACATGGCTACCTCTCTGGAAATTTACACATTCCCAGTATCAGTTATACTTGCAGCATTTTGTACCTAGGAAAATGCTGTATGCCATCAGGAAGGAGCATCTGTGAATATTGTAGTTGCCATGGGGAATGAGGTGATGTAAGTATCATTAGTGCCCTCTAGCAACTGAAATAGTTAGAAACATTTCATGATGGGTCACCTGTCCATCCATGGAACCCCTGCATTGGAGTAATTACTTGGTATTTGCTTGGCAAGGTCTCTTTGTTTCACTTTGCTAAAATGTGATGGCCATTAGCCATAATAAAGTACTTACAGTGACAAGCAAATGTACAAAACAGGAATCTATTCAAACCAACAAATAAATTCATGCATAGCAAAAATACAAAGACAATGTCAAATTAAAAAGAAAGTTAACACCTGAGAGAAAAAGAGGGAATGGAATAAAATTTATTCTGATGTCGAATAGATGGTGCCATCCCTGAAGAAATTTTGACACAAACTGTCTGATCAAAGACTTAAAAAGTACAAAGGAAGTCAACACCTCTTCCAAATATTCTTTTTCTGGCTGCACAGCAAAGACCTGCTGTTACTAAAGCAATGTGACAGGAATTCAAAAGCTAGTGCATCTCTGAGTGTACATTTTAACTTAACATACCTCTGAAGCCCAGATAATCTTCATTCACTTGAATCATGAATTCACCATATACATCTCTAAATACACCACTGTACACCCAATCATGGATAAACCTAGAACACAAAATATTGAACGTCACAAGTCACCCTGTCCCAACAGAAATAATATCAGAATACTATCTCTAAAAAGACGATTCAGGTAAAATGGTAGTTAGAGAGATCTAAAGACTCCACTTTTAGTGCTGTCCCTTGAGAAGATGTGTCCATTCAACAACTTCCTTGTTTTATACAAGTTTGGAAATAGATTAATTAATATAATGTTGTATATACTATAAAGAACAGGTTCTTATTCATTGGGATCCTTGGCAAAAAATTTTATGTGGCATAAAATTTTGCAAATTTCCCAAAAAGCTCTCTTGCTTGATTCTTACACAGTTGAGCTGTCTAATGTTAAATCATCATTTTGCTTTGCAGAAGGAGCAGCTTGCACAAAGTTCCAGGACATATTTCACTCATTTCAAGTACAGACACATTTAAGATACAGTTTTATTTTAATACAGTAAAATACAGTGATGTGCATTTGGAGACAAAAAATCCACAGAAATGCCAGCTATAGGAAATTAATTTAACCATTCTTGTTGTGTTGCTATTGTAATGCATAATTTTAAACCGAGGCACAAACTTACCTTGTGTAAGGTTCACAGCTAGTTTTTAGCAGTGACAGAAGAACTGGGTAATGTTCATTGCTACAGTTATTAAGAGCCTCTTGATATAAATATGAAAGAAGTTTCACTCCCTGAAATATATAAAAGTCACTCTTTAAAAGATAAATCATAACTCATATATAGGCATTCACGCTCAACTGGTTGTTGTTATCAGATTTTGCCTTCATTGCAAGACCTCGTTGACGTAAAGAATTTTTTATTTATTGATGCTTACTGAGAGGCACCCAGTAGGAAATACTTTTTGTGCATTGCTAATAATGTTTCCTTTGAAAGTAGTATAATTACATTCGTTTATACTACCTGGCATAGAATTTCAAACACTGATGACTATACGTACAAGCTGAAACAGTTGGGGCAATAATTTTATAAAGCACCACAAACTGAAGCTTCCAAAGAACTCTGAAAATTCATGTTTATTTCAGTCATTTGAGACACAAAAATGTACACATCTTAATTTGCTGTGATTTCAGAAGAGAAGCAAAATCACACACTCACTGTTGGAAACGAAGCATCAGCAACTCCACTAATTCCCGGTGTAGCCATTCCTATCCCACAAAGCTCAGCTAAATACCTGAACAAAAACAACAGTGCAAAGGTCCATGATGGTTCCATTTAGTTCTTTGTACAGTATACAATGTATATATCACCTTATCATAGGTAATGGGGATGGCTTCTAGCTGAAGCAGCTAAATGAGGGTTAGACATCTCACATCCTCCAGCAATTGAGACTAAAATTGTGGTTTCTTTCCTGCTACCATCACTGGGGAAACAGTAATCTCAGAAACCCAGAAATAGTGTGGTTTCCTCACAGCCAGGCTGAAGGAGAAAGTGAAGGAGGGTCTTTGCTAGCTTCAGAGACTGCATAGAGATTGCCTGCAGACTGAGCATCCTTCCCAAAAAAGGCTTGTTTTAGCAATCAGAACAAAGTTACAATAATGTGGCTGTCAAAATCTGAAGGGAACATCTTTGATTCCTCTGTATTTTGGGGGCCAAGTAGGTAGCATTTCAAATGCAACTTTTAATTACCTTAGCTGGCGTCCTAGTTTTCTGAATAGAAAACTGATAGATAGAAGAGTTAAAGTCAGAGGAGTTGATAAAACACATGCTCGGTAGTACTGCAGGTATTTCCTCAGCCCACTTGTGAATGCCTGATAAGAGCAAAAGAGAGATAAATTTTATTATTAAAAGTGTTTTGTATATAATATATATGTATATGTACTACAGGAAGGTGGAATATACTATTCTTGGGTCATCTCCTTCAAAGTCTGCACAAGTCCAATCCACACTGTATGGACACTGGTATTCCTTGAATGGGGAGTGGGCACAATTCAGTAACACAGTACCTAGTTATAATGCAAAAGGGTAAATTTAAGCCATCTCTAATTAAAGAATCAGGTAGCAGATAACGATAGAAGTTTTTTCCCAAAACCCCGAAGAAGCCCTGGACAGTTAGAATAAAAAATACCTGGTACAAGCCAGCTTCATTAAGCATCTCCTGCACTTTCTGCCATGACAAGTAGACTTGTGCACATGCAGACAGGCTCTTAACAATCCAAGCATCCCTTTAGCTAGCCATTGAAAAAGCACTACATTTCAAAACACCTGCCAATACCATCTTCAAAAGGGAACTTGTTCAGTCTGGCAGCTCCCTTGCATCATATAACTTAACAGCCCTTTCATTAATTATTTCTGCTTGCACCCACAGTTTGACTCAAATGCCTCTTCAATCCCAAGTTTCAAGCTAAAGCAATCCACTTTGGGGGTTAAAGTTAGCATTTCACTGATTGTATTTTCATTCTCAGTCCACTTCATCTTATTGGTAAAGCCCAAAGTACACAGCACTTCTTTACCTCATTCACCAGCACAAATGCACTATGAAACAGACTACTGTTACTCCCAGGAAGCTGAGATGGGACTAATACTTAGCTTTTGGCCATTAAACAAACACTAAACCCAGTGTACCACACTGATTTGCATACAGACATTAACTTATGGCTTCAAGGTAGTCATATAACAAATTTTAACCCAAGAGTAGTGGCCAGAGCTTTCCTCTGCTCCCCATTCCCCAATTCATATCAAGAGTTTGAGATCTTGATCTAGAGATTCATTAGTGGAATTCTGCTCAGGGCCCCCTTAGCTCCTCCTCTCTCCTTGTAGTTTCTGAATATTTGCTTTGGAGCACTAGGAAACCCAAAAGAACTATATGGATCCAAAACTTTCTACTAATTTTTTCGATGTATATCCTGCCTTTTTCCTACAAAGGGCTCAAGGCAGCTTACATCTCCTCCTCCATCTTATCCCCACAACAACAACCCTGTGAGGTAGGTTGGGCTGAGAGTCTGTGACTGGCCCAGAGTCACCCAGTTGGCTCCATGGCTGAGCGGGGACTCGAACCCAGATTGCCTGAGTCCCAGTCTTAACCACTCTTAACCACTACACCACACTGGCTCTCTAATAGAAAGACCCATTACATCCAACTAAAAGACATCATATAAAGACAAAAACTTGTTTGGCATAGGGGTTAGTGCTGGAATGGAATTCAGGAGACCTGGGTTCTAGTCCCACTTGGCAACATGACGCTTACTGGGTGACTTTGCACCAATCACTGACTCTCAGGATAACCAACCTCACAGGGTGGTTGTGAAGATAAGATGGAGAGGGGAAAGGGGAGCTTTTAAATACAAGATGTAATAGTACAACATTTTAATGATATGAAAACTGAAGGCCTAATACCTGAAACACAAGTCCTTTTTTGTATGAGGAGTCCAAAACTGGTTGGACAGAGAAACGGCTCAATCGTGTGTAGTAAGTTCCATATTCTGCAACTTCTGACAGAAGACTGTTTATGCTTTCAGGTGATGTTCCAGATACATATATGCCTTGCTTGACTACAAACATCTGAGCTGCCTTAAAATATAAAAAAGGTGGAAATCACCAGTTAAAATGTGTATCACATAAAATCCTTCATAAATATATAGAATTGATGGTCTATTTGTGTCAGAATTTTTTTTCTTTTGCCAAGTCTGCTTTGCAAGGAATAGCACAGCCTCCATGAACTAGCTGATCTCCAGGCATTTTGGATTTCAACTCCTATCAGTCCCAGCAGGCATAGCCAATGGTTAAGGGACATCAGGAATTGTTGTCCAAAACAAATGAAAGGCACCATCATGGGGAGCCTGTAATCACTTAATAGCAGCATAGATACTATGGCAATGTCAAAAGAAAATGATATAAATGAAGATAAAGGACCTGTATGAAAATTATGGGATGTTTGAAAGGAAAATAAAATATGTGAAATCACATGGAAGGTTTTAATGTCTAGGATATACTTTTATTAATTTACGTATCATTTTTATTTATAATTAATTGTGTAATTATATACAATTTCTATCCCGTAATACTTATAGATGTTTCTAGATACCTGATTAAATGAGAAAGTAGTAGATACCACCCCAATAAGGACATTCAGAACATCCTTAACAATTTCTGGTTCTTTTACTAATACACGTTGTGGAAGCTGAAGTTTGTTACTGCTGAAAAGCTGCAATTCCTCTTCTCGAAGTCTGCAAAATTTATCAAAGGCTTCTCTTCCAGCTTCAGAAAGGTATGGTTCCTCTTTTTTCCCAGGCGGACTATATGAGCAAAAACAACAAATTTAAGTCCCAGAATTATCAAGCACCATTATAAACCAAGGTTCATGGTTGTACTATCAGAGACATAACCAACCGGTCAGTTATTAATTTCCTCTCCTGTTCTTTGGCTTCACGGTTTCACTTGGTCTAAATGCTGAACCTGACCCAAATATTTGCCACAAAAAAAAAAAAAATCTAATTATAGGTAAGTCTTTCCCACAGTGGCACTTTCCATATAGTTTGGATTACAATCCTTCTTTTATATATGGCAGAAGGTGCTTTTTAAGGTGGTTTCAGTTTCAAAGTTTTTTTTTTACTACCAGAAAAAGGAAAGAACAGAAACTTGATTTGTTTAGTCTGCTGTTTATTTTTACAATGCTCTATAGGTTTTGACTTGTATGTTACCCCGGAGAGCACATGAAGTAATTTTATACAATAATTTAATAAAGAAAGCTTGTATAAGATGCATTCAAGCATTCTGTATGTTTGTAGCATATGCACTGCTTTGTTTGAAGTGGCATCATTAACACTGGTCACCAAACAAAAGTTTTTGAGTGTTGCAGTACCTGTCAATTTAAAAAGATGGCTACATTTGTTAGGAATGTGAGAGGTATGTATGTTAATCTTGTTAACATTTGGAACACAATGTTGCTATCTGCCTTCATTTTTTCTGCAGTGATCCAAACAAATGCATGTGGGATTCTGCCAGTTTCTCCTTATCGCTGCAGCCTCCCTGACACAGGAAGTAATTCCAGAGTTTGCTCCACAAAAGAAACATGTTAAAAGCAAAAAAGAAGGAGGCCTAATTTTTGTGTGTGTGCATCTGGAAGCCAATCTATGTTTAGCTGCCATATTCAACACCAAACCTTTATCTGAAACTGAATTCTGGTTTCAAATCAAATGACAAGTCCTGAACCAATATTGTATTAATCAAAACAACTTCCTATGAGAACAGCTGATTTCAAATGCAACAGTTGATGCTTAAAAACAGTAACGCACCATCCAATCCTTTCCCAACATCTTCTCTTACTAGGTCCAAAGGTAAGCGCAGCTTCCCAGAGGTCAATATCTGGTGTCATACTGGGTTCTGATTGAGAGTCAGGAGTGAGATTGGATGCTGATTGGAATCCCTCATCTTCTGAAGGATCTATACTTTGGGGAACCTGAAGACATAAAGGTACTTATACTTCACACACACACAGAGATAATATTTTCCTTGTTATATATCAAAGCTTCCCCCATAATTGTGAAGAAAGAGATGACTCCTTTAGCTGCCTCCCAGTTCTATTTGCCTTCTCAGTTTACTTACAGTGCATGTTCAAATCAAAAAGAATACATCATGCAGTGTTATTTGATAAAACAATCTGTACATTTCAGATTGCCCGTTGCTATGTCAAGCACAGGAGAGCGAAAAGACATACTGAGAACCAGCATCAGAACTTTTCTCAGCTGTGCAATAAGATTGGAAAGAGAACAGTCACACAAGAAACTTACAAACTTATGGTCTCATATAGAGCATTTTGCCCATTAAAATATCAGCAAGCCTGCTAATAAAAATGCATAAATGCATTTTACACAATTTTGACTGCATACTTAGTATATGATTAAATATCTATACTAAATTTGAATGTGACACACAAAAAGATACCTTAATGCCAAGTCCAGACAAATCTGCGCTGTCAGGCACTGGTGGAAGATCCAACTTGATGTCCATGTCATACGTACGGCTGTGAACAAGAGCACCGAAGAGAGAGACACGAGTTTCTCTCTCAAATCTGTCACCTACTGGGCAGTTTTGTGAAAAGAGTTCTACCGTAGGAAGACCTGTGCCAGGTGGTGCCTCCATGATCTGCAGTGCCTTTTGAACTGTATCATTAAACTGATGTTCCTCATTTGCAATAAAAGCCTGGATATCAGCTTCAAACACACTGACATCATAATAATCGTAACCTTGGTATTTAACGTTTCTTCCAACGTATTTGTTGTTCAGAAAGTAATCCTTTTTGGGGGGTGAACGTTGAGGTGGCCCAGTTCCTGCAAGCTCCACCAGAAGATCCAGAACCGAAATTATTTCAGTAAATGGTAAATTATTAGACCTTTCCAGTTCATCAACAAGCTCCTCCAACCTATCTGCTTCTGGGCTCATTCCAGCAACTCTCAAGTTGAAAGACAGCATTAAAATTTTGTTCTTCACTGGAAGTCTGGGAATGTTTGCTCGCACTTTCCGAGCTTCATCTAGGAAAAGGTTAGCAAACAAAGCATCGTAGGCAATCTTCTTGAGACTTTTGTTGGACCTTTTCTTGCTGCCCTTTCCGCTGCCTAAATGCACTTTCTTTGATAAACTTGTGACATGGGCCTCACACAAGTCACCAAAGAGCTTTGTAATACTCTCCATGGTAGCATCAGTTAGCAGATGTTCCCTTGAAGTCTTGTGAATGTGAATATAGCACTAAGAATCAGACAGCAATCCATTACAGAACCTGGAAAAATGAAAGAAAAAAGAGCACTTAATTATCCTCTCTTTGTACTGGTGCCCAGTGCCATATCCATAAGCACTGGGCATTAATGCTTAGATTTCTCAGCTCTGAGTCAGGAACAGCTCATCAGTCATCCTAAGTTCAAATGTCAGGGCTCTGGGCCTCAAAAGCAAGTCATGAGAAGAATTTAGCAGCTGCAGCTGGTGGAAGGAAATGATAAAGCTGCAGCTATTATACTTTGGGCACATTATGAGGTAAGACTCAGTGGAGAATGCAATAATATTAGGGAAAGTCAAAAGCAGAAGGAGAGGAAGACCAGAGATAAGATGGGACGATCCCATAAAGGAAGGCACTACTTAGCATTTACAAGAACTGAGCAGGGCTGTGAAGGACATAACCTTTCAGAGGACATTCCTTCATAGGATCTGCTGAGTTGGAGGTGACTTGAAGGCACATAACAACACACAACCGAAAGTCAACAAAACTCTGGGGATTTCCTCCTACATACACAGGGGCATACACATCCCTAAGCTCCTGCAGCATGGCTTTGTTTCTTTTTTAAAGTGGCAGCAAGACCATCAGTATGTATGTATGAAGGAATGCCTGTCCTGCTTCAAAAAGGGTTACAAAAGCAAGCAGCTCAGTAGGGTTTAATACAGGGACTCAGGAAGCTCCCGCCAGCAAGCCCATACCAGACATCGACTTCATGACTACAAGAGTCAGTTCCACCAAAGGTCCACCCAGCCCAGCACTCTGGTCACTCAGTGGCCAAGCAGCTGCCGATGCGAAACCCACCAGCCAGACACAAGCGCAACAGCTTCCTCTCGCCCACGATCCCACGCAACTGGCATTTAGAGCCCAGAGGCCATATCTGGCCACTCTGCATAGACTTAGCTTCTATGAATTTCTCCTATCGTCTCCTAAAGCCATCCAAGTTGGTGGCCAGCACCGTGGAAGCGAATCCCGTGCAGGGCGGGCGCAGCAAGCCTCCCTCCTCGCTCGCCCAAAGGATGCGGGAGGCGGCAGTGCTGGGGCTGCAGGGGTGCGTGGGGGAGCAAAACCTGGCGCGCTTCGCCCGACACGGCCGCTCGGCTCCGTTGGGACATTACCGTTGCACGGCGCGGTGCACACGCCGCCGAGCATGCCCGTTGGCGGGGGCTTCTTTCTAACTAAGCCAGGCGCAGGAATGCCTGCGCACCCTTCAGCCTCCCTCGCCCGCCCGCTAACAGTTCAACCCAGGAACCGTCAACCTACCGCCAGAAGACGCCTAGGAAGGGAAACGAAGCGGGCGGGCCCACGCCGGGGAGGAGGAGTCGGGCAGGCTCAGTAGGCGAGAGGGCCACGTGAGAGGACGCAACGCGGAGGTTGGCTGCTGGGCTGTGGGTGTACAGTGCTCGGAGGGTTGGGGGCCGTGCTTCTCTTCCTCCGGATCCAACGTCGGGGAGAAGCCGGGAAAAATGCCTTCCAGCTACCCCGGGGGTGCCTGGAAGAGTGTGGAGGACGGGCACAAGCTGGCGGCGAGGCTGGCTTATTGCAGGCCGCTGTGGACTGGCAAGCAAGGTGGGGGTGCTCGGTGCGCCGGGCTGCCGCTCCGCTGCTTCTCTAGAAGGGTTCATTTTCTGCAAGCCTTCTTAAGTCGCTCTATCTAAAGTTGAGGGCAAAAACCGATGCCTTTTTGATAAGGGGGAGTGGAGGCCTACAACTCCCAGTGTGCTCCAGCTGACTGAGGCATGCTGGGAGTTGTAGGCCACTCCCCATCTCAACAGGCATCGTTTCCCGCGCGAAGCTGCTTATGCCGCGCTAGAGACCATCACCAGGACTGGCTCCCTTTTCGTGCAGCGTTTGCGTTCTTTTTAAAGGACACAGGCACAGGTGTTGGGCAGCCAGTCCGCTTTTTCTTGTCATGGGAGGTTGGGGACTCCTGTCGATGGGGCTCCTTATTCGCGGTTGCTTTTCTCCTGCAATGGGATTCAGCACCACGGATAACTCCTATGAAACTAAGCAGGCATGCCCCAATGGGCTTGGAGCCTCCCGACATAGGAGGCACCAGCTTTCCCTTGCTTTGTTTTTGTGACTGACACAGCCACAGGTGCTTGTTGCTCAACTCCATGGAGGTAAGTTAGCCCTGTCCTCGAAATCTTTACGAGCACAGAGTCTACCCCACAACCTTCCTGGGTTTCTATGGTTTAGATCCCCTTCCAATTTCCAGCTCCCCATGCACTGTGGAAGGATAATACCCAAAACAGGGACACAGTCTCAAGCACTCTGTTCACTTAGTTTTTGTCCTCTTCATCAGGGACAGGATCAAACATTTTTCACTATTTTCTAGGACTATGGTTTGCAAATTACAGGGTCTTCATTCTATTTATTGCTTGGATCATTGGATGGTTTGACATGTTTTCCACCTGGATTTCCTAACCTAGGAAACTGCCTTGTGAATCAAACCCTTAGTCCATCTGTCCTGGTATTGTTTGGCGTAACTTGTGCCATCTCCTCAGGGTTCAGACAGCATATTCTTCCTAACCCTCCCAGGACATGCCAGGAATTGCTTTCTTGATGCAAAGTGTGTGCTGTACCACTGAGCTAAGGTCCCTCCCCATGACTGGGTTTTTAATTAAAGCCTGGTTCTTGTCAAATGCATTCATGCTCTCCTGCCCAATCCAAAATGTGTGTGGTAAGTTTTGTATGGTCATTTCAAGGCCTACATTCATAGGAAAATGATTCCAACACACTTAAGAGGTCTTAGGTAGCAGATACCCTGCTCAGCAGCATCTTAGCTATCCAGCCTCCACAGTGTTACATGCATGCTTTGACTATCTAATAATGTCCTAGTTTCTCTAGGCTTGACCTTCAAATCATGCTATGTTCAGTGTATTTTAAAAGCACTCTCCTGTTATCAGTCAACAAACAGGACTTTTAAATGTAACTTCAGCTCTTTAAAAGTACCAGTAATATTGAATTATTATTAAAGGTAGATGTATTTTTATGCATAGATGTTAATCAGTCTCATTGTGATAAAGTTTATTTGAGCAAAGATAGAAAAGTAAAATGTGAAATACATAATTTAATAACTAGAACAGAAAAACATCAGAACTAAAAGTGCTTTATGTTATCAGTGGTTGGTAATGAATGTTCAGACATGACAGCTGAATTGACATGCTTCTGAACTTGGACTGTGTACAGATCTGTACAATTTCAGCAGTCTTCCCATTGTGGCAGTGCAATCACCACATATGTAACAAATGTGCAGAGTTGAAAAAGGACCCATGTTCTTCCAGTATGAGCAAAGCCAATTTACACAGCACTGGTCAGCTGGCCCTTGTGTCAGTCACAAAGCTACCCTGTTTCTCATCAGAGGTGAACTGAATGGATGACCTTTGTCAGTATGTCCCTTGTCAGACCACTTTTTGAAAAGGAAGAGAAGAATTGGGCTGTGTGTGTGGAACAAGGACTGAACAATGTTTAAGCAAATAACCAGGCAGGTACTTTAGGGGAAAACGAAACAAAGTCCTATCATGAAGTTGACAGCTTGCCTAAAGCATGGGATAGAAAATATAGCTTCCCCTGTGAGCCCTATATAAGAGTCAGTATGGGAGCAAAATGGGCATGTGTGGGTGAAATCTGTCCATAACAAACACACCCTGTTCTGATTTACAGATACATGTGTAAGCAATCTTGAAGTTAAAAAGAATTCATGTACTTTCCAGCCTAGGTTTAGCAGGTACAAGGTAGAATTCTCAATTATAACAGAATTAGAACATAAAAGCCATGTCAACAGATCAAAGGCCTATCTAGTCCATTATTTCCCAAATGTTTATGGAAAGCCTATCAGTAGGACACATGGGCAGTATTTCCCTCCCACTTTGTATTCAGAGGCATGCTGTCTTTTGCTTCTGTGGGTAATATATAGCTGTAATAACTGGTACCTTAGGAGACAATTCTATACATGTTTTAGACACAGCCCATGGGCATGGGGAGGTATATAAATACTAAGATAGGTTAGACAAGAAAAAAAAAGTTCTACAGATCCAAGAATGCCTTGGCCAGCTCTGGTTTTGGGACTTCTATTTTAAATATGCGCAGGAATGTGTCCCTATTTCCATGAACTTGACTCATACTGATTTAAAGCTATCCAAATGGGTGCTCATCACTGTATCTTGTGGAAGCTAATCCCATAGTTTCTGAATCTTCAACCAATCAGCTTCACGGGCTGGTTCCAAGCTTTAGTTTTGTGTATCTACTTTCTCTACACCATGCATAATTTGATATACCTCTATCATGTTTTCCTTACTTGCCTTTTTCTAAACTAAATTGTACCAAATGGATCCTTTGCTTAAAAGGGAGGTGTTCTTTTGCACTTCTCTGCAGCTTATGTTTGTAGATGTCATAACCTAACTCTTGCCTTCACCAGGCACACTCCACAACAATCAGTGTAATATGGTTAAACCTCAATAAATTGTCTCAAATATGCTGCAGCTGGTTTGGAACTACCTCAGAGCTGTCTCTAAATTTGCAGTAATACAGTATAAAAGGATCTTTCAAGTGACATTTCTGATGTGAAGCGCACACTTTATTCTTCTGCACTGATTTTGTAGACAGTCTATGTTTTCTTCTCCTTTTTCATCTGTGGAGCTTGGCAAAATGACAGCCAAGTAAACTTCAACTTTCAGCAATGGCAATCTTTGCTAATCAAGGCAAGGAGAGGGAAAAAGGAATAGGATCAGTCCCATTTTACATCATAAGCCCCCCTAAATGAATCTTTTCACCCTTAGGCTTCTCTGATGGCAGATAATTCAGGCTTTGCAAACATTTTAAGGAGAGCATGATTAAATGCAGTGTCCATTTTTCATTTTGCTTTTCTTCCATAATTGAGAGATTATTACTTGCCTGAACACTGGAGCAATTTCCATTCCTGTTGAAGTTGCTTTCTTAATTCTTTTATCCTTTGTACATTGTCTTTTAAATCTGGTGCATAACTTCCAAAGTAAGGCATTAAGTCACCTGACAATATTTTGGTTATTTCTTGCAGTAATGTTACCTCTGTATCCTTAACAAACAAAGACAAAAGAACAAAACAAGAAAAATTACACAATGTTTTGATACACCCATGCTGAATGGTTTAAAAAAAGAAGAAGTGTGCTATTTCAAAATACTGTGAATAGGCCCAAGCATGTAAGTGACATGTAGTCTTTACTGCCCTGACTGACTTCAAATACCAGGTTTTATGTGAAACTTATGAGTAGCCATGTCTCATCAGAACAACAGTCTCCGCTCACTTTAGTTTCACAAATATCAGCATAGAGAAAGCAGGATAGTAGTTACTTGATAAATGCATGCCTTCTATAGCTGGAGTGAGGAGCATCTTTCAGCCTGTGAGCTGAATCCAATTTTGAAATCTCTGTGCCATATTTCAGGGGTGTGCAGGGCCAAAGGCAAAAGGGGTGATGCTAAACACCCCTGCCCCGGCCTGTTGTAGCTTAAAGTTCAACTGCCCTTAACTCAGCCTTAGGAGAAGTATTCTGACCTTTTAGAATGAAAGGAAGGGCTTGGAAATGACCAAATGTTCAGAAGTTGTAGGGAATCAGCGGTGCCAGGGAAAGGGGGCATGGCCATCTGATAACTTCTGGGGAACTAGATTGGGACTTCATTCCCACCCCCAACCCCCCATTGGAGCAGTGAATGTGGAAATGTGAAACAACACAGACACAGTTCAGAAGGAAGGCAGCACCACTAGGTACCCACATGAAGACAACTCTTTGGTATGAAAGTATTTCACACTAGAAACAGACAAAAGGACTAAGCAGTGAATAATTACTATGCTTAACATTGCATACAATGTAAAGGTGTAGCACAATTAAAATGCAAGGAGGGATGTTTCTTTCTGGATCTTTTGTAATAATTGAAAAGGTATTATTTTGACATCAGATCAATGTAACCCTTTACCTGGATCAGAACAAGAATTTGAGACTGTGCTAGCCCTTGCAGTAAACTGATAAGCAAGGAAATCTCATTTCTGCCAAGGTTCTGGTTTGGCCCAAGTACTATAAAAGTTAGGTCAGGCTGATAGCTGTATGCTACTGGAAGGATGAATCCAAGGAGAGGAGAGAAGAAGTTGTTTGTTTCAACATCCTTTGACTAAAACAAAACATAAAAATAGTTGTAAAAAAGTCAGATATCTATATCAATTTTCCAAAATACACTTAGTAATCACTGGCTACATGAGCTGCCTTTTTGAAAAGCTATGCCTGTAGCCATGGCCCTGATTATGTGCAATTTCTTTCAGTCTTCTGTGTCACTTAAATGCATATATGGAATTTTGGGGCAGGGACACCTGGCCACACAGATTGCTGCACTTCCCTGGATACCGCCATTGTGTGTGATGAGGATTCTGGAATCCCTATGTAAACCTCCTTGCATAGAAGTGGACAGGATGTGAATTATGTGTGAAGAGGTCTATGGTTGCATATTAATCTCTGTGCCACACTCCCAGAAAGTAATTTTCTAAACATTTTAATCTTAGAGTTATCCCATACCCTTTACATGCCCAGTGTATTTGCAACACACATATTGGCATTTCTTGCAGCAATCAAGTAAAATGCAGACTTGCACAAATGGTCCTTAAAAATATAGGCACCTACTCAGTATCACTGATTGGGCTAGTGTTCCCAAATACATGTATGTCATCATCCATGCTTTAAACTAGAGAATCTTGCTGAATGTTTAGCTCAGCTGCAAGCCTGGGCTCTGTCATCATCACTAAATTATGCCTCCGGGAATAAAAGGATCAGAAAAATATTTGGTATACCTCTTTCCAGTTTAGAGATATATTGTATTTGGAGTTGGCTTGTTCAGGTTGCTTGGGCGAGATACTGATTAGAAGGACTTTGCTGTAAAATAAAAGTCATTTCAAAACACTGAAGGTAAAATCTACTAGTTGCCAAAATAAATATTTTATAAACAACAGTAAAATCAAAACCAAAGAAATGGACATGTCATATGAGAAACTGGTCATAAAGAAGCCATAAAGAATTGCTTTAGCAACTGGTTTCTTCCTTTTATTTTTAGTAGATAAATTTTCAGGATGTGTCATAGGAAGTTGCCATTCTGAGAACAGTAAACAGACTCAGAGTACAACCCTATATATGCTTACAAAGAAGCAAGTTTCATTGATTTTAAGAGGGCTTATTCCCAGGTAAGAGTGAACAAGATTAAACCCTTAGTAATAGGTCTATATAAGTGGTCCTCTGTAGGGAGTAATCTTATGCATGCTGGGAGTTGTAAGCCTTTTTTTCTGTCTAAACCATTTCTTTGTGTAGGGTTGTGTTCCCTTAATGTCCTTCTGAAACTATCTTAGTTCTCCACCAATAGTTCAGTGCAATTCACTGGGTTTATTGTTTGTAAATTTAAATTAACTGAGTATAGGAGGGGGCTCTTACCCATTATCCAAGTCAATTTTGAGATCCGTGTCACCAGCGAATATGCACAGGACCCTAGTAGGAAAAAAACATTTAAATGTTGCAACTTTATGCATTAAATTATATACCATTAAAGGTAAGCAGCATATTATACATAAAATAGGTTTTAAAATCTGCCCATGAGCTACATATGCAAAGTGGCATGGAAGACAGTGCAAAAAAATTAAGAATATATAATGAACTATCAAGCTCCAAGAAAAGAAAGAAGCCAGAAGACATGGGGAATAAACTGCTAGTAGATGCCAGGAAATTAACTGGCAAAGGTTTATAATATGGTGAGCATGGTCCCCATGGCACCTGCAAAGGGGCCCCCAATATGTTGCCCACAGACATCCTTAAACATGCTCACTTAATTTTATTGCACCATTAGCTACGGAGCAAATAGTCCTTTATTAAACAGGCATTGTGATGTATAGTAGCAATCTACATAAAATTTAGGTTTGCAGTGACTGCAGCAAAAAGCCTCACATTCTATACTTTACTCTCCAGAACTATTGTATGCTATGCACAATTAGATGTACCATTGGCATATATTTGCACCAAAGTAACATATTGAGGGCCTCTTCACATACTGTATTTGTATTTCTCACTAAGTCTAATCTTGTCCACTGAGCCCATCAACTCTTATCACACACAGCTGAAAAAAAATATCACACACATCAGACCAGATGTTTGATCATAGTAGAATACTGTATGTCAATTCCAGTGCAATCATGTGCTTGTATGCTCCAGTGTAAGTCCCTCAAAACAATTCTATATTTGTCAGAAAAAGGTTCTGCTGAATTGATATAACTTCTCAGCAAATGTGTAATATTACACTGTTAACAATGTCACCACTTAAAATAGTGCAAATCACAAGAGGATTGATACTTTCAAAACTATCATGAATTAATCCAAACCCAAAAATAGCAGACATGTTCCTTAGGACTACTGCAAGCATTTGCAGTAAACATAAATAAGTAGTAACAGAAGTTAGCCTTTAACTGTTTGGCACCACATGAATTGCACACACGGAAGGTACTGGGTCAAAAATAGTTTTACCTACTTTTGTACTTTCTGGTTACTACAGTGTTTTAAAGCAATGGCACAAGAAAGCGAAGCTTGAGAGGATACTGCAAGGCCATTGGTCACCTAAAAAACAACAGAAAGGCTCTTACTACATTGTATTTCTAATGACCAAATTAAGATACCCTTATAAACAAATGTAATAAAAAGTTATCATTAAAACAGCCTATATGTGAGTATCTAGTTGGATTCTCCCCCACCCCATCTGCTGAAAAAACAATAAAACCATTTTTTCTTTAGGAATATATATCCCTGCTTGGAAGCATGAACACAATTTTCTGTGAATTCATCCCAAAGTCAGAATGCGTGGGAAGCGGTATGAAATGTAGCTATTGTCTCCTAACAGAAAGAGTACTCAACTGCAGTGGGAAATGTCTTTTACAATATCCTGGCTATAAATATAGCAGCATTTCTATCAGAGCAAAGTGTTTATGTGCGTGTTTTATATAGGAAGGTGAGCTACTTTCTATTACTTTTTGCACACCAACACTGATTCATCCATCACCACACCAATTTCTGAGCATTCCAAAGTGGAGAATGAAGCATGAAGGTGAAAGTGGAAGTTTCAGGACTTGGGGGGTCAATAGTGACCACTCTTGCTCCTGAGAGAGTAGCTTTTCTAGAATGGACAACACATGGGGGAAAAAACTAACTTAAATGGTTCTCAGCAATCAGCTCAATATAAAGGCTGGGATATTGTTGATATGTTTCTGGGTTCTGTCTGCTACCTACAAACATCAGAAAGAGGATCTGAAAGAGACATGTGCTTGAGTGCCTCTTTACAAAAGGGACACCTCCCATTTTGAAAACTATGCACTTACATCAGTTGCTGCTAGAAAAAGTGATGCATTTTCATCAGCTGTAGAAATGAGTCCAGAAAATTTAGCAGCGCTTATGTACGTATTTAGTGTAGGGAGGGAAGAACCATTTAGAAAAATGTATTTTCTTAGATGACTCTGGAAGTCCCTTTCAATTCTATTATTTTATCCTTGTACTGGCAGGAAGGTGAATGATCTTTGAGGTTCCTTCTCTATAATTTCCCACAGATGAGTAAGCAAGCCCTACAAAACAGCTGTATACTAATTAAACATCTTATATTGGAGCTCTGTTTTGAGAAAAGTCTTATATGGGAAGCCCAAGTTTCCCTTCTCTCCATATGGTTGTTTATGAATGACATTAAAATTTTATTATTTATTAAAAGGACTGCTATCCTGCTGCTGTTCAATTGCGGAACAGTGCTCAAGGTCAGAATGCATGTTCAATCAGCAAAGGAGAAGAAATTACAGGCAATGACTGAAGAAGGATCAGAAAGGGCAAGATGCACAGCTATGCTTGCTTACATTACCTCTTTCTTAATTATTTTGTCTAAAACAGCCAGTGTGTTCATAAATGACTGAAAACCCTTTTCTTCTTTCACAAACTCAGCATCAAATTCACTGTAAAACACATTTTTGAATACTGGTTATAAAATTATGAACAACAGTACATATGTTGGTCAAAATGTAGGGCTCTTAGGCTTCAGTCTTACAATAGGGCTTACCTCCAAATAGACAGGTATAGGGTTATTACACTGTTAATCATATGAAAGTGTATACAACTTGCCAACGAAGGTTATGCTGTCGGTGTTGCTCAGTAAGTAGCCTTGCTTTAATTGTGGAATATTAAGCACCATTTGGCCCATTTTACAAGTTGAAAAAAACAAGGTTAAAGATGGTCAGAGGCCCAGAGAAGTCGTGTGCATGTGTGTGTGTGCTGCAAATGCAGCCTGCTTCCTACGTCCTTTCCATAAACATAGTTGACACGCTGCATGTACAATTAAGTTTGCTGCATGTGCTGCCATAAGCTCCAACTCCAAGACGAGGTGTACAGAAAGTACACAAAAAGTGCATTGCTGAAACCCTTGACCACCTTGAGGCACTTATGCGTGATGGAACTGTAAAAAGTGAGAGCCTTCTGGTCATAGCAAAAAAAGGACATAGTATAGACACATAACAGGGTATAAAGAAGTGGAGAAGGCTGGACCATGTCAGCATGAGAGGTAATAACATGTTGGAATGTTTCCCCATGTGAACAATTCTCTTACAACTGAATCGTCACATAAGGGAGAAAGTAACTGAAGGGGACACAACCTTCTTTCTTCTGGACTGGTGTTCTACTAAAGTTAAATTAAGACAGAGAATTATCCACTGTATGTACTGCATGAACAACAGAACTTGACAAGTGGAACCTGCAACAAATTGTTGCTGTGTGGAATGCAGCCATGCTCTGTTTCTGAGGTCCCCCCCCCACTCCACTTCAACAGGCAACCAGCATTCTGTGGCTTCTGAACACCTTCAGTCTTCACTGGGTCATTTGGGAGCTGGTGGTAGATGGTTAGCCCCTTAAAACTGTTCCTCCTGAGGAAGCATTTTTATACTTCTGCAAACTTTGATGTTGCCCCCAGACTTCCTGATGCATCTCTCCCTTGTGCACAGGTGGTACTACTTTGGCTACATAAGCGAAGGTCTCCCACCACCTCGACATCAGAAATGGAGGGACTATGAAGGCCAAAAGAGTTATGGTGATGGCAGATATGCATGTTGAAACCCAACACGCAGGGATGATTACCCTATTGCAAAGAACAAAATGCAAGGGATATGTGGGTGACAGAAACTGAACTGCCCCTCCCCCCACCCCCAAGTTGTCCATCCCATGGCTCAAGTCCAGCATCAGACTCTCTCAACTCAAACTGGGTCTGGGGACTGGGACTATGGAAACATCAGCTGCCAGGAACCAATCTATAATCTCCACTCACATGGTCCTTAAATAAGACACTACGCACATGCATTTTCTACATTATTATAGTGTCTTGCTTGGCCACTACTCACTACCGCGAGACTGATTTTACTTTTAAAATGGGTATTGCTTACCAAAAGCCATTGTTACAAAATAACATTGCAACATACAGCTAGACCCGACCCATATTATTGGCAGGCCAGCAGTGTAGCCCATTTCTGCATCATCACACAAGTGCCCTACATGCCTGTAATGGATGAATTTGGGGTTCTGGCTTCCACACATTTCAATAAGGAATGGGTTGAGTGTATGCTTATCTCGTCACTGAAATCTGTGGTTCGTGCAAGTACTTAGTGTTCATAGCAAGCTTGGTTCCTAACTGAGTGAAAGTATGTCAAACCTGATTGTGCTTTTGAGCTCTGTCGTATCTATTCCCTTCTCAATTTGGACAGATGCTGGTAGCAAGTATGCATCATTTTCATCAATAGCCACTGCTGTTTTAACGGGAGGTCTCGGACATTCAATGCTTTTCATATGTAGCTCCAAAAACCTATCTGTTCTGATAACTTCCTCATGCTTCATGTTTCCGGCATCTTGTGAAGTCGGCAGCTGTGTCCCACTTTGTGTAGCGTCTGTTTGCCCCACCTGGTAGGATTGAGTACTGAGGTCCTGCAATGGAGTTGAATCTGGACAAGACAACAAAATTTGAGCAAGACAAAACACACAGCTTGTATCTTAACAGTAGACAATCTGTGCCATGGACATGGCTTATATGTCTGCAAATCTGAGGCTCAACATTGCTTTCCCAAACCTACTAGAATGTCTACACCTAAAATGATGCAGGAACTTAAGAATGCACTCCAACTGAGGATATACTTCAAAATATCTTAGCCTCACAACATTTCTAGGATAAATAAGCAAACAAATGAACGAACAACCTTGTTTGGAATCTGGACATGGTTTAAAATACATTTTCCACATCCATGCTATCAAGTGCATTGCAATTAGAGAAGAAAATAGGCCAGTCTGCCATTACCTTCATACATCAAACATTGCCAATATGGCTTGTGTGCAGCTCTCACATTGTGGACTGATTCTACTGCACTACAAAAGATAGATAGGAAAAGTTATCTACAAGAGAAATGAACACTTATTCTACTCAATCTCCATTAAAAAGACTAAGAGTAATAATCTGCAAAGCGACTACATTAGGTCCTTGCAACAGCAAATGATGGAAAATTAGAGGACAGCTAAAACAACACTCAGTCTTGCAGTACCTTAAACGGTACTGCTTATACAATTGTGAGGTGCCCACACAATGTCTTCACAGTTCTGCATCCACCCAATGATTTCACCATACTTTGCCACATTTTTTCACAAGAAGGAAAAATCTAGTGTTTTCTAGCACACCATAATGCATCAAAAATCATGGGTATGTTCCTTGTTTTTGGAATCTTATGGTACTTTTGTGGGGGCATGATTGTTTACTATAGCATTTTGCAATAGGAAGTAGAACCAATTTTGCTCCCACTTCCATCATTTCATTTCCAGCTGGGATAGAACAAAGATGGATGCTTTCCCCTTATTTTTAAGGGCAGGACATCACCAGAAGACTTGATTCTCAAGACCACAAAATTTGTGCTTTACATGAATTTCTGATTTGGTGTTGCAAAACCCACAGATCTAAGGAATATGTACTATTCTACCTATGGAATTAAAAAAGACCCCAAAAAGTTTCTAATGGGAACTTTTACCAGTCACTTGTTAATCAACACTTTCTTTCATTGTGAGATTTAAGGATGAGAGATAAGCTTGTTTTCATCATTCTGTATGATGCACAGACCAAGTATCAAGACAGCCACTGTTATGTGCCATGATGTCACCATCTTACAGTGACCATATGAATGAAAGTCGTCCAAATGTCTTATCCATGACATCCCAGCTTAGCTGATCTAGTTTCAAAGCCGTGGCTTCCTTTCTGGAGTCAATCCATCTCATATTGGCTCTTTCTTTTCTTCTTCTAACTTTCCTTAGCATGATTGTCTTCTTCAGGGTGTTTTGCCATCTCATGATGTACCCAAAGTATGATAACCTTAGTTTCTTCATTTTTGCTTCTAGTTCTAGCTTGATTTGATTTCTGATTTGATTTGAAGGTTCCATTTATTTATCTTTCTGTCAGTCCAGGGTGTTCACAAAGCTCTGCTCCAGAACCATGTTCCGAATCCATACATTATCTTCCTGTCAGCTTTCTTGACCCTCCAGCTTTCACACCCATACATAGTGCAATACAGACCGGAAAGAAGGAATTTGTGGTCCTCCAGACGTTGGCAATTTTCATCATCCTTCACCACTGCTTATGATGGCTTATTGAAAGCCAGAACATCTAGAGAGCCATAAGTGGCTCATGCCTGCTGTATGCCCAACCTCTCCTCTGCATGGTCTCTGCAGACAGCACACGATGGGCAACGTATATGAAGCTGCCTGTTCAGAAATGGCAGCTGGATTCAACATGCCATGGCTTGTCTCTCAATTGAGGAAAGAGAAGGAAGGTGATCTGGTGCCCTCCAGTTGTTAGACCACAACTCCAATAATCCCTGACCTTCGGTCATGCTGGCTGAGGCTGATTGTAATTGTAGTACCATCTGGAAGGCATTAGGTTGCCTGCCTGGAGTAGACTGCTGAAACCCTGGTACACCAGCATGCCAAAATTTACACAGGCTTCCCCTGTCCTCTTTGGGACACAAACCAAGCTAAAATGGCTGAGAACTAGAAACCCCTCAGCAGTCTAGGCCCTACATAGACTAGAGACGACCTTATTTTGTGCATAACTTGACTAGAAGTTTCTTCCTAATGTCACTTACTACAGATATCAATTCTGACTACAGTATATTTGACTAATATTCAAGAAGCAGGTACATTTTCACAGACACCCCACCTTTCATCCACATTATGGTTTGGTTACACTACTGGGAATATTTGATTTATGTGGTGAACTATAAAGACTGAATTTTAAAAGATACCTTCATTTCAACTTCTTCACTGAAGAATGGGTGTTAAACTCCAACATACTGACATTATCTTCGAAAAAGTGGCAGTCCCAGACATGACAATGGGGTGACAATGCCATCCCATGAAGCACAATGTTTGCTTAGTAATCATTTTCAACAGGAGATGACCTAGCATGAGATTGGCATTTCTGCTGAGATCAGTGGGACCTAAAAGGGCTTCTTTTGGGCTGAATCAAATTTGTCACTTATAGAGAACATGCTTACACATACACATACCTTAAGCATGGTGCCATTTCTCCAGACAAACAGGGTAAAGGATCTCCAAGCAAAGCTTTTATAGTCATGCACACCGATTCAGACAGTGACCTCAAATGATATCCACCCTAAGTGTGACCCAATGGAAGTAAAGCACAAGGGAACATAACAAACATCAAATAAAATAGAATAAAATCAAGAATGTTGTGATGCCAGAGTGTTGGGCATTGTGCAATAAAACAGCTTGTATTCACATGACACATAATGTGTAATAGTCCCAAGATGTTATCTGGGGGCACATCATAAATGTTTGGCAGTATCTGATGGGAGACCAAAAGAGAGGCCCAGTGCTAGCTACCTGAAGTTCCATGATGGAGTGATGCTATTTGCAGGCAAGAGTCGACATTTAGGCATTTAATGAACAGAAGACTGTTTAAAATGCCCACTGTCTCAATGCAATACTCTGCTCTAGTTACAGAGTCCCTGACAACAGGTTCATAAGAGCAGCCAATCACTGGACTCCATTTCTTAGCATGATGCTCAAAATCAGAGGAAGCTCAAGGACGAGCTTATTTTTATTCATAGCAAAGTCAGTGTCTGAGATCTGGAGAATGTCAAGTGTCCTATGTTAACTTGGACATTTTCTTTTTTGCAAATATAACAAAACAGCTAGAAAAATTAAAAAGTTCAGCTCCATTCCTGCTTTAACTAAGTGCATAGGAAAAGAAAAAAACTAATCAAAATGCTATAAAGTTGGAATAATGGAAAGCAGCTCTTCTAAAATGCCTGCCTCTTGAGTGGATATGATCAGAACTGAACAAGAAGGCAGAAAGAAGTACATCCCACCAAAACTTTCAGTTTCCCTAATTTGCAAAAGTCCTGCCACAATTTACTGGCAGGTGATAATCCACACTGTGCATCGTTTCTGTAGACAGAATGCTGACAGATGTTAACAGTGACCTATAGCGTTCACTGGTGCTGTTTACAATTTATGTTCATGAATTGCATTTATGTTCTAGGATTTGACTGGGATTTTTTGTGATCAGATATGGGATATGGGAATATCTGCTTAAGCCAACACTTGGGACATCCAATGTATGTCCCAAGTTTTGGCCTGAGCTGATATTGTAACACTTTAACATTTATATGATACCCTGTGCATTTCTAAAATGTCACTATTGGTGATCTAAAACCTTATTAAATAAACAGAGCATAATGCAGTGAAAACTATACAGACCCTTATTCATGTAAAACTTACCTCTAGAACCACACATAACTTTCCTTTTGCTAAATTCATTAGGAACTTAGTAAGATGGGAAAAACATTCTGGTGTAGCACTCATATGACCCTACCAAAATGAAGAAATAAAGAAATGAATGATTCATCACTGACATTTTGCTGTTCTATAACAACAGGTTTTAAAAGTAAAATCAGGAGGAAATATACAGAAAAAACTTTAAGACCTGCTTACTTCTGGGTCACCAATGCCAGAATCATAACCAGCAGACACCAAAACAAGTTCTGGATCAAACTGCAATTAAGAAAGCAACACAAGCTCAGACAAAGCTTAACATACATTACAGTTTTATTCAGGATTATTTATTAAATACAATTGTATGCTAATCCTTTTAAAACATCTCATTGTGGTTTCCAAATAAAAACAACAATGCAAAACACAGATACTAATAAAGGAATGCAAAACTCCACATACACTTGAATTTATATTCTTTTTGGTACCAGGCAAAAACCTTCTTATTTGCCCATTATTTTAATGTTTAATTAGGTTTTAACATTGTTACGCTCAGTTATGCTCTGTTATGCTTGTTATGTTGTATTTTGTTGTGATTTATTTATTGTTGGGATAAGCCGTCCTGGGACTTTTTCATAAAGGATGGGGTATAAATATTGTTAATAAATACATTTCACAAATCTATGCATTCAGTTCTCTGATCCATCCTGAAAGGAGTTATATGCTTTAAGGATAAGGCTAAGTGACAGAAACTGATGAGGGAGGCTTCCTGAGTGTTGGCAAAGCTCCCTTACAAGCTCAGTCATTCTGTTCCCACTTCCAGAAATGTTCTGCTTTGTTTCAGGTTGCCCCAGAAGTACTAAACTAGCTGTGTGCAGAATGGAATTTGTCTGGTCTAGTCACACACACAAGAACCTTGTTGGATTCTGCTACAAATATTGATAATTTGTTACCCTCTAAATTTGTGCTCTAAACTATGTAGTGCATACAAAGATATGGTGCTTCCTTGCATGTACAAAATCAGAATATTCATCATTATCACCCAAATGTCATTTGGATGGGAAACATTTCTCCAAAGCATCAAGCAAAAGTACTTCCCAGCACTGCTGTCTGGAGTCCTTTTGACTCTGTGGCAGAGAACACTATTTCTGCTAAGCCTGCATTTTGTTTGGGGCAATGTTCTGGGGATGATATGCTCTTACAAGGGAGAAAAATGCAGAAATGAAACTTTGGGGTTTAAGGATGGTGCAGTTCTGAAGAAGAAAGTTAAAATCTACCTCAGCACAAGAATCTGATGGGTGGAAATAGTGAAGGGAGGGAAGAGTGTTGCCTACAGCTGCACTCACTGGTGTGAACAGAAGGAGGGGGCACATAGTAGCAATTCCCCCTGACACTGCTGGGCAGTGCATGGAATTCTACTTGCATTTTAAAGTGGACATCTAATTATTGGTGGTGGCGCTAGAAGCCCTTTGTCTCCAACAGCATTAGACTGGGATGATTATGATCTTGAAATTACAGTGGAGATTCTCTTAACAAGCTCATCTTCACCCATACTTTCTTCTTCAAATGCCCTCATTCCCCCGCGGGATGCGGGTGCCCCACATCCATCCAAGGGCTATCCTAGGAATCAAACCTAGGACCACAGTCATATAAAGCATATACTCATTAACTGAACTCTGATACTACCATTAAGAGAACTATCTTCATAATCTAGGAGCCCTGTTAATTATTACCACCTCAAGGTCTTTCCTCTGCTCCAGGTGATAACAGTTATATATTTGTGTATTGACCTCTGAGCCAATTAAACGTTTTGTTTTTTTTAAAATCTGACAGCTATCATTGCCCATGCAGATAACTTTTCTAGCAGAATCCATGTAACCTTTTAAAATAGTCACTGTTTTTAATAGCTGAAGATTTCTCAGGATGTCAGTAAAAGTAATATATTGCAACAGTTTTCAGATATTTTAGACAATCAAATATTATTTTAAATATATCTCAGAATATTTTAAAGTTACCTCAAAAGCTACTGGAAGCAACACATGAAGGAATGCTGCTATATAATCTGAATTTCCCATTCCAATCTGCAAAGTCAGTACATAAAATTAACAAAGAGTCACTTTTACGATTCCATTAAATTCTATGACGAAATGATACAAGGCTTTCAATAGGAAGGCAATGTTATGGCTTGCAAGTATACAGTTACTTGCAAGACTGAATCCCAAAGTTGTATTCCGAATGGAAAGTCTTATACACCTGTTTGCTGTTGGACTAAGTTCCAGCAGACAACATACAAGTAGAAGAATGTGAATATGTGATTCAGATGTGGGGGTACTTTCATTTGTTTTTATGACATCATCTTCACAGAAGTCATGTTTTTCAGCACACAATCCATTAGCATATGTGGGAAGTGCTTATTTCTGCTAATTACAGTGCAATCTCTGCTACTAAATAGATATGCAATGACAATTCTGTTTTTAAATGTATCAGATGCATGCCCTTATTGCAGCCTTTCCAGCCTGGTTCCTTCTAGATGGGTTGAGCTATAATTCCCAGCATGCTCAGCCAGCCATGCTAGCTGGGGCATGCTGGGAACTTCAGTCCAACAGACTGGAAAGGTGTTGAGCTCAGGTATGGCTGTCTAATCAGATCTTCATTATTATGCCATCAAGTGACATTCACCTTGTTCCATGGTACATTTATGTTGAATCCTCTGCCTTTCTCCTGACCAACTGCATCATAATTAGACTCACTGAGTGAAGGCCAGAATTGCTGGTGTTCAAACCGATGCCAGGAAAAATAAAGAACACTGACAATAAGAACAAAACAAAGCGATTGATGTTATTACAGCTAACTTGAAAGTTTTCTACCATGTACTATCCCCTTGTCTGAAACTCCAGAAATGGTCAAAAACACCGCAACGCCTCACATTTAAAGTAAAATATTGAAAGTGACCATACATCATTCATCATTCTTAAGGCAAGCAAGCAAGCAGCTCTTGAACCTGGTTCTCCAAAATCGGCTAGCAATTTTACAGCTAAATGGAGGTGTGGATCCTGGAATGTCAAAGCTTAGCATTCCATCTATTGGTTTACACAGAGCCTAACCAGAGAAACCACATCCATACTGGCATAGCATCTGCAGGGGTGGGGATGTCAGCCCTCCTCTTCACTCACAGGAAAACCTTACAAGGGCTTTTGGTGGAGCAGGCTGAGCAGAGTGAGCAGCTGTCCCCATCCACTGATGCTGGGTTGCAGCAGTGCTACATGGGTACTGCTGAGCCACACTCTGCTTGGTCAACTCAAGAGTAGGCCAAGCCATGATTGGCTCCCTCACAGTCCTGGCTGATTCTGCTCAGAGGGCAGGGGTGGTGAGCAGCACAATCCCAGGGAGGCCTCAGATTGCTGCTGCTCCCAAGTGCCACTTTGGCACTTTGTGGGTGGTTCTCAACTCTGCTCACCCAGAGCTACTCGGCAAGAAGGCACATCAGGCGTGTTGAAGCTAAGCAGGTCTGGGGCTGGCCTGAGCTTGGAGGGGAGACCACTGAGAACTGCAGGCAGCCACCTTGAGTCTCACGATGGAAGAAAGGTAGGATATAAATATTGTCAATCATTAAATAAATAAGAACGGCAGGTTTTTTTATAAGTCACCCCAAATAAGCCAGGGAGGCTTCTTGTATCACATAAGCCAGTCCCTCTCTCTTTTTCTCTACACACAAAAGATGATCTGAATTTTCATTTTAAGGATATCAAAATGAAAAGCATCAAAATGAGCTTTACTATTAAACATCGATATATTTGATAACCTTCTTTCAGGATAAATTACAGGCAATTTAAAAAGAGAGGTGCAAAGTCTGCAAATAAACAAGTAAGCAACAAACCTCGGATCTGCATCAAACAGATACTGAGTTCCTTGTCCATGGTGCACGTCCCAGTCAACAATCAGGATTCTGCACAGACCAGGAGAACAATATTCACCAGAAAAGCAGGAACTTGTCAAGGCAAGAAGGCAATATAGAGAGAGCAAGATATACTCCACCTCTGCAGGCCGTATGTTCTTTGGGCATATTTTGCTGCGATGGCAACATTGTTGAATATGCAAAAACCATTGGCTGCATTCCTCTGGCTGTGGTGTCCTGGGGGCCTGCAGGACAACATTAGGTTGCTGTAAGTAATTTGCAGAATGCCCACTTATTTCTTAAGTGTCTCTACATTCTTACCTTACGAGAGCCATCCCGTTACGTGTTTTTCCCAACATCACAGCATCTACCAGTTCCAACGTTGCTCCCACAGCCAATTTGGCACAGCGAAATGTAGTCTGAAGAACAGGAAATGTCACAATTCAAATTCTGCAGAATTTTGCTAAGGAATGCGCATTTGGAAATGCACAAATAGAACCTGCAATAAAATGCTTGAGTGCTCCTGTATATGGAGAACACTTTCCTCTCCCAGGATGCTGCATTGTATTCTCGCTTTTCCCTGGCTTTCCATTCTCTTACTCCAACAGCCAGTCAGCATTCTAGAGCCCATGTGGTGTACTGGTTAGAGTCTTGGATTGAAATTCAGAAGAACCATCATCCACCTTCATTCATGAAGCTCACTGGGAACTTTGGGCCAGTTGCTGATTCTCAGCCTAACCTACCTCACAGGGTTGTTTGAGGATAACACATCGTTATTTGCAAAAGGAAAGATGGCTAGATATAAATGCATTATTAAATCAATGGCCACTGAGCATGCAGAGTCTTCATGAGGTTTACCCAGAAAAATGTTTCCTACTTCTCCAAACTTTGGGGTTTCCCTAATACTGCAGATAGGTATCGCTTATACTTGGATGGTATAGTTTTGGCTTCCTTTGTGTCAACACTTGGATCACTGAGATCAGTCTTAGCATACATGCTTTACAAAGCAATTTAGCAAAGTGGAACATTACATATATGAGAAACAGTCAGGATTGTGGCTACGTACTGGATGAAAGTAAACAGAATCATAATCAGCAGAAGTTTTTTGAAGTTCTTCTTCCTTCATTTCCTGAGTGCTCTTCACAACCTCCAAGTAATCTGCACTGGAAAGGAAACCAAACATGATTTAGACATTTTAAATGCAACTTGGCACACTGGCTGGTTAAGGCCAGACTCCTACATGGGTAAGCCCCACTAAACAGAGAAGGGCTTACTTCTGAGGAAAGAGGCACAGGGCTGGGTTCCAAAACACTCATCTATTTTTGTGGCTGCCCATGAACAAGAAATCCTGAGAAGCTTAATCTATCCCCCAGCCCTTAACCCAAGAGTATCAGAAAATAGTTGACAAGGCAGCACCTACAGCAAACTCAAATGGACTCCCAGGGCTGCAAATTGAGCCTGCATGAAAAACTGGACTGCATAGCCTTCATTGTCCCCAAACTGAAACAATATCAGTGGGTCTGATCAGAAACAGCCACACATAGGTCAATCAGTTCAATGTATTTATTTTAATCAAGCGGGTGATTCGAGGCCCTCAGCCTAGAAAAATGAATTTAAACAGTGAACTACATATAAAAATATCACCTTTTATTGGCACAAGTTCCTTGAGAAGTTCCACCACGGCTCCTGAACTCAACTTCTATCTACAATCAGGAGATCAGGAGCAGGCCTTGAACAGTACTCATATCTCATTTGTTCTCTTGCGTAGATTTTCACCTTAGCTCAGGGACCACATGTGGGGCACTTCACATTCCAATCCAATAGTCTGGCAAGCCCCAAAATAGCCAGCCCCACCACTAACGCCAACCCCACCACTTTCCACAACTATCAACCATTTTGTGGTTTCCGGGCTTTTCCTCACTTCTTGTCCCATCATAAAAGGTTGAAATGCCTTCTTCAAGGCTTAAGTTGGTGTTGGTATAACCTTCAAGCTAAACTCTACTGGTACTTTTGGCCATTATTTTGCCTTTGGTCTCATCTACAGCGGCAATACAGTTTCCAAGAGCCCTTCTAAAATTGAGACCAAGCCTTTGGCTGAAAGAGATTCAGCACCCCAGGTTATACCAACCTAAGCGCTAATCCTGGTGAGATTTTAGCTTTGCTACCATGACTAGAAATGGGTTTACAATTACCTCCTGAAAAGAGAAAAGCAGGGCAAGTTATATAACATTGGAAGATCGGTGGGGAAGGTATGTGCACTTCATACTCAGGGTTTGTCCCACGGAGCAATTCATCTGTGAGCTATGAAACTGAGAGGCCTAAAATAATATGACGGTCTAAGTGCCTTATTAACCTAATGCTTAATCCAACTCTCTTCATCACTGTTAGGAAAGAATTTCAAGTTTGGATTTATGTTAACTTTGGAACTTGGTTGATTGCAAATACCATTCCCATGAATCTGATCAGTACGGCACATTTGCTATCTTTCACTTTAGGCCTCTTCTACTTTCCACAGTAAGCAGGAATTTCATTTCCTATCTAAGGGATTAGGTTTTCACTTGGGCTTTTTCATTATGAGAACAAATTGTAACCGAAAGTTTAAGAAAAAGATCATGGAGTGAAAAGCCTTTTCTGTTATTTATCTAATGGGGATGGGGATGAAAATATATGACAGCCAACCTGTGAACCAGCATGATCTCGTTCTCAGTTCCTTCTCTGACAGGGATAGTGATGCATCTTTCAACCAAATTGTAGCACTGAAGGTAGTCGTAGCAGGACAGAAGCCTCTCAGGGACTTCAATATTACAGATTGGGCTAAAAAGACACAGAAACATTTTCTTTTTTGCACTAGATGAACCAGGGAACCATCTGTATTCCTACTGAGAACAACTGGCAGTTCCCTCCTTCTGCCTGTCTGTCCCCAAAGGAGAAACAAAAGATTATTTATTTAATCACTGGATCTAAAGCCTGATGAGTTGTTTTTATTAACTTTTAAAATACTTCCAAACTGGGATACCCAACATGGCATCCATGCAGGCCACCTCGCTCAGCACCCACTAAACCCCTAGCTTTAAGCATTTTAGGTGACAATCCCATATGTCATGTGCAGGCATGAAAGCCTCCACGATAGCAGATCCCTGCTAATGAATGTCCACTGTGTGGGTTTTATCTAAACAGCCATTTTCAACTGTATAGCAAGTGTGAGGCTGATACACTGCTAGGAATAGGCTGACACGCTCAGCTACAGTCTTCTCCCCTCCCAGCACATCCCCTTTTGCCCTGAGATTCAGATAGGACCTTGAAGAAAGGCAGCTGCCAGCTGCAAGGCTGGTAGGGGCAAAGCCTTCTAAGTACCAGTTCCACGATCACAATCAGACCAATCGGAGCTAGCACTCTAAATATTCCTTTGGCCTCCCAAGCTGGTATTGTTAGGTCACAGGACTGCTCCCTAAAAACATCAGCCTGATGGCCAGGGCACATTGTGAAGAGCTGTCACCTTCATTTCCCTGGAATGCTGTAGCAGAGACAAACTGAAAGCACCTCCTCTCAGTCCTGTTCACTTTTTCAGTATCATTCACAACAGATAGACCTGAGCACAAATTATCTGCTTATAAATTATGTTCTGCAACAGGACAAAGGTCTGCTGATTCCTAGTGATACCATCAGGAGACATCAGGTCAAAATTAATTCAGGACTGATGCTGATCCTCCCTCTCTCTCTTTATTGGAGGAGAACTTATTAAAGGATCACTATCTCACATTTTCCCAATTCTGAGGAAAAGCACAAGGTGGCTTATACGGAAAAGATCACTGGAGAACTGCAACTGGGAAACAGGATCATTCCTGTAATTTTCTGTAATGTTAACGTAACATCAGTAACTGCTGAACATGAACATGCAACTTAATGAACTTACTCATCCCAAAGGAGCTTATGGCTGGTCATTTCATTGTCGTAAACCAGTGCGGTTCCAGAAGCCATGGTCCTTCTTAAAGCACTATAACAATGAACATTTGCACACATTTCAGACTAAAACAGAATGCATTTCTTGAATGGAAATACCACAGAATGTTCAGATGTCCATAACTATTCTTAGTACAATCTGAACAGAGGCACCATGAGAACAGTGCTCAGACTGGCCCTGTAGGAACACTAATGCTGGACATGTCCAGAGTATGTGCATGTCCTGAGCAGAACCGGCTGCAGCTGGGGGGTCAGACTAGATGGCCCAGGAGACCCCTTATGACTCACTCTGTTTCTATGTTCATTATTTCTATTTCCTTTGCCTCTGACCTCATCATGTCTCCCCAACTTTTTAGGTTTCTACTAGTGCAGAACACCTGTAAAAGTCAGCTCCATTTTACAGCAGAAATCGGAAGAAAATAAAAATCCAGTTGTTTTAGACTTCAGTATTCAGCTCTCAGTAATCAGCTCTCAGTATTCTTGTCTACTGGCCATGCTGGTACAGGCATATGGAAGTCAAAGTCTAGAAGGCTGTTTTAGCTGATTCAGACAGTAGGACTTTAATGTCATGAAAAGGCAATAATGGGTTAGTTAATAAGTTTATCGTTACATTTTAACTGCCAGGCAGGGGGAAAAGATGCTTGTGGGATTTTCAGCTTCAAGTGCCAAGATAACTAGGGATGCAATCCCATGCAGCTTTAGACAGAAAAATAAAGGGGTTTATAATGCCCAGCATGGTCAGGATGGCTGAGGCATGCTAGGAGTAGTTGGATGTTGCAGGGATGACAGATTTGCTATTGTGGCTCAGGCAGCCCTTTGAGAGCAGCCCTGGCACTCTAGAGGCATGGGCAGGTGGGGGGGGGGTCATGCCAATAAATGCCCACCAGGGTGTAATAATTCCAAGTGCATATATCAGTATTTGCACACTATGGTTCCTTTTTATACTCAGTGCATAAGTGGTCAGCATGCCAGTGGAGAGGTGAGGAAGCCACACAGTCCTGCATCTCCCCACCCCCATTCTATGTACAGGTTAACCCCCCCCCCTTCCCTGCTCATGCATCGATGTAGAACCAAGGTAGGAGTAGGAAACCTCTCCGGATTACAAATCCCATCAGCCCCAGCCACCATGGCCAATGGGAATTGCTGTCCAGCAACAGCCAGAAGGGCAGCAGGTTCCTTAGCGCCATCCGGCTTGGCAAGCAGCTCAGCTCCTTTTCTCCCCGCTCCCTTTTTCTACATGGCAACATTGTCTACGGACTGAAACAATGAGTCCCCCCGCCTCTCCACAATAAAGCTTTGAAGTATTGCAAAAGGATGCAAAAGATGGGAAGCACTGAAATTGTGCACATTCGCGGGTCTTCCCTTATCTTCTCTGGCTTCAAATCGAGCAACAAAATTTCAAGCACAGCCAAGCCGCGAAATGCTAAAGGCATGCAACTTGCACGTCGCGGATTTTACTCCAAACTGAACTTCAGCCCGCCTAGAATAACAAGCATTGATGCTTCTCTCTGCTCCCAACCAACGCAATACAATGTGCCAACGAAGAAGCCCGTTGAGCACTTCGCGTACGTACCCAACCTCGGCTGGAGATCCAAGACTTTCCCCGCTCGCCGCGGGGGTACGAGGCGACCGACCAAACTGCTTGAAGGGCGGGGAAGACAAGTTTGCCGTTCCTGATTGGCTTCGGGACAGCACAAAGGAAGCTTGGCGGACCAATCCAAATCAGCAATATGAAAATTGGACGCGGCGGGAGGAATGGGAGCGGGACAGTCCGCCCAAGGAAGAAAGGAGTCACCGGTCTCGCCTCTTTCTTTGCCTTGCTGCTCTGATTGGGCCAGAGGACTGCCATTCTTCGCTCATAGAAGCTGGAGAGGTGGGAAAGGAAAGTAGCAGCCAAACGACTTGCTTCCTGATAGGAATAGATTTAAGCTTAGCGTAGCCGCAAAATTACCAGGTCCGAACGCCCTAATATTTTAGTTTTAATTAGCATTGTTACTTTTAGTTCCTGCCTTTTTTCCAAAGAACGTAAGGTGGCCTATAAGGTGTTGCTGGTCTCCAGTTTGTCCAAACAACAACCCTGTGAGGTAGGTTAGGCTGAGAACGACTGGCCCGAAATCACCCAGGGAACGTCCTGGCTGAGTGGACACCCGGGTCTTCCTAGTCCTAGTCCTAGACTAACACTATACCGCTGCACTTCCAGGCATAGCCTCCTTTGAACGTGTACAGAAACCTTCCACGCTTCCATCTTGGAGCTCCGAACACGCAGATCGGGCGAGGAGAGGCATGGTTGGACCACCTGCCCGGGACCCAGGAGGAGCCATCTGCAAGAGCTCCCTGCATTTGCTCCTCGTCCCCATCCCAGCCTGCTTGTCCTTCTGCCTCTTGCTTTTGCCCCATCTCGTTGCAGTGGGAAGGGGACCAGTAGCTGTCACAGCTCACTTGGTCTTTGCCTTGCAAGCACGCAAGCGGTAGCAGCAAATGAGAGAGGATGAGGAGCAACAGCAGGAAGTGACACTGGTGGTGAGAAAGGAGATGTGGAGCGGGGCTTGCCCAAGAGCCCTCCGACCTGGGGCTGGTAAGGGCAGAGCTACCCATCTCTCCTTCTACACATCTGCCCTTACTTGACTCATCCAAAGCTTGTCCTGTGGCCTGGCAGAGATGGAACCATGTGTGCGGTGGATGTTGTTTTTGTCTCTCTTCCTTCCCCAGGTTTTGTGGGGCTGCGCAGTGAAAGTCTGAGATGCTCCTAGGGTGATGCAAAAGACAGGAGAGGAGGGCTGGGTGGAAAAGAACTCCTCAGATTGTTAAGGGCTGAATACCCATCATGGTTCATTTCTTAGCAATCTCAGCTGAGCACAGAGGAGAGGTTATTCTAATGTGAACCGAGATACAAATGTTCAAGTGAGAATTAACCCTAAAGCCACAGTGTTAATGTACAAATTGCTCAAAAGTGAATGAAATTACAGTAATTCCAGGATAACTGGCTGAGTAAATAGGAACTGGAAAGTACCTTATATTAATTGTGGGTTATAGCCATTTTTAATCTTACATAAAGTATACCCATTGACATGAATGTGACTTAATTTTATTTCTATGCTGCCCAATAGCTGAAGCTCTTTGGGTAGTTTACAGCAGCACACAAAACACAATAGAAATTTAATATAAAAATGCAGGCAATAAAACTGCATAAACCAATTTTAAAAATTACAATAGCTAACTCAAATTAAATCACAAAACTTGGTAGCTGACCACACTGTGTCATAGAGGACTGTCTTAACCTGATGCCAAAAAGATGGTAGCGTTGGCAGCAGGTAGGCCTCAGTGAAGAACTTGTTCCCTATTTGGGGGCTGCCACTGAGAAGGTCCTCCTCCTCGTTGCCACTCAGCAAGGTTCTCTCAGAGAAGGCAGAGGCAGGTCTTTATCATAGTAGCCAGGTAGATTCAGGTTGGGAGGAATGGTCCATCAAGTATTGTGATCCCAGGCCATATAAGGTATGACCAGTTTAAGGTCCATTACTCATATGGTTCTTTTCTCAGTAAGTCTAATATCAGATGCTGACCTGTGTTTTTGCAACACTCATCAACATGTCTTATGCAGATGGAGATTTAAGAATAGTTTATGGGCTGGTTCTCTCAGAATCCCAATGCTGCTGTCCCTTTTGAAAGCTCAGAGCTGCTTACACTGTTTCTTCTAGTTTCCCATCCAAGCACTGGTCAAATCATGCTCCACTTAGTGCAAAGCATATTACTGCATTTGACACTCCTGGGCCATTCATAGAGCTGTAGGGCTTGCATAAGGCATTTATTGTGCACTTACAGGAGTTTATGGATGCTTTACGTGACGTCATTGTCGCCCAGGGCCTTTCCCATGCTTTATAAGCGTATTTTTAAAGAGCAACGCAAGTGTGGTATTACCTGGAAAATGTGGCATGATCTGGAATGAGAAGCCTGAGTATCTCTGACAGTTCTACTATTCTGCAGCACCACCTTATGCTTGGGAAATGTGCTGAAGTGCTTAAGCATGCCAGACTGGGACTCGGGAGATCTGAGATATTTTGAAGTCCAGTTTTGAAGCCCACTGGGTGACTTTGGGCTAATCATGGTCTCTCAGCCTAACATACCTCACAGGGTTGTTGTGAGGACAGAAGGGAAAGGAAGAAAGGTTCCTTGGAAGAGAAAGGAAGGAAGGATATCAGTGCAGTGCAATAATGATGATAAGACTATAGAAAGGAAGGGGAAAAAACAGAAAACACATGTAAAAGAGCTGATCTCTCCATTGTTAGGGTTCATGACATGAGCAATAGAAACCTAGGTAGATGCACAAGGACCTAGGCAGTACAAGTCCAGTAGTAGGGCCAAACTGTGTTTATAAATGGGGTAAGGTCAAACCAAGAGTATACCATGAAACAAGGCAAGGCAAGGCAAGGCAACACAGCATGGAGCAGGTGCCTGAGAACAAGATAACAAGACAAGGCCTGGCTGGAACAGGTTCAGTCAGCTCTCCAACAAAATGCAAGAACAGGCTACAACCTACTCTAAAGCAGTGCCACTGAAGTGGTTTTGGGAAGGAAGAACCTGCTTTTAAATAGCCATTCCCCCAGGGTTCCTGGATGGTGTTCATCACGGCCTTGACAGCTGCAGTAGAGCCTGAGACTAATCCTGCAAGTCCCAGGATTGATATTCTGGTATTTATTCAGCAGAGGGAGCCCTGGAGCTGCCAAGATCCTGACATCCACAAAGGCTCTGAAAGCAAAAGCCTCCGTAAAGTGGTGGGTTAAAAGACTCATGCAGAAAAAATCCTTACGGATTACAGGACAGGGTGAGGCAAACATGCTTAAGTAAGCCTTATTTCAACCAAAATGTTCTTTATATAATGAGGATGGGCCAGCCTGAAGCCACCCTAATCCCACAGGGGCAATGAATGACCCACAGGGGCTATGAGTGAATAGAAACACACATTTCATGACAAGCTGGGAATTTGAAAACAGAATACTGTTAAAACCCACCATCACTGAAGACTGAATTAATTAAACATCTCTTGTAAATAGAAAAGCAATAGAAGTTAAAATGTTTTAGAAGTCCATTTAATTAATATGAATATTGTTGCCCATATTTCAGCTAAAGTAGAACAACACAAGATAGACTTGACAACCATCATTGGTTATTGCTGCGATTTATCAAACAATGCATTGATCAGAAGATCAGAAAGAGGCTGTAAAGCACGCACAGAAAGAATATAATCTCCTTAAAGCTTCAATAAATAGCAAACCAATCCATGTCCTGTGTTTTACTTTGTTATTGATTTTACTATTTAGAAAATAGAAAAAGTAGTCCAAAACCAAATTGTTATTCAATCAAACGTTTAATCAGTTTGGTGCACTACTTTAATATCAATTGCGTGTAGGCACAGTGGTTTAGAAAAAGCAAGGGGAACCTGATGTCGAAGGAGGCTGTGAGTTGACTTCAGCATTTAGTGTCGATATATGTCAGACCAGCTCAACCAGTCTTTAGGAACACAATCTGGCCAGACTCCAGAGCTGCCTCTAGCTGAAAGGTTGGTGTGAACTGGCTCTTGGTGCGGTGGGAAAAGTACTCGGCACAGATCTATATGCCCTTGTGGTTTGTTCCTATTGAACAGGGAAGAACCATGGTGCTTTAAAGCGATTATCCTCTGCACTGAATAATTACAGCCACTGCACCTCCTTGCTTAAGGGAGGAAACAAAGGAAACAAGTTCTGACGATTTCAGAATGCCTTGCTTGCTTCCCCTGTCCTTCCCCTGTTCCCCCAACCAATGAACCTTCAGTGGCTTCTTGACTTTTGTGCCATTCCCCCCTCCCCACCATTCTGAAAGTTTGACATGCCTTTGTTAAAGCTTGCTTAGTTACTAATGAGAAGAGATTTATTGTGATACATGCTGATGTTTTTGGATTGCCAACCCTGAACACTTTTCTAAAATGGAATTAGGTGCTTGGGCCAAAGGTTCTATGGCCACCTCAAATTAAAAGTCAAAGTCTTCCATGCCCAAAGGTGTGGCTTAAATAGTCTTGGCCTCTTGCCCATATTAATTAGTCTTGGCTTATGTACCTCTCTTTCCAAGGAGGTGCATAAGCTGAATTGACTAATTAATATGGCAGATAATGACCCCAGGACATAAGCAACAGTTTTTTGTTTTTGTTTTTTCAGTTGAGATCATCTGGTACATCAGTGCGCTACTTTTAACAGTATGACATCAATGTTTATGACCACGAGTTCTGATACGGTGGTCACTGTGATACTGTGGTGGCTGCTTCAAACCATACATCAATACAACTGTTAGCTAAGTAATATCTTTCCTTAATTTGTGCCTGAGACATGAAGCAACCACAAATAGCATGCTGCAGTCCTTAACAAACGACAGAGCCAATGCTGAGGTCATCCCGGTTGTCCAGAGTCGTCCAAAGGCTTCAGCTTGGCATTTTCCTCCACTTGTTCTTGAACACAGTTGATTGCTTGGGGTCAGAGCTTAATTAGCAGGAGCCCAGCAGTGGCCAAAAGGAGACTTCCACTTACTCCGGAAGGTACGGTGGCTATGCTGGCGGAGGCTGCCCTGCATTCAAGCTTTGTAATTGCTGAACTGGCTCCCGTGAATGCTGTTGTACCTCCTGCATCTGTAGCGCAAACAGCCTGGCTAGCACAGCCCTTCATGGCAACTTTTTCAGACCCTTTACCTGGTAGCAAGAAAGACAACAAGATAGGAGAGGGGCTTTTAGTAACTACTGGACTGTACATTTTAAAAGCCCAGAGGATCAACCATTGTTTGCTTCTTTCTTGTTCCAAGCACTCCTTGGGGCAATTCCAGGTGAAAACCAAACAGTTGCATGGCCTGGTAGAGCCCGTTGGAAAGCATGCTAGTTCTCTCCCTCCATTTTATCTTAAGACTTGACCGTACAGCGTAACTCCAGCATTAAGTCTGACTTTTTCCTCCTCCTATTCCTCCCATGCCCACCTTTGATTTTTCGTAGATCCTGCCTAATGAGATCATGAAAGCTTGCACATCTTCGATCACCTAATAAAGGCATTAAACAAGTAATGCATTTTGGAATGAGATGGGTGTTTGCCACAAGGGGGCAACAGTTAATCATAAAAACATTTCTCAAATGCCAACTAAAGATTATCCTGCCTGGCACTATCCACTTTCAGGTAGGACAAATATGCTTTGTGCTTTTCTTTTGATTGATTGATAACTACCTTGGATTTTGTTTTTTGAAAGACAGGATAATAATCAAGTATAATAAAACAAATTTGTAATGTAAATATCTTTAACTTGCGGTATGTTTAAAAATGCTGCAGATAGCAGAATCAACTAGGGCAGTGGCAGAGCCCAACAAGTAGGAACAAAGAACAACATATTTGCCTGGCTAACTTATTTGGTATATAAAATTAGGTTTAGTTTTTCATGGTGTAACCAAAATGATAATGTTGCTGTGCAGATATACTCATGGGAAAGCTGCTGTCTCTCTATTCTATCTGCCTAGATGCTGAGGAGAATTTACTCCTTGTTTGTCCCTCCCATGACTCCTAATCCCAAGGAGCAGAACTGATGCAAAGTCCTAGGATGTTCTGAGCAAAATATACTCAGGCAGTTCCCTTTCTCTAGTGCTGCATCTTGGCTGGCTGGCTGTGGTGGACAAGAACAGCACCAAGTAGGTGGTTCAAGCTGCCATTTTACCTTCCCACAATGCCCCCAATATAGCATTTCTAGAGGGCATCATGCCTGTATTTATGAACTCTGACTCATTCAGAGAGCCTTGGCTACTGAGTGGCATAAATATGAAATGTGTTGTTAGAAACGCATATGGTGGTTAGATGCTGCCTTTAGGCACTGCACCGAATGCCAGGCCAGACTTCTTTTTTTAAGTGGGGAGGGCAAGCATCAGCACTGGGACATGCTGGATAGATACCGTTGCTCTTCTCCAAGCTGCTGTCCAGCAGATCTCTTCCATACCTTAACTCCCATCAGTTCGATCATGCTTAATAGACAGGGAATGTAGGAATTGCAGCAAAGAATGTCTGGAGGGTGCAGGGTTAGCAGATGCAATCCCAAGGGAATTTTCTGTTCAGTGAAGTGAATAATCATATTTACTCATAAGCATAACTAATAATGAAGGGAGACAATGTTCTGCTGTAAAAGCAGTGCCCCCAATTCCGCCTTTGCTTTGGGACACAGGAAGGACTTCTGCTGCATAAATGAAACATGACTGGGGTTCTTGCTGGTGTGTACCATCTTTGCATACACAGCTGTGTGTGCACACCTTCCTTGCCAACATTCTGCAAGGGCAAAGAAGGTGTGGATGGGCAGAAGGCATGTGTTGGCTCTACATGTGTGTTTTCCCCTGTTCCATATGTTGTCGATGAGTGTGAAGAGGTCTCTTGTGGATGCCTTTTTGATGGACTCAAAGCAAAATTATGATTTAAAGTATATGTGCACATGTGTGTGCTGGATCCAGGTTTGTGCTGCACTGATAGAAGTGGACTTCCCAAGCCATATTTTCCATGCCCAGCCTCCTGAAAATGCTATACAGTCAGGAGGCCCTCTTGATTGGGGTGACATGAGGGGAACATTCCCAAAACATGGGCAGCAAGATGGACCCTTGTTCTCATGGAAGGCAGAACCTGGGTGGAACCTGTGCACGCATATTTATCTGTGTGCACACATTCTTGTGCATTAGTCACACTCTCACACACACAACACATTTCTCCCTCCAATTTGATCAAAACTGCATTTTCCTTGCAGGCTTTTCTACCTGAAGCTTTAAATCCACTTCCTGTGTTTCCAGATTCCTTATAGGATTGAGATTGGCTTCTTTTCATTATTTTTTCTCCTGGGTATTTCCTTTCTGTGCCTTTCTATATGTCCCACTGCACCCCCAGAATTGTCCAAATATTCCAGAGTTTCATTTCATCAGCGTACTGAATTTTCCTCCTTAGGAAACAACCCTGCGAAAGTGGTTGCCAAGAACAGGAGAGATTGTGCAGGATGGCCACATCATGTAATGCTCCCTCAGGTTACTGTGAGTGAGGAATCATAAGTGCACAACCCAAGCTCCACTAGGAGCACAGAAAGGCTGCTAGTGAAGTTCAGCACACCGGTCCTTAGTATGGCTTGAGATCCTGGCTCACATTCCTGTAGAAAGTCTACTTGGGTGCCTACAAGATCTAGCAGTCTTCGGCTTGATCTCTTGCATGTCTTAGGGTCTCTGTATAATTTTATCTTTAAAAACCTGAGGTAGGTTTCTGATATGGAAATAATGGTTAAGACATGTAAGAACACCCATCAAAAGCACCCATGTTTGCACAAATTACCCAAATCTACGTATGCAGCCAAATCGATGCACTGGGACTCCAATCCTGTGCAATCAACAGTGTCTTCACTGCACGGTTCAGAAGATGTCGCATAGCAGGCCGGGCACCGCATGCCATTGAGTCTGGTATCTAACAGGGGCACTGAACAAACAGGAAGAGAAAGTCAGCTTCTTGGAAGGACACCCTGCGTGCAGAACAGAACCGTGTGGCAAAGGGGCATCAGAATAGCTTTTGCGGTGTGTGTGATACTTGCTGCATTGCTAACCCACAGGAACCTCACCCCCTGAGATGGAAGGGCATGCCCAGCTCGAGAGCATGCTTATTAGTCATTAGTCATGCTTAGACACACCGCAGTGTCTAGATGATCAGCTCTTCATAAATGTACAATTACGGGGTCAAATCATTCCACATTACTTTAATTGTGTGCCATGAAGCTGAACCTTTTATTTTTAAAGCCATGATTCAGATCGGAATCAATGCATGCTAGGAGGCAAGAGGTTAGAGCTTCCACCGCAATTTCTTCCAAAAATCCTGCCCTTCTCCACATGGGGATAAAAGCAAAAGGGTTGAGAGGGTGGGAAAGGACTGACTGCACTGAATAATAGATGGCCATAGATTATAACCGACTGAAGGCAGAGACCTGTTTTGTGGGTGTTTTGTTCACATAATAAAGCAAAATTGGGGCTTAGGGGAAGAAGATGAGGAGGAGGGGAAGTGAGGGCAAGCTAAGATGGGTAATTATCTGCCCCTTCCCTCCTCTACAGATTCTTCACCCAGTGAGTGAAGGGAATCTGAGGAGGTCTGCACTATGGCCCAGAGCTTCTTGTGACATGGGAATAGGCCTCCTCAGAGACATTCCACCTCTGCATTTCACCTCTAGTGGATGATGAGATCTTGCTTCAGTCATGTGAGACAGCTAGCAAACCCCCCGTGAGCGTCTGGGTATAAAGGGAAAGGTTTCTTCACCCACCACCCTTCAACTCAAATGGTATTCTTGGAGGTCAAGCGCTTTGGATTCAGGTGGGACTGAAAGTGGCCCACCACATTTCTTGCTTGAGCTCAGGAGAAGCCTTCACAAAGTCCTCTGGGCTGAAGGAGGACAAGCAAGCTCACCCCCTGCTTCTTAACCTAAACCTGTGGGGTACAGTAGAGGTGAAAACAATTCCAAGGAAACCTGGGGCCGCTTTGTGAGAACTCTCCAAATGCACCACCAGGTCACTTTAGAATCTGGTGCCCAGAAACTCCGTATAACCATGAGGGACTCTGGGATGGGGAAATGGTCTTGCATCAGGGAGTAGAATGAATACCTACATTTAGTAGGAGAGACTGTATTGCAGGCGTCATCCTTACAGCAGAAGACAGTTGTCCGTGATCTTCCCCTTTTACCCAGGTTAATAACAGCAGAACCAGCTGCACAGACACTGAATGGAATACAGTTCTTAACAATGCCATGAACCTTGAAATCTTCTGTATTGGGGGAAAAGAGTTGGGGATTTCTAGCAGACAACAATGATGGACAGAGGTTCAAAAGTGAAACCTTTATTTAAATCTACGTACATATCACAGAGGACTGGGAAGATTCAAGATCCATTCTGCAAACCACTTCTCACACTGATGCAATTGCAATGCTTTTCAAGTTTATTTAATTTTATTGAAGCTGCAACTGGTGCAGAATGCGGCAGATAGATTAATAACTGGAACCCAGAGGTCCAAACATGTAAGACCCCTTCTGGTCTGTCTGCATAGGTAGTCTTCATTCTTTTGGTCCCATTCAAGGTACTGGTCTTAATCTATAAAGCTCTAAATGGCTTGGGACCACAATACCTGTCAGAATGCCTCTCCCAACTTCAATCTACCAGCCTTTTGTCCTTCCTCAGATGCTAAACCCTTAAGAGGCTCAGAGGTTGGCAACTAGAAGTGGGAACTTTTCTGTGGTGCCCCCCCCCCATCTTTGGGACAACCTTCCTGCTGTAGCCTGCCTGGCACCAAATTTGCCATCTTTTCAGTGCCAGGTTAAGACAACCATCTCTGCAGAGGCCTTTAAATACTCTCCTGGTCATTCAGGGGCCTGATATAGTTAGCCAGGTACCTTTTTTAAATCTTGGGTGGGTCATTTTTATTGTCTTTCTCTTGACTTTTAATGTTTCTTTATGGTATTTTAAATTATTTTTAAAATGTTGTAAATGTTTTATCTATTATATTTTACCATTTTTATACTTTGCTGTAAATTGCCCAGATAGCTTTGGCTGTGGGTGGTATAGAAATGAAATACATATATACATAATTTTTTTAAAAAATAGTGTTGCTATTATTTGCTTCCCAGCCAGTCTTGAAGCAGATTTCAAAATGAACCTCAATATGCATAAAGAAAGCACAGTACCATAAAATACTTAGTCCATAAAACTAAAGCATAAAGTTTAAAATTCCATCCTGAGTTTCTAGATACTACTGGTGTTAAAAGGAAAGCCTATACTAGCTAGGCAGAAACTACCATAGAAAAAGTTCCTTCTCGGATAAGGCTCTTAATAAGATGGAAACCTATAGCAAACCATCTCTGCAACAACAAAACCTGAGTACCATATACTGAATTCTGAAATTCTTACACCTATTTTAATGGAAAACACATTCTGTGGTGCTGCTTACCCCGTTCACTTTCAAACATAGTGATGCCACAAAAATCATGTTCTGGAGCACAAGTCTCGATTTCACCAGTACAGTTGTGGCTTAGACCTGTGCAAACTTCACATTGCAAAGCAGTCCCTGGAAGAAGACGAAAAATTGAGAGAGGAGGGAAGAGGAGGGATGCCAAGGGATGTACTGGTAGAATAGGTGGCATAGACATATTTTAAATAAATAAGAGGAAAGGGGGAAAGCTTTGAATTGTTTTTATCAACTGTCAGTCATTGTAGTCTTCTCAAACATGTTTTAGAACTGGGGCTGGAGTGTTCTCAGAATGGAAGCCCCCTCTTAGGCCTCATATATATTTTCCTGAAAATAAATACCTATCTGACAAGGTCAAAAATGGTCTGCATCATGAACTCAGAGGCATTACGGGTGTGTGTGTAGACCTGCATGTTTTAAAAGGATTGGGAGGAAAAGTAGATCAAGTGTGATACATGCTCAGCATTTGTATTGCCATCAAACTTAACAGAGCAAGCACTAGGCTTTGGAAGGGTCATTGGGCAAGATGTCCCCAGTGGCCTCCCTCCCTCAGTGAGTCTATCTTCTCACCACCGTGGTTGCAAGCTGCTGCCTCCTCTTTCTCATCGTTACTGCCACTAAGCAAGCAAGCAGTGGCATCCACTGCTCCTTCACTGCAAGTGTTGTCTGAACCAGAGTAAGAGGTGGGTGAACAAGCGGGCTGCAGCAGTGCAGAAGAGCAGGTCCAAGGGATTCTTGGCAGTGGGCCCTGCTTGGGTGTGGCCCTTGGCAGGTCCCAACCATTCAACCCTTGGTGCTGATGCTGCAAAGGAAGCCCAAAAGGCCACCTGGATGGAAGCACCTTGCAATGTCCATGCTTGATGCTAGTAGTGTGGCCAAGAGGAATGATAATAAACCTGTCTGATAAAGTTCTTAAGAGGAGCCAAGATTCCCGGAGGACATAGCCTGTTGTTCTGGTTTATATACCTGCTCATCCTCAGCTAAGGGACATTCTTACCAGCTTTAGGTGAGCCACTGATTGTAAGCTTGAGCTACTTTCCAAGATTGTTGTTGACAGAACTTTTTTAAAACATCCTATTTCTGCAGTAAAGAATTGTAATGCAATGTAAATTAGACAAATCTGCATGATTTGTTCTGCTCTTCCTAATGGCAAGTGAAATAAAAGCTGTGCAGAACTGTGATGCCTCAGCCCCTGGTCTGGCTCCTGAGATTAGGAATGTCCTGCACACCTGTGCAACTAGCGGGCTACATGAATTGCCTGCTTCCCCTTGTGGACACACTGCTATGCTGCTTCAGCCTGCTAAGGTGCACGACAGGGTTGGCTTCCAAAGTATCCCAGAACTCGTGGCTTGTTGGAGGGCCCTGAGGTGGTTTCGAAGCTGCCCCCTGCGACCCTCTTCACCGTGGCTGAATGACACAACAGCCCTTGCGCTGCAAGGATAATTAGGCGAATCACGCAGCACACAACTGGCTTGAACAGGGGAAAGAAAAAGAAGCCACCCTGGTGGTGGTTCCCTGGTGAAGGCGCAAAGCAAACCCAGCCATTGTCCGGCGATAGGAGAGCCACTAAGTCTCATTGCCAAAATTTAAATGAAAAAATGTATTTGAACTAAATAAATTAATAAAATAAGGATGGAATACATAAATTTATTTATGTATTATTTGATATCTTCAAATAATGGGATAAATGGGATTCTTAGTATATCAGTGGCAGACACTTGCGGCCTTCCACCCAGATAAAGGCTTGCCCCAGACAGCAGGAAACATCTAGAAAGAATCTTATTGGGAATTTGACCAGATTAACAGCTCAGCATGAAGACATCATCCACCCAGATCTCAAAATAGTTAAAAATAGTCAGGCACAGAAAAATCCAATCAAATAAGTCTGAAGAGGAAAGTTCATAAAATCACACAGGACAACCATTTGCCTCTTTGGACTTGTTTCCTGGGTGTAGGTCCCTTCCAATTCAGGCAAATTACATTTGTGCAAATGCTTTCTGTGCAGAAGTCAGAAAACATTTGGGAATATTTGGAAAGCTATTGTTGAAGAATGATCACAACTTCCCAGCAACAAAGTTAGGGCTGAAAGGCCCTCACAGTAACTGCAGTTCTCAGGAGACTTATGACATGGATTTAGGGGGGCATTCAGTTTACAGAAAAATCCTATGCATCAGAGGCTTTTCAACTTCTTTCAGTCCAAGGACCAAACTCTAACTGGGAGACATTCTCAGGGACTGCATCCCAGTCATTGGTGGAATCCAGCTCAACCGTAGTTGCACAAAAAGTACTAGTGTATTTTAGTTTAAATCTCTTACTGTAAATAACTAAGCCTCACGAATGTTAACTTTTTGAATAGGGGTTAAAAAGCATGCAAAAGCTGGGACACCCGCCCCCCCCCACAAGACTGGTGGCTGGGGAAAGTGAGAGGGGCCAGGGGAAGGGGTGTGTCTATCTGATGAAATTGGGACCAAATTGGGACCTCACATGGGCTGCAGACCTACAGACCTAAGGTTCAGTGCCCCTGTTATACATGTCTTCTTAGAATTAAGTTTGTTTGCATTCAGTGGGATTTACTCTCTGATAAATGAGCATATTTTATGAATAAATACTGGCTATATTTCAAACATTGCTATGAACAGCTGTTACAACCATCATCAGTGGTCTGTAGGAAGACATATTTTTTAATGGTCATACAATTACTTTATTTATCCTAAAATGTACCCGGTGCTTACATGCCACTCGGGATGATTAACAACAATGCAAAGCAACCATAGAACACAATGAATTTCAAACAATGCCTACAACAACAAAGAATGTTCCATTTAAGAAAAACAGAGAGCAAAAAGAGCAAGGCATCAGATGGAAACTCATCTGTCTAGTGAACAGAGTGGGAAAGTCTTTGCCATCCTGCAAAACATTGTAACAGAGTAGACAAGCTCTACCCCAAGCAAAGAGTTCCAAGAATTATGAACCCTGGAGCACCTGGTTACCTTCAGAGGCATTTGGACAGCAACTCCCAGAATTCCCATCCAGAAGGGTCATTGACTGGGAGTTCTGGGTGTTGCAGTCCAAATGTATCTGGCAGGCACAAAGTTGCGGAAGGCTGCTCTAGAGGGATAATATTCTAAAATAAGGGGCATAGTCTACCGAATGAGAAGAGAGAGTGAAGATATAGGATATATTTCTAGAAAGGAATCTCAGTGAATTTATTCTGCAATTAGTTCTGCATACACTCACGCACACATAGCATGTGTCGGCATCAAACCAATGCCCCCATATCACAGTTATTGCCATAACCATTGAATGAGATACTCACCTCCAGCTATGAGTGCTGAGAGGAGGCAAACACCAAGGGTGGCCTTCATCGTTCCTGGATGAGCACTGAGTTCAGCCAGCTCTTCAACTCAGAATTAGAGGCAGACACACAATTAGTGCAAAGGCGGGTGGAATGCTCCAAAGTGTCATTCCTCCTCGGGGCCACACTGGAGAGGAAGTTGTGCAATGGGAGAGTCTGCATTACATTTTTATCACACCTTTCCTCTAAGGAGCCCAAGGAAGCCAGCATTTCCCCACCCTGTTTTATTCTCATAACAACCATGTAGGAGAGCTGTCGCTGAGGAATGGTGGCCAGTGAGCTTCATGGTGGAAGACAGATTTCACGCTGATTCAGCTCAGCCTCTCCATACAGCAGGACTCGTGAAAGTATTAAAAACTATGACTGGTTTTGTCAAAGAAAGTGTTTGTACAACATGCTAAGCCCAGGGGCTATTAAGCCACATAGTGAGGGCTCTTTATATGAGTACCGAATGGAGCTGCAGGCATTTTGTGGGTTTTCTCTGTCCCTCCCTCCTCCTCAGTCTTCTGACCCAGGGCAGTATGTCTTCTGGGGAGTGTTGTGGCAAAACTGGCACCCCACAGTCCTTTGTACCTTTGTTGCCTCTCCAGAGGGAATGCTGGGAATGCTGTTTTTTCCAGTTGGGAATGCTGTGCATTTGACACATATTTTTCCTTGGCCAGCTCTTCTTCTATCTGCCATTTTCCCCAACTTATTATTTACTGTTGGCCACAATGGGATTCTGTCCCAGTGTACAAGCCCAATGATACACAGCAATGGAGTAAGAGTAAAAAAAAATTATTTTTTTTTGCAAAATAAAGGTTCCCTGCATCTCACGGTTGCAGAGAGCCCCGTTCAAACTTTTCACATCATTTATATACCTTCCCACACAAAGGATGTCAGGAGCTCTACTTTGGTTGGCTATAATTTGCTGCAGCACAGGCCTTCTTAATACACCTGTTCACAGCCATTTCTACCAATTAACATTTGCTGAAGCTCCTACCTTTATCAGTTAAAACTATGCTTGTTACTTGCAGTTTCTCATTACCTCAGCCTCCCTTATCACTTCGCACGTGTCCTGCATGCCTGAAGGTTATGGCTGCCTCGGCCCATCCAGAAATCATCCCCCTGTGTCTCCTTTGCCACCAAGCCTGCCATCCTTCTTCAGTCCAGTGCCCATTGAATGAATATGAATAGAAATGAGCATGATTAGAAATCAAGTGGCCAGAAGGAGGTAGCTCTGGGTGTGGGAACAGCAGCCGCAAAAGGGGTGGTGGCCATCACTATCAGTATCATTATCCCCATATAGATTTTGAAGTGGGAACAGCACTGCATTTCATGCACTGCTCTTAGAATCATTTCCTTAGGGGTGTGCATAAGGGCTTCATGAACTGGTTGTATGGGTAATTTGGCCACATAGATGCTGCAGCTGCCTTTGCAGTCAGACATGCTCAATGCACAGATTAGCACAGGGAAGCAATGTCAGGAGTGGGCTGAGAAGCTCAGCCCCAGTTCTACTTTAACAGGAGACTCTGCTGCAGATGAGTAAAGCATGAGGCCACATGACAAGTGGAAGGGAGAATGAAACTATATGAAATGTGTACACTGGTTCTATTTCCTAGGATGAAGTTGTCATACTTCTGACTGTGCATAAAAGAGGAAGCTGTAAGAGGAAGACTTACTGGAGGTACAACACTGCTATAAGTTCTTTTAGTCATATGTTTTGGCAATGTCCATTAGTCACCTCTTTTTCATGGAAATAATACTGATACATTTTGTATTGAAATGTTTTCTGGTTACACATTCTTTTAAATTATTTACATGATTCTTGGAAGTTAAATCATTTATTTATTTATTTATTAAAACATTTATATGCCGCCCCATTCACCGAAGCCTCGGGGCGGCTCACAACCTGAAGAAAAATACAATAGCAACAATCTAAAAATAACAATATAAAATAAATAATATAAAAGATACTTTTAACATTATCCCTATTTATTCTCTAACCCCTTCACTACGAAATGCTTCTAGGCACGTACAGGTACCTTTTACCATATCCCGAGAACCATAGTTTAGATACTTTTACAGCAAAACAGCGCGCAAATCGGAACCAGGCAAGGCACCTGGCAGGTACCTTTTACCCCCAGTGAATCCAGCCTTTCCGAAGCAGTGGCGTGGCTCTGAAAAGAGCCGTTGGGTCCGCGCTGCTCGTGCTGTGCTCTCCGCCACCGCTACTACTTGGAGCTGGTGTACTTGGTGACGGCCTTGGTGCCCTCGGAGAAGGCGTGCTTGGCCAGCTCGCCAGGCAGCAGGAGGCGCACGGCCGTCTGGATCTCATGGGAGGTGATGGTGGAGCGCTTATTGTAGTACGCCAGGCGAGACGCCTCGGCCGCGATGCGCTCGAAGATGTCATTGACGAAGGAGTTCATGATGCTCATGGCCTTGGAGGAGATGCCGGTGTCGGGGTGCACCTGCTTCAGCACCTTGTACAAGTAGATGGAGTAGCTCTCCTTGCGGCTCTTCTTGCGCTTCTTGTTGCCCTTCTTCTGCGTCTTGGTGATGGCCTTCTTGGAGCCCTTCTTGGCTGCGGGCACCGGCTTGGCTGGCTCAGGTATCCTGGCGTGTCTGGTTCCGACCGCGAGCAGACCGAGACATCCTCCATGCAAATCCTTTTGTCAGATAAAAGATGACACTGGAAACAGAAAACCTCACCTTCTATAAGGTGATAGATATAAGACCAAATGACACTTTCAGTATTTGAGTTGATGACATAGGGAAGCCATTCTCAAATGGGCATACAGATATAGTGGGCCTGCTTTTGCTGAAACTTGTATTTAAGTTATACATTTAAATGTCTGCATGTGTGTGTTCTTTATTCTTTTGATTTATTTTTTTTACGTTTACATTTTGCATATATGTTTGTTCTCTTTCAGGGAAATTTTGCATCAGATGTATCAAGATCTTTGGGGAGGAGCCCTGCAACAGTGGTAGGAAAGATGCTTTTCTTGCAAAATATCTCAGGTTCAACCCCTGGCAACTGCAGATGAAAAAACTCAATAGCAGATGATGGAGATGACGGCTGGTGATAATTGCTACCAGTCCAAATAGACAGCAACACATGCACAAGGTCTGGTTTAGTCTAAGGTGGCTTCTTGTGTTTCCCAGCACCTGATGCTGAAGAACGGACAAAATCCTCCCTCTTCAACAGTTACTAAAAGTGCATTGAGCCTGCCCTTTGAACACTGGGATTATTAAGATGTTGCTTCAAAATTTAGGCAGGCGTGCCAGCGTGGATGGTAAAGACCTGTGAGTCATGCCCAACTTCCTTTCAAACCTCAGGCACGCTCGTAAACAAATTTCATACTTCCCAAACACAACAAGGTTCTGGTTGCCTCCCACAGATCTCCGATCTTCCCAACAGGAAATGTTGGGTTCCTGCCAGTCCAACAGGACTGACACACAGCTTTGGCTCTCTTTCCACAAGCGTGCCTAGTCCTTAGTGGACGTGGTGGAACTCCCAAGAATCACACCCTGCTTCCAGATGCCAAGTGTGCGGACCTCTCCATTGAACAGTGGAATCTGCACTTTGGTGGGGTTGTTTCATAGGATTAACAGCACTACATTTGTACCTGGCTGCATACCAACACATTGCACGTGAATTCTGTGTTTACACAAAACTGGGGTGGGGGGTTAATCTTGTGTTCAGCAGGCTGTTTCCTAGATATTGGCAGGATTAGCTGTATTGGGGCATTTTAACAGCTTGGAAGCTGTTCTCTCTGAGCTCAAAAAGTTGCAGGCTCACTCTCAGCTAGATCTTTGAACTGTCAGTTCCTGCCACAAAGTGAATACTAACTGCTTGAAAAGAGATTACAGAGAGAGGTTTTTGTAAAGTTGCCTGCTTGCTTGCGTGCATGCCTTCCTGTCTGCTGTGGTATGCAACAATACTTGGAACTATTTTGTGTGCTAAGCCGTCCCATCTCTTTTTCTAGAGCTACATTTCTCTTTCTTTCTTTGGCACTTTGATAAGGAGCAGGCACACATCATTCATAACAAACTTTGCCAGGACTTTGCTCACTGGTGTAGTAAAGGGGAATGCATAGAAGCTCTGCTCTAGGATGTTTTTCTGCCAGACTGCTAGAGTAATTCGCTGATATTCCTTGTTCTGTCAAGTTAATGTGGTGAAAATTAGGCTTCTGAGTTTTACTCAAAGAAGCCAGTGTTACTCATGGATCCCATTGTGGGGTGGTGGTTAAGAGTGTTGGACCAGGGACCTAGGAGATCTGGATTCTAGTCCCCATTTGGCCATGAAGCTCACCGAGTGACTTGGGACCAGTCATTTACCTGGGACCTAACTTACCTCACAGGATTCTTGTTGTAAGAATAAAATGGAGGCATGTAAGCTGCTTTGGGTTCCTCACAAGAGAATTAAGGAGGGATATAAATGCCAGATGATGATCATGATGACGACGACGACAGAGTAACATAAGGGATGATTAACCCAAGCCCTCTCTTATGCTAGTTCTGGTTTGTTCAACCTGCACTCAAAGATCAAGTATGGGTTGAGAGTGGGTTGTCACTGAACTGTGGGTTCTTGAAATATTGGTTATTGTGTGGTCTGAATCCAGCTATGCTAATAAACCATAGCTTGTTAGCTATGAAATACCCTCAATTCACAACCTAATAACAAACCTTGTGTTCTCTTCAGTGGTTATTTGTGGTTAACAAACCATGTGTAATCAGTGCTGTTAGGTTCAGACATCAAAATAACCCACACTTCAACAATGATAATCCATGGTTCATTGATAACCCACATTCAATTCATAGTCATCCCCTGAATGGGGGTTGTAGCGTCTGCACTTAGCTATGCACTGGATTAAAATTCCCATAATAATTACTGGCAGTGCTGCATGAGACTGATGGGAACTGTAGTTCAAAACAGCAGGAGAACACCAGGTTGACAGCCTGTATGTTAGCCACAGTGGGTTTCTGCCTTGGCATCACAGCCCAATCATACATGACAAGGGAGTAAGAGGGGGGAAAAGGATTTAATTTGCAAAATAAAGGTCTCCTGCATCTCACGGTTGCAGAGTCCCATTTTCACATCATTTATATATCTTCCTGCACAAAGGATGCCAGAAACTCTACTTTGGTTGGCTATAATTTGCTGCAGTACAGGTCTCCTTAATAGGCCTGTTCACAACTATTTCTACCAATTAACATTTGCTGAAGCTCCTACCTTTATCAGTTAAAATGATGCTTGTTACTTGGAGTTTCTCATTACCTCAGCCTCCCTTATCACTTTGTATGTGTCCTGTACACCTGAATGTTATGGCTGCCTTGGCCCATCCAGAAATCATCCTGTGTCTCCGACTTGTAGATTTAGGCCTGCTTCAGGGAATCTCTTGGGGTGCATATTCCCATGTTAAACAGGAAAAAAATGGTCAGGGCCAAAAATAGCAGTAGCTTTTAGTGCAAAGCTCTTACCTCCCTGTAACTAAGCCTAAGGATGGGCATTTCAGCCTTCTGGGGTAGGGAAAAAACTGTGCAAAAGCTGTTAGACCACCAAAGAATGGTGGTCAGAAACAGGAGGGGGCATAGCCGTTTGGGAAACCCCAGGGAACTGGATGGGGATCAGAGCTGAATTTGGCCTCCAGGCCTGAAGTTCTATACTTCTAGGGCTTAGAGGTACTCAGAATTCCAGCAACACCTGCATCTTTAGCTTCTCCTTGGGGCTGTGACCATGGAAATTGTGATGAATCCCTGTATTTCTAAACTCAATGCATTAACCCTGCAATGCTTGGCCCATTGAATGTTGGCTCATTGCATAGCTGTTAACCTGCTGCAAGTACAGCAAACCTGACATCAATAAACCACCCTGAATTGGCAACCCTACCCTTTTCCAGGCGGCAAAATGCATGTTGTGGTTCAGTTTGATTTGTTGCCAGGTTGCAAGAGGGAAATGCTTGCATGATGACACAGAGCAAGGGAGAGTCCGTGTCTTGCTGGGCAAGCTTCTGCAAATGTTTCTTGGGTTAATTTGGCATGATGAAGCTGCAATAAGCTCCCATTACAAATTCCACAGGAAATACACTCTTATTGTTATCTCCATGCGACATAGTTTTTTAAAGTAACAATTATTTCATACACACATGTAAAACTATTTGTGTTTATTTAATGTTAATTCCAGACATTTCAAGCAGGGGCTGCCACAGACTGTTCCAGGGTGGAATGCTCCTTTTCTGGTTTCCATCTGAGTGGTCTTCCAGGGTACTCTATTCCATTTACCTGCCCTATTTTACAGTTCCCACCATTACTTCAACAGCCAGCCACCATTCCACTGTGGGAGATAAACCGAAAACTAGCTAGAGAACTGCAAGGGTTAAACAGAAAGCTGGTCAGATGAACTTGAAGAAAAATGCATGCATGAGATACAAAGTCCTAGAAGATTCTCTCAATTAGGTATCACTTCCTTGGATGTACTTAGAATGATATATAATAAGTTTTCATTACTTTATAATATGTAGCTACACCTTTGCATGTATTCAGATCAAATGTATCCATTTGTGATTGGTTAAACTTTATATGACACAAATAGTAGTATATATTCTTTGTCCAGTTTTTGTGCGGAGACGGCTGCTGTTTTAACTCCTCCTTCTGCAGACCAATAATAAATTTTGCTGCCTTTTCATTAATTGTTGTTTTGATTGAGGTATGACCTCCAAGTCAAGTAAAAAAACTGGAAGAAACTTCCTAAATCTCTCTCTTTCTTGTTTATGTGGGAGATACCTTTTCTCCCAAGATCTCAGTGGAACATGTTCAGTCCTCATTAGGCTGTACATGTTTTTTTTTTTTTTTTTGCTTTTAGTAATCCCTCTAAATTCTCCCCACCACCATTATTTTTGTACTTCTGCAAATGTTGGACTTTCCCCAAGCCTGCTGATAAATCCTTCTTGTATCGGTCTGCCTCCCTAAGGACTGGAGATATGACTTTGCGATGATATATATGATAGGGGGAAAGCTGAGCAATCTCAACAGATTCAGAATCATAAGATCATAGAAGTTTTAGACCATTGGGTCCAATTTCCTGACTGATATAGGGGCCCAAGTTACAGCATAACCAACACCCCACATTTTGCTTTGTATTTTTTTTCCTAGAAATTGGATAATAGCAGTACAGCTCAAGCAAAACAGCAACCCTTTTCTACAGTACATCTAGTATAATAGCAAAATGCCCTGAGCTACAACATTCTGCACAGCATCTCAGTCCAATAGATCGATGTAGGGCAGGATTCCTGCAAGTTCTTCTGCCCACCAGATCTTGTGCAGTTCCCATGTGTACTCATGATCCCCCCAATCACAGAAGTCTTCAGGGCCTTTTTATAATGTCATCATTATCCACCAGAGGCTCTCCATGTTTTCTGACCTTTTTGAAGATTTTTTGGGTTTGTTTGCTTTTTAAGAACACAGATAATCTGGCATTTTGTTTTATTTTGTGGTATAGTGGGAAAAAAGCTTTACATATTGCAGCAAATCTGTTCTAGTGAAGATGTGTCACAGCTCCAGCTTGTAGTTGGTTAATAAATATGAAAAGCAGAGAAATGCAAACCCCAGGAGGGAATAGAACAGTGTAAAGGATGCATCTTTTATCATGCGATGAAAATAGAAGCAGCATCCACAATACAACAGCAAGTTAAACCCTTCATGTAGAGAAGCCTTTAATTATCACGGCCGGTTACATTTGCTGAGAATGATGGGTATTGCAGTCTGATGCATCTGCAATGCACAAGGCTGGAAAAATTCTCCATACCAGCTCCTAACAGGCATGACTTATTAGAAACTACAGGGGATGATAGGACCTTTTCAGTCTGATGTGCATCAGATTGTGCTCCTAATATGTCAGGTGATAGTAGAAAACGGGGAACGGATCACTGTTGAAATTGCTGGGCAAAGTGTCTCCCTGGCATCCCAGGACAAGAACTGCCCCGAACTGCAAAGTGCATGTTTCTGCGACAATGAATGACGCTGGTGAGAAAGCATGTCAGATCCTGTTGGAAAGACTGGTTTTAAAACACCATTGCAATACTCTTATTTTTCTAATCGGTGCATTCTTCTACAATGCGCCCCTTCTTCTTGGTCATTTTAGAACACGAGAACAACATATTTATGGAGGGAAAAGGGTTATTTTACTGCCACCTGGGCATTTTTTTCATTTTTCCTGTTCATGTCTAGGAATGCGCATGGCGCTTTCCATAAATAAACTCTATATGTCATATGTTATACATTTAAAGAGATGTGAGGACCATCAGTAGAAAACATACCTTGGTCTATTATGCTTGTGTCTTAAAGTCTTGCTAAACATTGTAGAAACCTTAAATCTGCACATGCTCTATTCCAGGGGTGCACAGAAGTGGCTCTCCAGATGTTTTGGATTTCAGTTCCCAGGATTTGAACTAGGAACTGAAATCCAGTTCAGTGCTGGGAGCTGAAGTCCAAACCATTTGGAGATCTATTCTGTACACTTCCAAAGAAAGACTATTCTCTTTCTGTATTCTGTACAGCACCTACTACTGTATGGGAAGTAAATAATGCCAAACCTATTAGTCTGCATAGTGACTGCCACTAATAAGTGTTATCCATTGCACAGTCTCACATGTTTGAACTTGACAAAATAAATGTGATGCGTGAATCTCTGGAAAAGAAAACATGTTTAAGTTAGTTATCCAGAGATTAATTAATAGCAAACCAATTCTGCATTTTTAAAATTGAATCATGTGAGTGGGCTACTGTGTGTGTGGGTGTGTGGGTGTTAACAAAACCATGCATTGTTTACAGTCAGGGTGACCAGCAAGCAAGCCTATTAGCTGATGAGTAATCTATATTTTAATTGATTAATTAATTCATTTAAAAGTACCTTCTATTAAACTTCACTATAGTTGCCTTTTTAAAAAAAGGTAATTGAAGGAAATCTGATGCAACCTAAAATTCTATAAACTAATCCTATTCATTATAAGCAGCAAAATCCACCTTCATTTTTTTCTTGCTGCCTCTTACAGAAACAATTGTTGTCCTAATAAGAATATCAGAACAGTAATGGTGCTTGCAGTGTTTGTCGAATCCTATAGAATCAAAGCAAGCAAGCAAGCAAATCTACTTTGTGGTTGAGGCAATTGGTTAAAATTTGCCCCATAGAATTCACCCATTAAATTACCGGCCAGGTTACAGCTCTACTTTGTAACACAGCTATTTGTTTTTGTAACAATTGGGCTTTTAAAAGAAGTGTAAGGACTGAATTGGGATTAATTCTGTTTTTTGGTCACTGAAAACAGCTGCCTAAAGATGTAACTCATTTTGATCTGTAGTCAGTTTGATCTCTAGTCATTTGAAGATACTCAATGTGGGTATTCCAGAACAAACACAGAATCTATTTACAGAAGGTGTTTCATACTTGTTCCTGTTATTCTTCCTATCTTCCCTCTTGCCAGACAAAACTTGTTAAAAGCATGCAGAAACCAGGCTATTCACCCATAGCACAGTCCTTTTGTATCCAAACTGACCATTGCAAACAGAGGACATTAAAAAGGGCTTTGCAAAAAGATGGCAGCTTGTTCTATACGATACTGCCACCTGACAGATTTTGGAATGACCTCTGCCATGGTAGCATGAACCATTAAGTTGAGTAGCCATTGAGTGGTCTCATTTTTGAGCAGCCCATTCCATGGCTCCCAACCATCTCCTTAGGGATTGAGAAACACTTGGTGGATCATCTGATGGCAAAACTTGCTGACAGCCTCTGAGTCAAGACAAGGACGGATGGTGCAGGAGGCATCTTGTGGTCCTGCAAAATACAGAGGACATTCAAAGTCCTTTTCTGGTAAGCCTGAAAACCATTGATCAAAGTGCTTATTATCCATTTAGGTGATAAATGTGATAACTGGTTCAATAGGCACAAAAATACAGACTAGTGTAGCATGCACCTTAGATCTTTAGAGGGGCAGTTGTAAGAGTGACCATCAGGAATCCTAATTGGAAAAACCATGATCAGCCTGAAAAGATTTTGCTATATATGTGAGAAATGGAATTAAGAGAAGCTCTGGGAACAGCATGAAGGCAGACAGCCAGTCTTCTGGGATTGGGTTTGACTCTTTGGTTTCAGACATGGCTGGTTTTGTTGAAAATACAGACAGGATGGATTAGCAAGAGAAAATATTTTGCTTTTGCTAATTGCCTCCTGTCTCTTGCTCAACTGAGAAGTGTCCAGGAAGACTTTTCTGGATAGGGTCAAGTGCTAAATAGGAGGCAGCTGTCAGCCATCAAAATATGGTATATACTTCCTATATACATAGGGTATATATGAAATTTCTGCAAAGGCATTCCTGATTTCAGGGGGTTGCTGCCATGTGAGGCAGATTGGTCTGCTAATAAATATTGTTGATAAAGACATGATACTTGCAGTGGCTCTAGAGTCCTCCTGCAAAATTATGTTCATTTATATAGAAATGTCTGAATAGACACAA